CCCAGATGAATTATACACTTTTTAACCTCCTCACCCAATATAGGTGATAACCATTTTTCCACTAAAACATGCTATAAATACCATAAAAATCAATGATTTGGGAAAACCGAGGCTTATCTTTTCTTAAGGCCATACCCACCTATGCTCAAGGTTTACTCCTGGCCTGTGCTGGACTTGCCCACGTGCAAGGCCTGAAGCCCTGTAATATCGCTCCAGAGCCAGCTGAGACTAGTTATTAAGAAAGGCTGAGGCCAGTAAAATTCACATCTTCTTCACTCTGTAGGTAGTAACACCATAGAGCCCCTTCCGCCCATTTAAATATTCCTATGAAAACTTTCCTAAGCCAAAATAACATAAAACAAAGAAGCAATTACCACTAATGTTGAGCATTCGGAGATCTAAATACCAACCTGCTACATCATGCTAAACAACATACAAAACTTAAGATAACACTAACATATAGTAAAAGGAGGACTAAGTTAAGCATAATACTACTGTATTAAGTAGTTCCTGGGGAAAGACCACTGGGTGCTTTCCTCATACTTGAGGTGGGGACAGGGGGTTCAGTCGTCCCTTCAACAGTTGTTGCATGGTTGTGTGATTGCCGTTTTCCCTTCCCCTCCAATGTGGTAAAAAGTGAAAATCCTGCTTTGGGTATTTCATTGCCAAAAAGAAGTACCGACATGGGTCTTTCGTCAAAGAGAAATGATGAACTATGAACTTAGGAAAAGTGGGTGTGGGTGCGGGGAGGTTACCTTCAGAAGTCACTCCTGGTCATAGACCAGTTGTTCTTGCTTAATTAGGAGCAGAAACCAAGGGTGGTGGAGATTGGGGTGGAGGAAGAAAACAGGAAGCTTGCACAGTGACCTCACGGGATGCGGGGAGAAAATCAGTGTAATTATTATCACATTTCATCTACTCCAGCCTGACCTCCAGAGACATCCGCAAACTCCCGTCATGATTGGTCACTGAGGAGACATGGGTACAAGAGCAGGAGCCCTCAGCAGCTTAAAACACTCCCTGGCTGTTTTCAGCAGGTGCAACAATTTATAGTTTATAGTAGAGATTATAAATTTCCTTTAATGAAATAATTCAAATTTAGGCTTTAGTGGATAAAAGGATTTAAGGCATAATGCAGGAAACCAAACTAATAAGAAAATGAGGGGATTTTTCTCTTTACCAAGCCCTTCATTAGTCAAGGGTTAAGCCAGAGAGGATTTCATCAGATTTGACCAGAATCTGGGTCCCCCCCCGCCCGAAAAAAAAACTGCCAAGATTAGTTGATTATGAACATACATGTACTCAATTGTTATTAAAGAAAGCACACCCAACATTTTGGAAATGAGCCAATAATAAAATACGTGTAAGTAAGATCTAATAAGATCTTATTACATATGTAATAAACATACAACGCAGGTGTTTGCTCAAAACCTTTCATTGGTGGGGGCAGGCTAGCGAAGAAACCGGAAGGCTACTGACACAGAATCAGAAACTAAGGTGGTGAGGGCTAAATCATGTCTTTTATTTTCCTGGACTAAAACGTAGCTAATATTTTATTTATTTATTTTTATGTAGGAGTCCTGCTATTTATTCAGCCACTGATTAAGCTGATTTAAGTAGCTAATACTTGTCGATTAGTAATTTTCTAAAATAATTTTATTTGAGGATAACTTTTAGAAACCTCTCATCTCCCCTCTTATTCTCATCTTCTAAACAGTTACTTCAAATAATCCAATAAAAATTAAGTATGAGTAAACCCACACCGTACAAAATTCCTATTGAAAATGAAAGAAACCATGTTTGTTCTTTTAACTGTATTTTACATTGTTCTATTATTTCCTGGGTAGGCTTTTAGTGTGTTAGAGTTTTCCATGAATCAACCTACCCACCCACCACACAGCAGGCAAGATGAATTGATGAATGTGGTGTCACAAACCAAGCATAACGTTTTTTTCTAATTACCACTTATGCTTCTGTACATTGGATATGTGTAAGATAAAGGTCAAACATGTAAGAATGTGGGCTTGTACCGCTTCTTTGTAGAATTGGGTGTATAATGAGTGCTGACTTAAGGGTCAGGGCTCCTTGACTTGCCTTGGCATGGGAGTCCTCAGAGCTGAGCTTTAATAAACTTTCATATGATCTCCATCTTTCTGAGTCTGGGTGTTTGTGACAAGCAATGACTTTAGACTATGAACAAATTTGCTGTGTACATATTGTTTTTTTTTTGGCATCTCACCCAGTGATGTTCAGGGGTTACTCCTGGCTCATGCACTCAGGAATCACTCCTGGTGGTGCTTAGGGGACCATAAGGGACGCTGGGGATCGAACCCAGGTCAGCCGCGTGCAAGGCAAACACCCTACCCGCTGTGCTATCATAGCTCCAGCCCCACTGTGTATATATTCTTAATTTAGTACAGTGGAAGCAAGAGCAAAAAAGAAAATTGCCCACTATTTTTTGTCTTTCATCTTAAGTAGACAATCTCTCCTAAGACAATGGAACTACAGAAAATCAACCAAATCACATAATTTGGTGAGTTGAGTAGGGATTCTTGAATATCTGAAGTCATTTGAGTCATTTTTTCCACAAGTATTTGTCTATTTTTTGGGGGGGGAGGGCTGCACCCAGAACTGCACAGGATTTACACCTGGCTCTGCACACAGGAATTACTCCTGGCAGTGCACAGACAACCATATGGGATGCTGGAGATCGAACCTTGGTTGGCTGCATATAAGGCAAGGGCCCTGCCCACTGTACTATCACTCTGGCACCTTGTCTAATGGTTCTAGTTACTCTCAGGTAGATTTTGTAAAGTTAGCAAGTAAATCCCTAATGTGATATAGGAAACTTAGCTTTTAATGCACTAAAAAAGCAAACTGTCCTTGACTTTGCAGAATCCTGAGGATAAATCCATAGCTAGCAACAGTATCATCAGAAACACAAGAAACTTCGATGCAGATCTACTTTTAGATGCTATCACATCACTCACTTGACAAGAGTTAAGGAAATCACCCACTAGTTTTTGACTTTCATCTTAACTAGATAATCCATTACCCACTTCAGAAGAGTTTATGCATCTGGAAGTATTTTATCTAAAAGGAAGAGATAACTGCATCTTATTACTATTTTCCTTATGTTTATGTTGGTTCAAAATAATCCAAAAAAGGCAGCCCAGACTTCTCTTGTTTGTGTAGACCAATTCCTGACAGCCAGTAGCGTTCTAAGCCTTCCGCCCATATCTGCCATAAAAGATACCTCTCAGCATGGTCATATGGTCAGATACATCCACATTTGTGCTGTAATCAGAGGGTACACTATTTCAAGAGATGCTATGTTAGGGCTGCAGTACAGTGGGTAGGGCACTTGCCTTGTACGAGGCCAACCAGGGTTCGATCTTCAGCACCCATCTAGTCCCCAACCCCTACCAGGAGAGATCCCTGAGCATAGAGCTAGGAGTAAACCCTGACCATCACCGAGTGTGGCCTCCCTAATCCCACCAAAAAAAAAGGAAGATATGGGAGAACTAGTGGTTTGGCTTTTAAGAGAAAACTATCCACACAATTAAGCTCTCTGCTACTTAAGAACCATTTTTTTTACATTATAATGTAATGTTTATAAAGGAAATTTGTTTCAATGCTCTGTTTTGTTTTGTTATACAGGTGGTTTGGGGCTATATTCAGGTATTCTCAAGGCTTACTCCTGATTTTCTGCTCAGGGATCACCCCCACATGTGTTGCCAGAAAGCAAATTAATGTCCTATTCTTTGAAGGAAAGAGAGGAGGGAGGAAGGAAGCAAGGAATGAAGGAAGGGAGGGACGGAAGAATAAAATAAAGAAGACAAGGAAGGAACGGAGGGAATAAGAGAGAACTCTGTAAGCAAGAGCTGTTTGCCATCACTTAAACTTAGAGGATTCCTCTGAAGTAAGCCTAAAATTCTAGGATTAACTCAAGAGGAAACAAATATCACACACATCACAGAGAAGCTCTGGAAGGAGGGAAATCACTGATAAGTTGGGGTCATTCCTTAAAACTTCTCTCAAAAACTTTAAACCACTTATCATTTTCTGAAAGCTTAGCTTACGTCTGAAAAATAAATGCTTTAACAGGGGCGACACTTAAACAGGCTCCGATAACATCATTCTCTTAAATTTGTCTTTGAAGTGGAAATGTGATCATGAGCATGGCACCAATGGAATAAAGACAATTTCTATTGCCTTTTCAGCTGGCATGCATATATAATCAGATTCTTGAATTTGAGCACACGATCGCTTGAGTTAGAATTACCCTTTCCTCAAAGCGTCATCTTTTTTGAGGAAGGAGAGATGACTCTACTTAATTATGGTGCCTCATTGGAGACCGTGGGAACTCCAGGCTCTCCAGAGTTGGCCTCCATGACAAAGGCCAAAGAGAAAAAAACATGATACAACCTCCTGGGACCCAGACATCATCACCACTGTCCAATTCCAATGTTACGTGGAAAGTTAATTATCTGTCTTAAAAGCCTCCTGCCACCATTCTTTGAGGAAATTTTATATCTAGGAAAAGTCTATGACTTGCTAAAGTTTTTCCCTGCATACAGAGAGTGGGGTAGAAGTAACAATGAAACTATTATCACAAAACCAAGTTCAAGATCTCACGTTGTTAGATTTGATGTTTGAGTGTGTACAGGTCAGAAGAATAGCACTATGTTACTTCGGTCAGTCAATTCCATCACACAGCCCTGGTCAAAGGTCACATTTCTCAGTGATTGGTTTATTCTCTGCTTCCACCTTGAACATGATGACCCTCAGGGTCACTGACGGTGCCAGATACTTGACTGGTAATTATAAAAAATATTTGTAGAAGGAGTAATCATGTCATTTTCTTACAGGTTGATTCTTTATCACTGGTGTTTGATAGCCCCTAAACAACCTGCCACTATCAATATATACCAAACATTTACCATTTAAAACCAACAGGAGAAAAAATATTTACTTGAAATAATCAGGTATTCCATATGTTCAAGTGAATATGTTTTATTAAATGCATACTAATATTGTTCTATAGTATGTGAGTATACATAATAAATTAAAATGTATATATTTATTAAATATAGATATAATACTAGAACATGATTATTTCAGATGAGAAATCAAAATAAACCCATTTGTAAGTATCTTTTGGTCACTCCAAATCGATATTGCTCATAAAAAATACACTGATTTTCCCTGGGGAAAAAAATTAATTCCATAGCAAGGTAGTTAAGGGACATGTTTTATTTTATAGCCTTCCGCAAGCAAAATTTGCTCTGATACAAAATGAGTTCAATGATACAGGTGCTATTGTCCACTCAAGCAAAAGAAAACCTCACGTTTATATGAATGCACTTTAGTTATATTCTTACAGTATAGGAGGTGTAATATTCAGGCACCTCTGGCCTCGTGTAAAGCCATGACACAGAAATGCTGCAAGGTTCGGGACGGCCATAGCAGCGGTAAGTGCTGAAAGTAACTTCCTGCAATCTCTCTGTCGGACTGAAGATCTCTGCGTAAGGAACCATGTGCGGATGTGTCTGTCTTGCTGTTTTCCTCTAGTCTGCATTACCATCATCTCAAAATACAGCTCCAGTGTTCGGTTTTCCAGAGTTTGCACACAATCAAGGAAATGTCATGAGGCATCCTTCACCCTAGCTAGGGATGTAGGGCGGAGGAGGATGTCACCGAAGATGTGAACTTACCTGTTGGGACAGTGATCGAGTTTTAGTGTAAGAGCCACACCTTGCGGTGCAGAAGGGTTAGTGCATGTTAAACTTTTTTCTTCCACAGATGATGTGACTTTAACCCGGGAATCTGACCCCAAATCAGACAGGTTAAAAAATAAAAAGACAAATACACAAATAAGGCCATCTGTAGAATTTTAAACTCGCCTCTTACAATATTTCACAATAATTTCTACATCGTATTTTACAGTTTTCGGAGTTAAATAATAAATGCTCAAGGAAGGATGGTGGTGGGACCCCGGTGCACTATCTCTTGGAGGACTTGTCCAGTTTGCTGGCAGGAGATTTCCTCTGGGGCGTCGGTATTTTGGAAGGCTTGGCTGCAGATGGCCGAGAACCTGCTCGGGGCGTAGGTCTTTGTGTTGGAGGGGCCGTGTCCACGTCTGAGCACACAGACTGGATTTCTGAAATGTCAAAGTCTGATGCATCACTCCCTCGACGGCTGCTGGCCCGGCTGCCAGCTTTGCTTCCAGCTCTGCTTCCGGGCCGGCTGGGGGTCTTCTTGGGATCTGGGCAGAGAGAGAGAGCGAAGATGAGACTCCCTTGTTGAAGGGCACGTCTGTGCAGATAGCAATACCTACAGCACCTTAAATCGCCTGTTCCGGATTCCCAGCAGGCGCTCTGCAATACTGTGGGTCATGAGGCCTTTGTCAGGTCCCGCCAAGGTAGAACACAGAGCACAGAACTCTACAGATGCAACGTAAGGACTCCTCCTATCCTTTCGGATCACGCCTTCAAACGTCATAATGTGTGCCCTGTGTAGTATGTCGTGCAAACAGAGCTCTAAGCTCTGCCCACAACTAAGCACACTCAAAAGATAAGACATGAACCCTTAAGATGCTTCATGCCTGGTGATATCAGAACACCGGAGGTGAAGTAAGGCTCACTATTCTCTTCAGGAGTGTGAGAAGCAAGCATTGGAAAGGCCAGGGAGGCTGTGTTTTTCCAACCACCCAAACAGAGTCCAGTGCAATTCCTTTCTTTATTTTTCCTTTTGCTTTTTGGGTCACACCCAACAATGCACAGGGGTTCCTCCTGGCTCTGTACTCAGGAATTACTCCTGGCAGTGCTCGGGGGACCATCTGGGATGCTGGGAATCGAACCCGGGTTGGCCGGGTGCAAGGCAAATGCCCTACCCACTGTGCTATCGCTCTAGCCCCCCTCCAGTGCAATTTCCAAGCCAGTGTAAGAACCAGCACTAATCAGCCTGATGGGATATGAGACTGTTATGTTTAACGGTATTGTTTCCTTCTGTTCTTCAGTCATTCGTTGGCTCTTTCCAAAAGGGATTTTCCAGTCAATATTCCTATGATTCATGTATCCCCTACCTTGGTTGGAAGGCTTGGGGCTATGTGCTTTTTCAAAACAATATGCCATCATCAATTTCTCATTTCGACCCCAAAGAGGAAGAAAAGGGAGTTCAGAAGCCATTGACGGAACGCATGCCCCACACTCACCAGCAAACTGGGTCCTGACTCTGGTGGCTGCGGTGGTTATCAAGCCACTGTCTTCTCCAGAGTGGAAGCCTTTCCCGGAGAGATATCCTGGAAGTCGAAGCTTGCTTCCTTGTATTGGGGTTCCCTGTATGGAATCAGTGCAAAGACATTTCAAGATACGGCCCCTGTTTCGTTAAATTCCACCCGCACCGTAGACAGGTGGGAACCCTCTGCTCATTGTCTTCCAAAGGGCGATGAGAGACCACAAATGGGGGCGGGGTGTGTGTGGTGCTCCCATGCTTCCTTCCCCAGTTTCTTCTCCTCTCGTTGGATTCAGAGGGAACCTTCTAAAGAGAAGTCCACACTCGAGGAGAAAACACAGACACGGAAACTCCCACAGGATGCCAAGGAAAGAAAGGCAAATGAAAGGGTGAGTCTGTTAGTTTCACACTGTCAGGGACCGTTTCTGAGCATAGAGCGTTGGTGCCAAAAAGACGGGACTGCGTGGTGCCGGGGAGAGGTGGGGATTCTGCCAGGCGGTGTTTGGAGACTAAGCTGCCTGCAACGCTTTTGGGGAACTAGGCAGAAAGAAATACACAGAAGTAGAACAGTAAGTACATAAGTCGTGCTGAGACAGCAATTATTTCTTGACTACAAAAAAAATGTTCTGTAACTTGGCACACCATGTCACTTCGCTTCTTGGTGCCATCACTGTGTACAACCTTTATATACAAGATAGCATGGCAACGTTGGGGGAATTTTTAAAATTTCTTTTAAATACTCTTACAGGCATTTGTAGACAACGTTTAAAGCAAGCACAATTCTGGGATCTTATTTTTAAGTATAAAATCACTGCATTCTTTCCAGATCATCACAACATTTTGAAAATTCTTCCGAAGTTAAAAAAAAAAAGTAAACAAATATGAGAGACTAAGCATTGCCACATTTCTCAATGAACTCACAATCAGAGTTCACTGGAGGAAGTAAAGATGTGAAAATAATGTGGTTCTCTTTAAAAGCATCTTTCTTTATATTATGAGGTTCAAAAAAATTTTTTGCGGGGTGAACCACACCCAGTGGGGTCCAGGGCTGACTCCTGACTGTGCGTTCAGGGATACTCCTGGAAGGGCTCAGAGGACTATATGTGGTACTGGGGATTAAACTTACAAGGCAAGCACCCTACCGGTTGGACTATAGCTGCTGGCCCCAGCAGTTAAAAATTCTTATAAAAGCATATTACCGTTTTATAAATTGAAATTTTAATTTTATTATTATGATTCATTTATGTAGCCTGTCTGTTGACTGAGTATGAAATTTATATGATTTACATACTTAAATTTTCAATCCCCATTCACAAAATTCTCACACTCAATCCTAATTTTATGTATTAGGATAAAAATGTAACTTTTATGTATTAGGGAAAAAATGTAACTCTAAGTTGTGAATGGATTTCTGCAAGATCTGACAAATCTGACCTTGTTAAATTCCTAAGGGAGAAAAAATTGGGGACAGAGATATGGCTCAGTGCTGAGTGTATGCTTGGTGGGCAGAAGGCCTGGGTTCCATCCCCAGCACTGCGTGGTCTCCTGAGCACTATCAAGTGAGCCCACTTTTTTTGTTTCTGTTCACTGAGATGACTCAAAAGAAAACAAACTTGTACTAGTAAAAACAAAACTTCATTTGGGAATTGCTACGCTTAACATTTTGATCATAGTAGCAGAGCTCTAAGTATTTCAGATTTGCCATTTGAGATTCTTTAATCTTTCCTCAATTTTTGCTACCAAGGTGTAGGCTTGAGTGACAGGTGTCTGTAGATGTAATATATGATATTAACACCCCCCCCTTCCCCATTTGAGGGAAGGGATGGAGATGAAGGTCTGGGAGAATGAAGAAGAGTTGAAGAAGGGGCTCTTCAACTTGTCCAAATTATCCCACTCTCAGCAGTAATTCCTATCATATTCAAGTGAGTCATGAGGGAAATGAAATTACCGTTGCCAAGCTCTTATAGTTGATACAAGGATTAAACAGGAAAGAAAATGCTTTTAAAAGAATAAAGGACTTGAAAAAGGTAGCACTGTAGCACTGTTCTCCCATTGCTCATTGATTTGCTTGAGTGGGTACCAGTGACGTCTCCATTGTGAGACTTGTTTCTGTTTTTGGCATATCGAATATGTCATGGGGAGCTTGCCAGGCTTGCCGTGTGGGTGGGATACTCTTGGTAGCTTGCTGGGCTCTCCGAGAGGGGCGGAGGAATCGAACCCAGGTCGGCCGCATGCAAGCCAAACACCCTACCTGCTGTGCTATTAAAAGGTAGAAGGTAAAGGCCCTCCCGTTGATCGTCGATTTGCTTGAGTGGGCCCAGTAACATCTCCATTGGAGACTTTGTTGTTACTGTGTCTGGCATATTGAATACTCTCGGTAGCTTGCCGGGCTCTCCGAGAGGGGCGGAGGAATCGAACTCGGGTTGGCCATGTTGGCCGCTTGTAAGGCAAACGCCCTACCCGCTGTGCTATCGCTCCAGCCCAAAAATATTCCAGAAAAAGATATTGTAATATTTTTATACAGGGTCTTGGTGACAATATGAAATGCCTCCTTCATTAAAGAAAAGGTATGTAGGGTCTTCCTTGCCCCCCAATATTATGATTATATCAAAGATGTAACTATTTGGTGATTCTGTCTCTATAGGAAAGATATCTCTTTCAAAAGATATATGACATGGGGCTGGAGAGATAGCACATCAGGTAGGGCATATGCCTTGCACGCGGCAGACCCGGGTTTGATTCCCAATATCCCATATGGTCCCCTGAGCACTGCCAGGAGTAATTCCTGAGTGCAGAGCCAGGAGGAACCCCTGTGCATTGCTGGGTGTGACCCAAAAAGCAAAAAGCAAAAAAAATCTCCAGATAAAACACAGGAAACACAAAATTTGTGTTTAAGACAATAAATATTTTTTTAAAAAAACCCACAAAAGATATATAATAGATTTTCTACTGAGTGTCAATAATCTGATATATGAGCTAATTTTGGCAAGCCTGTTATCACTTACAAATCTCCTCCCCATATATCGAATGCCACAATAAGAATCTAGAGCATGCATCAGTGACAATCATTAGTGTAAAAAAACATGCATACTTTTAAAAAATGGCAGATAATTTCCCCCCTGCGGAAACTCACTTCCTCCACCCTGACATTCTGCACTGAAAATAAAATGGTTCTGTCTACCTCGCCCATTCACTCAGTGTTCCTGCACAGAAATAAATGGAACAGATACTTGGATACATAGAATAGGACTGTGCCCCTTGTAAAGACTAGAAAAATATACTTCAAGTTATTTTCTTGCAAATCATCTTGCCTCTTGCTCTCACTTAAAGGGCATATAAAAATATCCATATAAAACAAAGGGCATATGAAAATGTTATATTTCTTGGCTAAATTATGTCTAGAAGTCAAGTCATGCCACTGGAAGTGAAAGAAATTTATTTAGGTCTGGATATAATCTCTTGTACTTTGCCGCTCAAGAGATAAACGTAAGAAAATGAAGGACCGAGGAAGTATCGCTCTGTAGCTGTGGTTATGCTGGGCTCACATTCCTCAGGGAGCTGTAAACGGTTTCTCCTGTTACCCTCACATCTTTCCAGAAACCACTGAGCGAATATTTCTTACAGAGAAGCTGACTTATAAATACATATCGTGTTGTCATAAGTACGTACATCAAGGGAGAAGTGAGGCGATGTTAGTGGGAAATAGTTTTGATTAGCGAAACTGGTTAGACCAGAAAGTGGGGCCTTACAATACCTCTGCAGATGGTACGGAAAAGTCTGAGCTCTCTGCTGGCTTACAAGGAGTTGACATTTTGCTGTTTGTCAACCATGGTTTACCATAATTGCGTGTTAAAGGTTGGAGAATCTGCATGGCAAATCAAACAATGGCAAATCAAACATAAAGGACAGATGAAAAAAAAAGCCACGGAAGAGATATTTATAGCAAAGAGTAACAATTCACAGAAAGAATGATAAAAATAATTAAAACATGGAAAGATTTGATGGCAAAAATCCTACACACCCAAGACCAAACCAAACCAAACCCCTGAGTTTTTCTGAAGAAGGAACAATCTGTCGGATAACAAAGCTTCTAAATAGCCTGAAGATGGGCCATTAGGTGTGATGGACATAAGATGGGCATTAGATGGGCATGTGTGTGTGTTTTTTAAAAAAAACCTCCATTTGTCCGAGCAGGGCACAAATGGAGAGAGTTGGTCTTATGATTTTTTTTTTTGCTTTTTTGGGTCACATCCAGTGATGCACAGGGGTTACTCCTGGCTCATGCACTCAGGAATTACTCCTGGCGGTGCTTGGGGGACCCTATGGGATGCTGGGAATCGAACCCAGGTCGGCCGTGTGCAAGGCAAACGCCCTACCTGCTGTGCTATTGCTCCAGCCCCGGTCTTATGAATTTTTGAGGGCTGTTAATGCCCACTAGTATGTGTTGATTGCTCAGAAACGGGGGAAACATGTCACAATTCAGCCATACCTTGGGGGTGCTGGCAGAAGGGACCTGCGGGGAGGCCACTTGAGCAGCCTGACTGGACACGGACGTTGATCGGTTGGGTGAAGCTCCTCTCGAGGAAGGCCGAGATCTTCGGCCCCGGGGCCGGAAGGCTGCCATGCCCTGACTGGCACCGTCGGCTAAAATGAACTTCTCACGCAGTTCCATGTTTGTCCTTCCTTTCGCTGGATGTCGGAACATACAACGGTGCAGACAAACAACAGAGCAAAGGGGAAAAAAAAAGGAGGCCTTCAGTCACGGAGGGGAAGAAGCAGGTACCAGAGGAGGCTTTGAGGATGTCAAGCATGTCTTTTTGCCATGCCAACTCCAACTCAGCATAACAAAAAGTCAAATGCATTCCTTCACAATGCATTCCTTTCGGATACAAGTAAGTTGGGAAAAGAAAAACAAAAGTGTGCTTATTCTAACACTAGACACCAGCAAGAATATTCACCATTACAGAAAAGAGTCAGCATGAAGATGGGAGGCTCATGCTAATTACTGTTAATCCACCAGGTACCGATGCCCACAGGGTTCCATCACCCTTCCCCCACACTGAGAAGACAAGCCGAAAAGGCAGGGACTGTGTCTTGTGCATGTACTACCGAGGCAAGGAGAACACTCGTGTTTAAACACTGGGATTAATCGGACAATAGAATTACACAGAATGAGAAATGGCTTGTTAATCATGGTGACAACATATAAAATGTTCAGGTTTTTTTTTTTTTTCACTAAAATCGAGGCAGTTAGCATTTTTTTGGTTTTTAACTCTTGGAAGACTCTTTTACCAACATGCATAATGAACACCAGACCCAAGGGCCCATAAAGTAGGTAGTCAGTGATACAACACTCATACAAACACATATGCACACGGAGACCACGCCACAAGAACCCGATGAGCAACGTGTTAGCATGTGTTTGATCACTTGCAGAAGACCCGTATTTGAAACACACCGGAAGTGTGCCAAATTTTCAGAGGTTTGCGAGTTGGAAGCATCAGCTCAGCTGGATATGGGTTAAGCCATACGCAATGGATGAAGCGCATTATTTCAAAACAAAACGGATTAAAGCAAGAATGTTCAAAGTACGAAGGAGAAAACAAGAGCGAAGAGGCAAACAGAGGGGTTGCCAACCTATAGTAGGCTGAGTAGTAGTAATTGAAGAGTTTGATTCCGAACGTAACATTTTACTCCCATGATGATGAACTAGAAAAAATGACACAGGATACCAATCACATTAAAGAATACCGTTAGCGGGAGAAGAAACAGTACAGCAGTTGACTAGGCAAAGGTGTTCAGGCCGGGCCTTCGGCACTTATTTTAGAAGAACAGTTGCGTGAGGAAAGAAAGCATGCAAAGGTCTGCCTCGGAAAGGAAAAAAAAAATATATATATATATATATCTGGAGGACTTTACCACTGTCATGCTTCGCTCTCCTACGTAACCCAAACCACTACGGCTCGACTTGCTCTGTTTCAGAAGCGACGCCACCTCGCCTTAGGCTTCTTAATTTTCAAAATATGAAACAAAACGGGAAGTTTCTCTTCTGAGCTCACTTCTTGCACCTGCAGCATCTTTGACCTGCCTACAGCAGGGTTATTGGGGACACTTGTCGAAGCACCCATGGGGTCCTCGGCCCCCAGCTGCAGACTTTGAAAATATACTTTGACAGGCCTGTGGGATTCAGAGGCAGCCAAGATCCAAAAGATCCCACTGGAGGGACCTAGCATTCCTACCCCATAGTTAAAGAGCTCCAGCACCAATTGGTGTTATTATTAGGTAAAGGTAAAGGTAAAGGCCCTCCCGTTGATCGTTGATTTGCTCGAGCGGGCCCAGTAACGTCTCCATTGGAGACTTTGTTGTTACTGTGTCTGGCATATCCAATACTCTCGGTAGCTTGCCGGGCTCGGCTTTAAATAAGTTCAGAGATTAAAGAAAAGTGTAAATATTTTATTGCCTTTTTTAAAAAAAGGGTTTTACTAATTACTTCTTGAGGGACTGAAAGACATGATGCTTAAGGACTCTGTATTTAATTTTTTAAGAAATGCAAACAATAACAAACTATAAAGTAGCCAGCCCCCCCTCTGGTGGGTGATATAAACAGAAAAAAAATTATGTTCATTTAAACCGGCAATTAAATGAGTTCCTGCTGTAGATTCTCTTTCCCTTAAATATGGCCATGATGTTAACCTTAAACAGATGACAAGAGTTTGGTCTTTGTTTTTTTCCATGTGTTTCTAAATATCTCCTAATTAAAAAAAAATAAAATCAGTAGGTAGCGAACAGTGATTTTCTTCAGATAAGCTACAGAAAATGAACTCGTTTTACATGCTGCTTTAAAAGGGAAGTTTTAAAAATCAGATTACAAAGTTTAAACAGCTGTCAAAACACCACACTTCACACTTCCTTTTAAATATTAACTAGCTATGTTTTAGTTACTCCTTACATTTATTCAATTTTTAACTTTTAAAAAGACTAAAACATTTTTTTAATTGAGGGTACACGACTTAGATGATGTCATGACATGCAATCACGTAAGTCATGTACCCTCGATTAAAAAACAAAACAAAAAACACGGAAGTGCTTTTTCCCACCTCCTCAGAAGTTGACACATCACATAATGACCAAAATGCCAAAATTCCTCCACCACCATTTATTGAATGTACCCCCCGCCCCCAGATCCTCTGTGTCCTTAATATCCCCCTCTCCTCAATCTGGCAACCAACCTTCTGTGGTCTAAATCCAAGGGTTGGTTAGCTGGTTCTGTTGGTTCCCATTCTCCTTCCTCCTTTTTTTTGTTTTTTTTGAATCTCAAATACATGAGCGAAAAGATCCAGGATTTGTCCTTTGCTTTCTGATTTATTTTGCTTAGTGTGAGCCCTTCCAATTCCACCCATGTTGTAGCCAAGGATAAGATTTCTTCTCTCCTTATTAATGAATACTACTGTTTTTTTTTTTTCAAGGAATAACGGGTCAACTAGGTAAATAGGATCTAACACTGCAACTAACAGGTCATTTTATTTATCATTTTTTTTATTAGTGAAACACCATGAGGTACAGTTATAGACTTATAAATTTTTGTGCTTGGGTTTCAGTTATACAATGATCAAGTACCCATCCCTCCACCAGTGCCCATCCTCCCCCACCACGGGTCCCAGCATCCCTCCCCCCCATTCCCCCCCCCCCCCCCGTCCCACCCTGCCTCTGTGGCAGGGCATTCCCCTTGTTCTCTCTCTCTTCTTTTGGGTACTGTGTTTTGCAAGAGAAGCATTAAGTGGCAATCATGTTCAGTCTATAGTCTACTTTTAGCATGATCTCCCATCCTGGGAGGATCCTCCCAACACCCTTTATTTGGTGCTCCCTTCTCTATCTGAGCTGCCTTCACCCCTCGAGTGTGGCCTCCAAGTCATGGAGTAAACCTCCCGGTATTTATCTCAGCCATTCCTGGGTGTTAGTCTCCCGTTTTGTTGCTTTATGTTCCCCAGATGAATGCAATCTTTCTAACAGGTCATTTTAAAGGTAAACCAATGATGAATTAAAAAACGGACAGCTCTGAGAAAATAAGAAAAATGACGCTTTGCTGTAAGTCTACATGAAGAGAGCCACGGTATCCTAAGTCTATATTTTCAGTGCTCTAAGCTGCAATTTGGAAGAGTCACAGTTAGTAGTTATTAAGTATGACTCTTATCCCTGCTCCCTAATTTCGTAGCCTTCACTCTGCAACGTTTACTTTCCAATAGCGTTGGTCTTCAACTCCACTTCCTTTCCTCTTATTTTGCCCTTTAATGAAACATGAAGCCTTTTCCACGGTTGATACAATTGCTCATTTTTAAAGACTGCAGATGGGAGCATCACAAGAAGAAAGGCCAATCTTCTATATTTCCTGCCTATCAGCCCCAGATCCAGAAGAAGTGAAACAAATAAATAAGCGTATAAATAAATTTTGTTTAAAAGAATGAGAACATGGTTTACATGATTGCCACGAGTTCTTTGGGTGCCTTCGGCTGACAGAGACCAATGTACACATTCACTGTTAAATAAAATTATAACTAAAAATATAACCAAGGTGCAGTTGACACCACAACTGCTCCACAAGTTTCGTCCCGACATAAGCACTTCCTTACCCCTGCAAGGATCATTTTTCACCAAGAACTCATCAAGGGCCATCCAGCCGCCACCGACACGAACCATCACGGTGCTTCGTAAGATTCGGACAAGTCGCAGCTGTTGGGAGTCTCCAAACTGTGAAGATGAAGAAAAAAACAGCCTCGAGTTGTCAACAGTCATTCTCAGCAGAAGGAGGACGCTCAATATGAAGTAGCTTAAGCCACCAACTTCAATTTCTTGCTTAGTTCACAGTGATTAGTAAAAAAGAAAAAAAAAGGAAAAAAAAAACTCAGAAGAAAGGGGTGGGGTCTGTAATGATTTGCTTGTTAGACTGCTGCATGCTGTTTTAGCCCACAGGAGATAGTTTGGAAAGAGATAATGAAGGTTATCAAGTATATTATTGAAGCTTCCTTCGAAAAGGTATTTCCCTTCGTATGACAGAAACAATATTAGTAAGGCAATCATAGGAAACAGCTTCTAGAAATTCAACGCCAGTCAAAAATGAACCCAGGCACACTTGCCCAGAGGCTGTGTAAAAGAAGACAATTCTAAAGAAAATGTAAAACTCCTGCCTACTTGTTTACACCTGATCTTACATAAAATCTTTTCCATTATGTGTGGAAGAAATCTTTAGAAACTCATTTTGCTTCCGACAAAATATGGTGGCTTTATTAATAGCTCATCTGACACGAAAAATGTTTTCCACTGAAGTCTGTGGAAGGAATATTTATGAATTAATTGTTTTTTTTTTCTAAGAGGAGTTAGGAGGATAACCTGGGGAATGAATATGACCAATACAAATTTCACAGCCAGCTAAAATTCCTGCATCACTAATGATGTGACAAGACAACGTGTTAAAGGCTGCATTAATGTGTCATTTAGGTTACTGCAATATTAGAACAGCAACAGATGTTTTATTGACACCACTTTTAAATTTAAATGTGATTTAGATTTTAATCACATTTAAATCCTTTTTCATACCACCACTGCTTAAACTGATAAGCAATCACCTTTTCTTGCCCTTTCAATTGATCTCCGCTTTCTTGAATATACTACGAATTTTGAAAGTCTTGAATGAATGACAGATAGTTTCTGATAGTGAGACTTATTTATCTTGAAAGCCCATGAGAAACAATTTCACACTTTCAAATCATTTCTAATAGGCTCGTGTCCAACTTAGAAAAACCACCATACTGAATTTCATGGTTGCCAACTCAATAGACACCACGGCAAAATAAGCAGTCAATTAAACATAAATAGCTTATTTGTGAAGCAAGTAAGACACAATTGTGACTGTAACTATTTGTCTGTGTTCAGGAGGAAGCCAAATTTTTTTTTTTTTTTGCGTTTTGGGTCACACCCAGCAATGCTCAGGGGTTACTCCTGGCTTTGCACTCAGAAATAACTCCTGGCGGTGCTTGGGGGACCATATGGGATGCCGGGGATCGAACCCGGGTCGGCCACGTGCAAGGCAAACGCCCTACCCGCTGTGCTATCACTCCGGCCCCAGTCAAAAATATTTAAATGGAAATAGCTTTTTTTTTTTTTGAGGAGGGGTCACATTCAGCAGTGCTCAGGTCTTACTCCTGGCTCTGTGCTCAAGGATCATTCCTGGCAGGACTTGGGGGACCATCTGTGGTGCTGGGGATTGAACCCAGGTCAGCTGCATGCAAGGCAAATGCTTTACCTGCTGTACAACTTCTCCAGCCTCCAAATGAAAATGATTTGTTATGTCTAAGTTTTAGGATAAAACTTGCAAACAAAGCCAAACAATCAAGACCTGACACTGAAAAGCATGTGGAATTCACCAGCAGAAACTCATGCAGTTCCCAGCAAACCCTTTTCTATCATTAGATATAAAGTCCATTTTTAGGCCTTGAGACTTACACTTTACTATAACGGAACCTACTCCTTGACTCATTAAGCTTAAATTAGAAACCAAAATACACATTTGTTAGAATAAATTTGTGCCGCTAATAAGCAAAGGGAAAGGAGGAAGTTTAAAGAGAATTACCCTTAAGGAACCAGATAATCTTACTTTTGGGCCAAGACTGTGTTCAAAACAAACACTTCAGGAAATAACTGAAGCAGTTTACGGTGATTCCATTTCAATCACAGTACACATGAATAATCTTATTTTGAAAAAGTAGTCTCCAGGTAACAAGCACCGTCACAATTTCCCTAAGATCCAAATTGGTTCAAGAAAAAAAAGAGAGACTAATGTGGTTCTTTTTGTGCTTTATATGAATGAGTAAGACCTTTTGAGATATTTCGTCCTCCTTAAAATGTAAGTTGTGATAACTTCTGGTAACTAAGGAGTAACTAAAATGGAAAAGAACCATATGTATTTTCTATTAATTAATTTGTTTCATTTGGGGGACCACATCTGGCTTACTCCGAGGTCTGTGCTCACAGATCATTTCATTTCTCTAGCCTCACTTCCGTATTTTTAATGGATGTTTTAAAATCATTTGTTCCAAGTAACCCAAATTTTTATTTGAAAACTATACACTTGATGAAAAACACGTATGACAGGTAATTTGAAACTTAAGGTGTTAAAAGGTCTTTAAAAATGAGTGGCAGATGGGGTCAGAGCAAGGCCTGGGGAGAGCCGTGTGTGGCCCCCCCAAAAAAACAAAATGATGGAGTGGCACAGTCATATCATATATGATGCCGTCAGGTAGGATAAATGGTTCTCTGAGTGCATGCAGTAAAAAAATACTTCATATGGAATCAAAAACACAATCCGTCTTTAGTTCCAAAATTCTAATCATGACGTTGAGTCACATAGTTTGTATGTGAGGTCAAAATGGCACAGAGTGTAACTCGGATTTTGAGTACGGGTCAAATTATACCTTTCTTCTGAGGAATTCCATCATTTAAAATGTCAGGGGACACAAAGCCCTGCATCCTTGATTGAGGACAAGCGAATCATGGCTGTTCTGGAGAGAACTCATCGCGGCTGAGTTCCATGGGGAGTCCTTGGTCTTCCCATGTCTCTGCCTGAGGCAGATTCATTCCAGCTAGTGCCCGCCACCTGTCCTCAATGAGCAAAGCCCTGCGAAGCTGCCGAGATAAGTTGAGAACCACATTCATGCTCCGGTGGGTATTGGCACATAAGACAGGTGCTAATTACACCATTAACCATGGGGACTGAAAATTGCATCCGGAACCCTGTATTCAATCAAGCGAAGATACATTATCTGGTTCACTTAAAAGTAATCTCCCTATTTAAAACACAAGGCAGTAGGAATCCTGAATCAAGGACCCTCAGAGCATTTACAGAAACACCACGCCAACCAACAATGTAGTAGCTGGGGGGGGGGGGGGGGGCAGCATGGGAAAGATTGGCCATGGCAAGCTTTAATGACTATGAATTAAAGTTAAAAAAAAACCATTGGGAACTTGAGAATACATTCCACTGGTTTATACCTGATTTCCCAGGAAGAACTGATAAAAAAAAAAATGAAAAATGGAAGAAAGACACAATTAGTTCAACAGGAAACTTTCTATATGATTCTAGAACACAACACACACACACACACACACACACACTCTTACACTCTGCACTTCTGAATATAGTATCTAGCTTGGAGATGTGCAGGTGCCCATTTGAGTCTAAGTTAAAATTCAAATATGTAGATAAACAAAAACTAACAGGGTTTCATCTGAAAGTAAAATACCCTCTTAGGGGAAACCCAGCACATTTCCTATCTAGCTACTCCATGTACGAGATGTTCCAAAAAAAGAGAGAAAGTTAGAGAGATGAAATCACATTGATCTTTGAGTTACTGTTTTAAAGGTGAAACAAGTTATTCAGATTCCTGAGCAAAAGGAAAAAGTACTGCACAAGTAGTAAAATGAAAAAGTCTCTATTCCATATTTATAGAGCCAATATCTTAAATTTTGTGCTGAGATGTAATCTTCTTGTTATTGGAAAAATTAAATGTCACATTGATCATAATGAAATAGAAAGCAACACGAAGAAACCTAAATAGAAAATAAACATCCAGGCAGTGTTTTTTCCTCTCACTATTTTTCCTTAAAAGTAATGTAGCTATTGTGAATCTTAAGGATGTGTAAGTCATAGACAAACGAGAGCTATCTCTAGATGATTGACAATGACAAAGTTAAAATTCCACGTATCATTCAATTTGGCCTAAGGTAAAAACTAGCATTCCTGGAACACAAGGCAAATCAAATTACATACAGATTTTCACTTTTCCATTATTTAAAAGAACCGCAAAGGTCATCTTGAAAACTTACCCTGTACTTGTTGTCTCCAATCTGTTCAACTTGAAATCGTTTTGCACACTTACACTTCGCAACCTGTCTTGTCACCTGCCAAAAACAATGATAAGACAGCGCTTTACTCATATTCTAATAGCAGACTCCTTAAAAACCTTGATGTAGCAATTAGCTATGGGAATAAAGAAAACGGACTATAAATGGCCAGTGTTATCTGAGCAGGGCACACTATTACTGCTGTAGGGGCAAGCAATAAATAATACTAAATAAAATTTATATATTTATAAAAATAAATAATAATAAATACTTCATCTTCAATTTTGTCAGCATCAGTGACAGGCTTGTAGGCATCTTTGTTGGGATGAAGGGCGGCTACAAATTCGTAGTAGTCAATGTAGCCATCACCATCTCTGTCAAAAATGTCCGCAACGGCACTCATCTCCAGGCGACTGGTTGGGAACTCTGAAATTTTCAAGACAAGAGTAAATGAGAACTCAGGAAGGACCAAGTTTTAAGACATTCAAAGCACACATCACGATGATGTTGTATGTGTTTACAATGTGAAAGGACTTCTGCCATCTGATCAACACTTCCATGACCTTGCATATATATTTATCTGTGTGTGTGTGCATGTGTATATGTACACATGATGTGTGTGCACACTCATTAGAGAAAGAAAGGGCATTTAAAGTTCTATTCTTAGCAAATTTCAGTTGTACAACCAGTGTTACCAGCTATAGGAACCATGTATTAGCTCCTTAGTCTTTATTTGTCTTATGGTCTGAAGTTTGCAACCTTCACTAATCTCTTGTTATTTCCCCAAAAATGGCATGCTCCAACTCATTGTTTCTGTTTTTTTAAATTTAGACTTAACATGCAAATGTAAATTCTAATACTCCCAGTATTAAAGTACTTGTAAATTTATAATATTTGATACTGACAACACAATTTCACAAAAGGACTAATCTTTATTTAAAAGGTACTCAGCATGAACTGTTAATTCGGCTTGGTATTATCAATTGTGCCATTCTATCTAAGTGAGGCTTGATAGGTTATTAGTGTTCTCAAATGTCTTAATATCCTTTAAAAAAACTGATTTTTAACATAATCAATGAACTAAGTATAAATTATATATTAGATGTTAACTTAATTCCCACTAGGGTGGATTGTGTAATTGTGTGAGATTGTTGCTTCTGGGCTAAACATCAGAGCAAATTACATAGGGTTCAACTACTATTTTATTTAAGGAATGGCTGATATGCAATTTAAGAATGCCTTCCTGTCACAACTCTGAGAGAAATCTCTCATCCTCATGACCTAAAAATAAAAACTGACACATCCTAAAAATTCTTAAAGAGTTCGATTTTTGCTTGTTTGTTTATTTGTACCACAAACACTGGTGGTGTTCGGGGCTTACTCCTGGCTCTGCACTCAGGGATCACACCTGGTGGTGATCAGGGGACCGCACGCAATACTGGGGATCAAACCTGGGTTCAACATGTGAAAGGCGAGTGTCCTGCCTGCTGTACTATCTCTCTGTCGCTTCTGGAGTTCGAATTTATTATCAACAATAATATCAGATCAGAATGAAAAGGAAAAGGACTGACTTTGCATGTATTGATTTCTATTATATTCCAGGCAACGCGGATGATGTGAGAATCAAATAATATCACTCTTATCACACTAAAGATTTCGGCAGAGTAAAGAAGAGTACCCGTAGCTATACAATTAGGAAAATGTACCAGATCCAAAGCCATAATCCACCACCCCCATTTTAATTGTGCCATGATTCACAATATTATCAGTGATAGTTTCATGCATTCAACATACTGCTTCAACACACCAACCACCAGAATATTTCCCTCCACCAATGTCCCAAGGACACTTTAAATCCCCAACCCCAGATTTTACCAAGGAATCACTTTCTTTTAAGTGTAAAGGTGTTGTTTTTTTTCCAAATTATGTGTAAAAACACAGGCATTACTTAGTAAGTTTTTATTTAAGTCATCCTGCTGTTACTCCTTTCCCTCTGGGTACACACTCCTCCAGCTCCAGTCTCATCTTCATTTTAGGATAGCCATGGAGAAAACAGGTACCAAACACTGATTCCCCACAGGAGGGTTATGCAGCCCAGCAGAAGAAGCAATGGTACCGTCTGAGTGGCCACTGCATCAGGGGGGAGGCTTCAGTCTTTGGTCACAGCCTTAAGAGCTCCTGATCTCAATCCCCAACGTCTCTTTGAAAAGGCCAGACAGAACCTTTCATTTGTTTAGGGTTATGTACTACACAGACATGTTTATAATATTTTTTTGGGGGGATGGTTTGGGCCACACACAGTGGTGAACAAAAATTACTTCCAGTTCTGCACTTGGGTGCTGGTCCATGTGGTGCTAGGGGGATTGAACCAGGGTTGGATGCATGAAAATTAGGTGGGAAATGGGCACTGGTGGAGGGATGGGTATTTGATCATTGTATAATTGAAACCCAAGCACAAAAATTTGTAAGGCTACAACTGTACCTCATGGTGTCTCACTAGTAAAAATTTAAAAAAAAAATCAGAGTTCCAGGGGGCTGGAGAGATAGTATAGTCCTGAGCACCACAAGGTGTGACTCAAAGAACAACAAAACAAGAGCTCAGAGCCCTTGCCTTTATACTGTCTCTCCAATCCCGATAGCCAAGTTTAAAGGCAACCCTCGTTAGCAAGACAAGTTTGCTGGTTCTGCGATTTTAAATGGTACTTATTTTCTTTAAAAATCACATCCATTAGAGTCCCCTCTTCTGGGACTTACTTGAGGAAAGAATTCCATCAATAAATTCTTGTCGGGTTATTTTCCCATCTTGGTCTTTGTCAATTCTCCTAAAGAAGTCCATCACGCGCGATTTCTTGTGATTCATCCACCGCATGTATTTTTTCCGCCAGACATCAAAGTCAAAGTTTGCAAATTCCTTCAGCTGAAAGGGGCAAAGTGGATATTTTGGCTGAGTTAACAATGTGCCCAAGTTGTATCTGTTACCAGAGATTTTTTTAACTGCCGGTCCTTATACCAGTGCTGGTCTTGAAACCAGTCACAGGTTTTTAAAAAGGTTGGAACCCCCTGTCCAACATGATAGGAATAAAGTTATTTTCAGTGATTCTCTAGATATCACACATACCTTTCCAGTGACCATGAGAGGAACATTCTTAAAAAAGGAGATTTTGAACATATTTGATGTGAAGTTTAAGTTCATTACTACCAGTGATTTTTTTTTAATTGAAGAAACAAAACTCAAAAAAAAAATTAAGTGAAATATTCTGACAATACCAAAGTTGGCCACAGGTGTCATGTAAGTGATTTCCCCCAAAGTAAGCCCCATGTTTCGCTGGATAGTAGGTAGGGATAGTGGAAATCTTGCAAAGTGGCCGAGCAACATATATAAGACACTTCCTACCCATTTATGCCTCTCAGAGAGCCCGGCAAGCTACCAAGAGTATCCTGCTCACATGGGCAGAGCCTGGCAAGCTCCCTGTTGTGTATTCGAGTGCCAAATACAGTAACAACAATAGGTATCATTCCCCTGACTCTGAAAGAGCCTCTAATCATTGGAAAAGACAAGTAAGGAGAGACTGCTAAAATCTCAGGGCTGGAAGGAATAGAGATGTTACTGGCACCCACTCGCGTAAATTGATGAACAACGGGATGACAGTGGTACAGTGATTCGAAGTCTGATATATTCTTCTCTCCGAATTAATGCTCGTGGCACTGATTTTAGAAGTAAAATATGCCCTTATGTAGTAAGAGTTTTCTTATGTATTGTCCTAGCAGGACCACAATCACGACCATCCTGTTGTTCATCGATTGCCTCAAGCAGGCAATCGATTGTCTCCTTCATCCTAGCCCTGAGATTTTTTAAAAAGTGCCATCTTCAAGGCTCTTTCAGGGTTAGGAGAATGAGACCCGTCATTGTTACTGGTATTTGGCATATTGGGTATGCCACGGGGAGTTTGCCAGACTCTGCCATGTGGGCAGGTTACATTCGGTCGCCTGCCAGGTTGTCCAAAGTAAGAATGAGATAAGATGTCACGCGGCCGCATTTGGAGATCTTCAGAGACTATAAAACCCAGCTCCCGGAAGAGAACAGCGCAGAGTCTCCTGCCCCCGTGCCTGGCTGTCCTGGACGGGGCCCCTTGGAGGGGAGCGGGTTGAGTTTCCCTCCCCGCCCCGACCAGGGCTCTGGCAGCCGAAGTCCTAACAGGAAAGTTGGAAAATCATGATTTTGGCAACCCGATTGAACAAGGACAAATGACAAGATGGGGTGAGTGCTGGTGTTACTAACCTCCTCTAGTCTGTCCAAAGCATCATTAAGCTTTCTCCTTCTTTCCAATGCAAGAAGCCAGACCTGTTGCCATTTGCTCACTAATAAGTTGATCTTGGGATTCTTGGTTTCAATTTGCGTCTGTGATCCAGAGGGATATAAGCTTGATGATGGAAAGCATTTCCCTGTTAAAAAATATAAATCTGGTTAACATAGCAAAAATTTCAGAGTTCTGAAGTATGGGAAGGTTTGACCTTTATTGTTCCGAGCTAAACTGACTCATCTTAATTACTGGGTATGACAAGTAGAAATACTCTAATTTAGATGACGCATAATGTTAGGACCCAAGTACATTTTTCTCATTAAGGATCATAAAAGCGGTCTTTGACAGGCTGTTTGTAGAAACGGTACTTGACAGAAACATTTAAATTCATAAAGCTCTCTCTCCATGAATCTATGCTTAAAACTGCTTCCAGTTTAAAATTCATGACATTTCAATGAAGCATCTTGTGATTCTCTTCTTCATTAATATATGATTAAATAAATTTCTCAGAGAAGTAAGATATGTCTTAGACTTAATTACAGCAAACCTAGCTGCCCCAGGAGACACTGGGCCTTCATCAGTCAAAGCAAAATACTGTATCAATTCCCAAGTCTTTCTTCAAAGTCCATTTACTATGTGCAGTTTTATCCTCCAATTTACAGCCTTACTAAAAGTTTTATACCTTGCTATTTTTCAAAAGTTTCTACAACCTCAAAAGATAGTAATTTCAGTGCATTCTTCTCGTATAACTCAATGGGTAAATGTGGCCTAGAAATATTACTGACCTAAGATTCCATAGGCTATTAATAAGGAAGCTGGAATTTTCCCAGAATTCCCTACTCCCACAGGATTATATAAAAATATCAATAGGTAATAGTCACTGACCATTGAACTACAGGCCAGGAAGGATGGGATGCTAAACACTTAAAACACATTAGCTCATTTGATTCACACAATGGTTTAGCAGGAAGATTATATTCACCCCCTTTTATAGGTAAGGAAACTGAGACACAGTTTAATTTGTCCAGAGTTCTTTTTCCTAGTTGGTAAGTGGTAGATGATGGACAAGGAGTTTGTTTCAGCATGTTGATGATGATGATGGTGATGATGATGATGACATCTTCTAGGACCATATCAGCTGTGCTCAGGGACCACTCCTGGCAATGCTCAAAGATCATACACGGTACAGGGATCAAACCCAAATGACTGTCTGCAAAGCAAGTGCCTTAGCCCTAAATTATCTCTCTGGCCCTCAACATTTTTAACCACTTGATCACCTTAACTCCCTGGACAGTAAATTACTACAGATAAAAAAAACAAAACCCTACTATAGATGCAAAAAAACCCCCAAAAACCAAAAACACTACTATAGATGCAAAAAAAAAGTCATTAGTTGGGGCAAAGTCATCTGAGAAGTACATAAAATAGAGTCTAAAGTCATGAACATGGGCAAAATCTACCAGACTGCATACAGGACACTAATGGATAATTAGGCCTATGAACTTTATCCAGATCATTTCTGTTAAATCCAACTTGAAAATTATTTACATTTATAGAAGCAAACATGGCAAGAGCCTGGCAAGCTACCCGTGGCATACTCGACATGCCCAAAACACTAAGAATGATGTCCTCATTCCCCTGACCCTGAAAGAGCCCCCCATACGCCATCGGGCTACACGAGCATGTGACAGGGACGAATGGAGACATTACCGGTGCCCGCTCAAGCAAATTGATGAACAATAGGATGACAATGATACAGTGACAGAAGCAACATGAGACCATTAACAGTGGGGTGATGATTTCTGGCCTTGTAAATACTTCCAATTTCTTCTTAGAAAGATCATGCAAGTAGTTACATAAACAGACCTAAATGCAACCTTTTCTTTCTTTTTCAGTAGGTTGCTCTATACTTGAGTCCATGTACTCTTTAAAAAAATCTTTTGTGATAGAAAGTCCATGTAGGATCACCAATTGCCCTGAAATATCACACAGTAACTCAAAATGAACTTGCTTGCTTGCTTTAACCATTTATTTGTAAGAAGCCGGCCACTGCTTACTTGCGGTCCGTCCTTTATCTAAGACTGGGATATGGGACTGTATTGAGGAAGGATCAGCCACTCTCCTCTTATAGGTCTTTGTTACTTTATCAACATCAGGCTGTTTTCTGGTCATTTCCTCCATGAAAGTCTGAAATAAAAGAAATCATGACAAGTAAATTCAAGTAGATTATGAAAACTATCTTCAGACATTCAACTAAATAAAAAATGTTAAAAAATCCACGCTATTTTTTCTGAAAATGAATAAATCATCATGTTTTATCTTCAGGGGAAATCTAGCCCATCAGAGTATATATTTATTCATATTTAAAGAATGCATAATATTACAGTTTATAAAGACAGTAAATTTCATTAAAAACAAGAGAACTCCAGGCCAAGACAAATTAAAGAAATTGTCTACACTGTCTTTCAAAAGCCATTAGAGGTTTTTTGTCCCTTTTGGAAACCCTTGTTTTCTCTTGAACATGTATTACTCTTTTTCTCCTCTCAGAACTCTCTACTTAAATTTCTTTTGATAAAACTATTCTGTTTCATATACCAAAAAAATGTATTTTTACTTGAAACCCACCTCTGAGAGCAGTGTATGAGTAATAAATCCTGTCGGTGGCCCAACCTGGATCAATCTTTGCAAAGTCTTCCTGAAGAATCTTAGCATTAGCTTGCAAAGAAGCTAGCTAACTGGAGTAAGCCCTAGGATTTTTCTGTGACATATTTCACCTACAACTTTGAAACAGTCACACTAAGTGTGAATAAATTTTAAATATTCCTAGCAGTGTATATGCTATGTGAAGGAGAACAAAAATTATTCAGGTTATAATTAATATTGTAAAGGACTGACCATCCTGCCATTTCTCTTTCTTCAGACTTACTGTTGGCTGTTGTTAATATTACTACTAACTTTGCTGTCATTACTTCTGGAACAAATGGCAAAGAAAGACAATCAAAGGTGATTGGAGATTTATAAAAATTAAACTGAAGTAACACATTTTTAGAATATCTATCTCCTTGGAGCAATCTGATCACTCTAATACCTCTGATCACAGAGAACAGAGCTAAAATGCTTCAGTGCCCATTATTTACATTGGTATCTTATATGTTACCCCAAAATACATGATCAAAATTAACTGCTTATGCTGTGAAGCTGAATACAACGACTCTATTTAAAACAGGCATGATACGTGGGAAAGGTAATTCCTCTGAGCAAGGTCATGTATGTCCTTGCAGATACGAAATGCCTGAAGCTCATTGAAGGTGATGTTTTGCGGAAGAAGTAGAACACTCAAACATGGAATCAGGTTGACATTTTGAAGGTCAGAGAGAGGGCAGGAGCCAATCTGATACAGTGCCGTTTGAATATAACAAACTTCACAGAGGCCCCCTCCCAACCCCTCCCCCCCAAAAGTTTGGGGAAATAGCACAATAAGGGAAAAACATCAAAATTAAGTTAACTAGGAAGAGAGAAGAAATAGGGCAATGGTAGAATTCGAATCCCAGCCGGAAGGAAGTAACGAACATGTTTAAAAAAGTAGGGGCATGGGTTTCACTAATAAAAATAAAATAAAATAAAATAAATGAGAAAAAAACAATATATCAAAAATTTAAAAAAAAAAACAAAAAAAAAGAGAGGCAGTGAAAGAGAGGGAAACTGTGTGCAGACAGGAATTAGGATTGTATTTTACCTGGTGTTCTGCAATGAGCGCTTTCACTTCTTCAATTTCCTGGGGGATGACCTCTTTATCCTTATCACTAAGTGTTGTTTCAGCCCACTGCAGCCAAGCCAGCAAAGCCTCCAAGAGTTCTTGTTTAGCAATCAGTCCAGCCAGGGCACTTGCTAACCTTTGCTGATGTTGTTTTGCCCAGGCCAGCACCTGTGGGAAAAATAGACAGTTCTTTTCATTTCTTACACGGCAGAATTTTTTTATTTTTATTTTTATTAGTGAGACACCCTGAGGTACAGTTGCAGACTTACAAATTTTTGTGCTTGGGTTTCAATTGTACGATGATCAAACACCCATCCCTCTACCAGTGCCCATTTCCCACCACCACGGGTCCCAGTATCCCTCCCACCCCCCATCCCCCCATCCGACCCTGCCTCTGTGGCAGGGCATTCCTTTTGTTTTCTCTCTCTCCTCTTGGGTATTGTAGTTTGCAAGAGAGGCATTGAGTGGCAATCATGATCGGTCTATAGTCTACTTTCAGCATGCTTCTCCCATCCTAGGAGGATCCTCCCAACACCTTTATTTGGTGTTCCCTTCTCTATCTGAGACAGCAGCACTTTTTAAGATAAAATGTCCACTACAGAACACTGGACATTACATAAAATTCAGGTGAGTAACTGGTGTAAAAGACAGAGAATGTACAGGAAATTGGGCTCATTCTACATTATCTCCACACTGCTTGTTTCTCTTCCTCCTGTAAGTAGCACCGAGACCCAATTACAGAAGGAAAGGACAGCCTGTAGGATGTTGACGACCCTTAGAACTTTAAAGATACATTTTCATTCCTGAGGCTTCCTTTTGTTTTCTTTTTCTTTCTTTCTTTTTTTTTTTTGCTTTTGGGTCACACCCGGCAATGCACAGGGGTAACTCCTGGCTCTGCACTCAGGAATTACCCCTGGCGGTGCTCAGGGGACCATATGGGACACAGGGAATTGAACCTGGGTCGCCCACGTGCAAGGCAAACGCCCTACCCACTGTGCTATTGCTCCAGCCCCTCTTTTCTTTTTTTTTTATTATTTTTTATCAACTTTTATTGGTGAAACACCATGAGGTACAGTCGTAGACTTACAAATTTTTGTGCTTGGGTTTCAATTACACAATGATGGAGTACCCATCCCTCCCCAGTGCCCATTTTCCACCACCATGGGTCCCAGTATCCCTCCTACCCCTCACCCCCCCATCCCACCCTGCCTCTGTGGCAGGGCATTCCCTTTTGTTATCTCTCTTCTTTTGGGTGCTGTGGTTTGCAAAAGAGGCATTGAGTGGCAATCATATTCAGTCTATAATCTACTTTCAACATGCATCTCCCGTCCTGGGAGGATCCTCCAAACACCCTTTATTTGGTGCTCCCTTCTCTATCTGAGCTGTCCTTTCCCCTAGAATGCCCAGCTGACCTCTAAGCCATGGGATAATCCTCCTTTTGTTTTCTAACTTAAGCTCAATTACTGCATTCTCTGAAGAATTAAATAGGCTCACTTCAGGAAGTACAGAGTGGAAATAAAGACAACTGAAAATGTTAGGTACAAAATTAATTTGCTTCGTGTATGCAATTCACTCCAAAGACCTATGGCCGTCTGAAGCACTGTGCAATGGCTGTCTTATTCTCCCCCCCCCCCCCCCCCCACACACACACTGTGGAAGAGGGGCAGGACATAAAGGTTCTATAGTGCACCATAATGGCTGAAGTTCCACACTCCCCCGGATGCTCAAAGCTACTGCTCTTGGGATGGCCCGAGAACACTGACCTCTTCAAACCTGGCCCGGATGATGGTTATCCAGTGCTTAATGGTGGTGATCGAGTCAGGGTGGCAGATGGCCAAGACAGCATCTCCCATACTGGTAGCTTTATTTAGTGCAGATCGTTTTTCTTCCAGTTTTTTCATGAAGTCCTACATCACACACAAAGACATCAATTAGTTGTTGGCACTGTCTGAAAACAAAATGTCAGTGGCATTCATTGGCTTTTCTGTTGAACAGATGAACAAGAAGCTCAACGGGTATATTCATAACTGGACATAATTCACTAATTGGGGGGACTAAGGGCAGAGAAGGGACGAGATATACAAAATAGCTCTCAAGAGTACATTTTAAAATACAAGTCAAGGGTCCGGGATGTGGCTTAAGGACCTTCCTTTGTACAGGTGAGGCCCTTGATTTATCCCTAGCCTCATGCAACCCCAAGTAGGTGTGGCCTTGCTTCCACTGCCACCACCACTGGGTATGGGCCCTAGCACTATAATAGAAACACTGTCACTGTCACTGTCCTCCCGCTGGTCATCGATTTGCTCAAGTGGGCCCAGTAACGTCTCCATCGGAGACTTTGTTGTTACTGTGTTTGGCATATCGAATACGTTACGGGGAGCTTGCCAGGCTCTTCGAGAGGGACGGAGGAATTGAACTCGGGTCAGTCATGTTGGCTGCGTGCAAGGCAAACGCCCTACCGCTGTGCTATTGGGCCCGCTTGAGCAAATCGATGAACAACACAGTAACAACAACAAAAAAACACAAGTCTACAGTAATATCTCATACTTTAGGAAATGCATTATACCAAAAAGACATACTCCTAAATTTGGCCAGATTATATCAATGGGGAGTAGAGCTAGAAAGATTGTAATATCTGAGATAAAAATAATACTGATTTGAAAGAAAAAACTAGAAATAAGAAAAAGAGGATCAAATTTAAAATAGTATTAATTGCCCCTCCCCAGGAGGGAAAGGGTGTCTGTCTCTTCTGCCTGACCCCCCAATCCCCCGCCAGCAGCATGGTGGCTGCCACCTCAGACCCTATTGGACAGACAGGTATGAGCTGGCAGTGACGGGGCAACTGTGGCTTCATGGGATGGGGGGGGCGGAACTGGCACATCCTTCCTGCCTGGCTGAGACCATGAGTTGCCTCCACGAGCGGCTCTCCAGCACGGCCATGGCCCCAGAGGCACAAGGACCTAATTTGGAAACCAGCAGCTTTTGGCAGAAATGTGAATGGACTATGCATTAAGCTAGGGCGCTGTGCCCCCAGCCCCGGGAGGGAAAGAGTGTCTGTCTCTTCTGCCATCCCCCCCCCCCCGCCCAGCTGCATGGTGGCCGCTGCCTCAGAGCTTACTGGACAGCCAGATATGAGCCGGTGCTGATGGGGAAACTGTGGCTCATGAGTTGGGGGGCAGAACTGGCACGTCCTTCTTGTCCTGCTGAGACTAGTTGCCCCTCACGAGTGGCTCTCCAGCACAGCCACGAACCCAGAGGCACACAAACCAATCTCTGAACTCTTTGGCTTTTGGCAGAAATCCCTCCAGACTTAATTAGTAAAATAACAGAAATCCAAAATCGCGTGCCCAGGACGTCATATGCTCTTCATAACCAGCAAGAGGAAACAAATTATTTCACAATGCCTTTTCAGTAGGTCTGATTTTGGGGGGGGGATTCCAAATAATAATGGTGCATCTTTTGTCGAAATAATGAATGTAATCAAAGTAGAGAGAGAGTCAAGTGGAAATCATCTGCCTCACAGGTAGGGGGAGGGCTAAGATGGGGGGTATATTGGGATTCTTGGTGGTGGAAAATGTGCACTGGTGAAGGGATGGGTGTTTGATCATTGTATGACTGAGACTTAAACCTGAAAGCTTTGTAACTGCTCTTACAGTAATTCAATAAATGAATTTTAAAAAGTAAAAATAAAATAGCATTAATTGTAGCAAAAAAAAAGATAGAAATATGTACATTAAAGTATGAAGGAAGAGGTAAGAATAAGAATGGGACCAGAATGTTTGGGGATCTGAACTGGGGAGCCAGGCTATGTGATAATGTACCTTTCAATGGTCAATAATAAAACGTTTCCAATGAACAAGCCACTACAGGTTTCAAGAGTCTCTGGAATCAATCTTTTAGTAAGAGTCTCACACACAGGGGGTATGGTGCCGCCAGCAGGTCAATCTGTACCTGTGAGGCGAGGGCATTAGCAGCCTGATGGCACCGTCAGGCCTTCAGATACCCCAAAATTGCTGCTGTGCCTTTGGCCAGACCCCAAAAACTTGGGGCAAAGTTTCCCAAGAAGGTAAACGGCCAAAAGTTAGGTATGTGGGAGACACACCCACAAACCACCTCTGACTCAGCTATATAATTGGAGGCATGGCCTCTCTGGTTCCTGGTTGGACTGCCTAAGGACCATGATCCCAGAGACTCAGAAACAAATCTCGAAACCCAGTGGCTTTTGGCAGAAATGCGTCCAGTCCCTGCAGTAAGTTACAGGCGCTGGGCCAACCCAGGCGGGAATAGGTTTCGTGCCTTGGCCTGTCCCCCCTCGCGGCCCAATGGCCGCCATCCTCCAGAGGTCACTGGACAGTCAGGTTTGGGCCCATACTGACGAGACATGTGGGGCTTCATGGGATGGGGGTGGAGCCGGCTCTTTCCTCCCCGACCCAATAAGACCCCGAATCGCCGCCCACGCATGGCCTCTATGGTTCCTAGTCAAAGCTGCTTAACGACCATGATCCCAGAGACTCAAAAACAAATCTCAAAACCCAGCGGCTTTGGGCAGAAATGCATCTGGACCACATACACGGCCATGGCTCCAGAGGAAACATCAATTGATATCAATTCTTGGGCACCAGAGTACAAACTAAGATCGGTACATAAACACCAGATTGGGGAGAAGGGAGGATTAAGTGGACTGGAGGTGACACAGGGGCCAGGGGGGTTGGGCACTTTAGTGATAATGAGGTAAGGCAACTGTGTTGCCTCAAGACCATGAACGTCAGCTCTATTATAAACACATAACCTAAACTGTAATAAAGTTTTGAAAGTTATGTTTTTAAAGTACAAACAAACAATGGTCAGAGCCAGAGAGGGAATAGAGGAATTAAAGTGCTTGCCTTGCCTTGTATGCGGCTGGCCCCCGTTTAATCCTCAATACTGCATATGGTGGATGAATACTGCCGGGTGTGGCACAAAAATTCAGCCCACCAAAAATTCAATTGTCAGGGGCAAGAGAGACAGTTCAACTATTGTTTTGCATGCAGAAATTCTGGGTTTAGTTCTTGGACCATGCGGTCCCCCAAGCACCATCAGGAGTAAGTCCTGAGCACTGGGATGAGAACTGTTCTTGAGCATCACAAGGCATAGTCAAACAACAACAACAATGAAAATCAATGGTCAGGGGCCAGAGCGATAGTTCAGTGGGAAGGGCATCTGCCTTTGCATGCCGCTGACCTGGGTTCTCTCCCAGGCATGCCACATGGGCATCCCCTGAGCACTGTCAGGAGTTATTCCTGAGTGCAGAACCAGGAGTATATCCGGAGTATAGCTATCACTCAAGACCCCCAAAATAAATTAAAAAATTTTTAAAAAAAGAAAATCAAAGGTCAGACTTTATTTGGTTAATTATTATATCTTCTTATATAATTCATTAAAGATTATAATTTATACTATGGGTTACTTCAACATATTTAAAATTTAAGAAGACTTTTAGCTAAAAGCAAAAGTAACAAAGGCTTAAAAATACTATTAAGAGATCAGTTATTAATTTACTTGTTTATCTTGCTTACAAAGGTCAAACTTATTAATTTAAAAGTCCAATAGTATAATTGTATAAATGTTGAACTTTCATGAAGTTAAGTTTCATCTTTTAAATGCACATACAAGTAAAACAAAACTGATCAAAGGTGGTAAGAAATCCAATATTCCTTCAAAAATCAATATCCTTTCTAAAATTAGGAAACAGTGACTGATTTCACAATAATCACCTTCTTCACATGAAAAACACAAATAGCTCTACACACCTAAGCAGGCTGGGTACGGATGACCCTCAAATGTACCAAAATGACTTCAGAGAAAAGAAGATAGTCAAGCAGTGTTCTCAATTCATCCACTTTGATTTTAAAGCTAGTATTACTTAGCAATCATGCAACTCACTTTGTGCTGATCAATCAGAGTCCGGAGAGCATCTTCATCATCTGGGAGAACGCCATGGAAACGGAGGGTTTGTTCTGCCTCAGCCAGCCATTCCAAGAGGGCATGTACCACTGAGTGAAATTCCTCTGCCTAAGAGATGACACACACACACACACACACACACACACACACACAGTCCAAACAAAATCCCCAAATCACTGGTTAGTACAGTAAATTCTTCCTGGCAATAAAAAAAGTCTTAAATTTAAACTCATAATTCCCATTCAAGATAAAAATATATGGTGCTATTTTACAAATGTAGGAAAATCTCCAGCACTGTAGCACTGTCCTCCCATTGTTCCTGGATTTGCTCGAGCGGGCACCAGTAACGTCTCCATTGTGAGACTTGTTACTGTTTTTGGCATATCGAGTATGTCACAGGTATGCCAGGCTTTGCCTTGTGGGCAGAATACTTCAGTCGTTTGCCAGGCTCTCCGAGAGGGGCGGAGGAATCGAACCTGGGTCAGCTGCATGCAAGGCAAACGCCCTACCTGCTGTGCTATCGCTTCAGCCCTAGGAAAATCTCTAATGTCAAAAAGATGCCATATAAAAGGTAATTGACGATCTTGACTTTAGACAAATGGCGTTCACCATACACTCAAGCCGAAAAATCATGCACCCTGGGCTTTTCTGTGAAAATTAGGAAACCTTCCTCGGAGTAATTCACATTCTTGGGGGAGGAGTACCAAGGCGAAGATACTTCAAGAATCTCCTTGGCTGTAGCAGGGAGGGCATTTGCTTTGCATGCAGTTGACCTGCGTTCAATCCCCAGCATCCCATGGTCTCCAGAGCCCCCCAAGAGTAATTCCTGAGTGCAGAGCTAGGAGTGAACCCTAAGCATCACTAGGTGTGTCCTCCCGGCAAAACTTTTTCTTTCTTTAATGAAAGAATAAAATAGTAATTTGCCGAAGCTCCAATCCCTTTCTTTGTACAGCCAGTTATAGTTCGCAGGACTCGTACCTGCTGCAGAGCTGCTTCCAGACGTGTTTGCTTGGATATAGAGAGGGCACACACGGTCTCCCAGCGTGTGCTTAACTCCTGCATCTGGACCCTGACCCAGGAGGAGTCGTCTCGGCTGCCTTCGATGAGCTCCCTGGCGGAGCGCTTCAGGGCCTGCACGCTGCTCGTCCTCTTCCCCAGCTCTTTTTGGAAGACCTAAAATCACCATATTTTTAAAAATTAATTGTTTGGTTATGAAACCAAAAAAGTAAGACATGCTATTTGAAATACAGCCATGTGTGTGCACGTATGTGTATGTTGAGGATACACGGATGTGTATCTTCAACACATTTCACGATCGTATGTTAATCTCTAACACCTTCAATTTAATGGTCCGCATTTCCTGCAGAAACTTCAGAAGATATGGCACGCTGCTCAAAATAGTCAAGAGAAGCAAGAATCTCTCATAAATCTGGTCATTTCCATAGCAGTCTCCCGAGTCAAAAACCATTTTCGTAAATGGCACATTAGAATCAAATAATGGTAACCAACCTTGTTGTTACTGTGTTTGGCATATTGAATACTCTCAGTAGCTTGCCAGGCTCTCCGAGAGGGGTGGAGGAATCGAACCCGGCTCAGCCGGGCTGGCTGCACACAAGGCAAACGCCCTACCGGAGCGATAGCACAGCGGTAGGGCATTTGCCTTGCACGCAGCCCACATGGCCGACCCGAGTTCGATTCCTCCGCCCCTCTCGGAGAGCCCGGCAAGCTACCGAGAGTATCTCGCCCGCACGGCAGAGCCTGGCAAGCTCCCCGTGACGTATTCGATATGCCAGACACAGTAACAACAATGGAGACGTTACTGGGCCCGATCGAGCAAATCGACGAACAATGGTAGGGCCTTTACCTTTACCTAACCTTGTTAATCTTAACTATGCACACATGCGTGTGCGCGCACGCACACACACACATACACACACTATACACACACTATACCTAAATTGTTTTCTTATTCTGGGAATCTTCAATAGGAAGTCCTTATTCCTCAATTGTTACTGTACCAAGACAGCTGCTGACTGCCGATAGATACCACTCTCAATTAGCAAATGATCTGAGACTAACAGATTCATTGGCACTTTGGGGTTGTAACTTTATAAGGGGGGGGTCTATTGGAGATAATGCCCCAAAAAATCTCAAAAGAAGTTGGCATGCGATCTTCTGTGGGCCACATCACGCAGTGTTCAGGGATCACTCCTAGTGGTCTCAGGGCACCAGATACAGAGCAGGGGATAGAATCAGGGTTAGCTGCTGTGCAAGGCCGTGAATTAACTCCTGTACTATCTCTCTGGGCCCAAAGCCTGTGATATTTTCTTCCTATGCTATGCCTTAGCCTTAGGACCATAAAAGAACAGGTAAGAGCAAATAGCACCCATGGGCCAAATTTTAGGGGCTATAATCCTTATCCATCACCTTTCTGGACAGGTCTTCTTTGAAATTTTTGCCTTATTCTAATGAACTTCAATAGTCCCCAAATCAAATAGCCTTTTTGGGGGCAATCCAAGAAATGAACACTGGGCACTTCATTTCTGATCCAAAAATCTCTAAGGAACACAGGTACAGTGTCCTTTTTTTAAATTAACCTCATGCGTAGAATAAAACTAGCATGTACTTCTAAAAGAAAAATGATCACGAATGGGCTGGAGTGATAGCTGAATTGGGCCGAGCGCAAGCTTTGCGTGCTGAAGGCTTGGGGTCAGTTCCAAGCACCACAAGGTCTGCCATGAGGCAACCCTGAGCACTGACCAGGGTATGGCCCCCTAACAGCACAACACAAAATGAAACCAAATCATCACAAATGAGTATTACCCAAGCACACTTTATAATCCTAGCTACAATCATGACATTTTACTTGGATACTCAGAAACAATCCAAACATAGTGTGATATGTTTAATTATTTGTTCATTTCAGGTTAATACTGTTCCATGAGATTACACACACACCACACATACATGTGCAAACATATAGAAAAGAAGTATAATGTCCAAATAGTCTATTAATGGTAGGAACAATACAACAGTCCTAAACAGACTTTCCAATGTTCTTTGTATACTAAGACTTTTTTATGAGCCTTCCAATAGTATTACTAATGCTGAATGATTAATTCATTCTTGATGACTTTTAATATATAAAACCCAATCTGACAAATGCCTCCGGGAGTAAATATTTAGACAGTGAGGTTGTAAAAATAGCATTTATGTATAAAGTAACATCGTATTATTCATTACTCTTTGAATGAATGTCGGGTAAGAGAATCAACAGAATCACCTGCAATAGTCATACAATGAACATTTGTTTCCGTATAAGCTAAAGCAGAATAATTAAATATTTTTAATTACTGAAGGGCTAATCAGTGTTTTTCATTTATAATATTATTTTCTGCTAATATTCATTTCATTCTCTTTTATAAAAAACAACCAAAAAGGGGAAAATAAATATACAAAAGGACCCTAAAAGAACAGGTAAGAGCAAAATAGCAGGGCAGTATAAAGGACATTTTAAAGTAAAATTTTCTGAACTCAAAAATGATAGAAAGGAAATGACACATGAATTCAAATGCAGTACTGTGAGCTATCTATAAATAAAACCTAGCCTGATATTTTTATTCTACATCAGTAGCATGCCTCATATTTTTTCAAGGTTAAGTTGTAATATAAGCACTTAATTATAGTGGAGCACCTCAAATACTATGCCTAAAATATTACTCTTGATTTGCATAATAGTTGAACATACTTATCAGGACAATGCAAAGAAACTACTTTTATTAAAGTAATAAATCCCTAATAGCACAGGCTGGCATCTCCTATCTTGCTATATAGTTCAAGGGCTAGGTTAAATATTTTTTTTTAAGGCAGCTAATCATGATGGCAACAGATCATACCACAAATTTATACCCCTATGTAATTACCAGTTCCAGGCCACAGAATGATTTTAAATTCTATTACATATTATGTAAATAAAACAAAAGACAGTAAAACATTCTTGAAACATATTTCTCAGAACTAGAAGCTGAAGTCATCTATTGCCTAAACTGTAATAATAAAAAGGTTTTGGGTTTTGAAATTAAACATGCAAACTGTCTCACTAGTACAAAAGTCATTTTCTTACATTACTTTAAAAAAAAGTTGCTTCCTGATTCTGCTCAAATGTACCAATACTTTAATATGCAGGACTGTTACATAATATGATATATAGTCTTTAGATTTTAAAAGACTACATTAAGTGGTTGCAGTTTCCTCTCTACTCAGAATAATCAAATGAGATCAAACAAAATGTCCCAAAGAACATTACCTTGTGATTATCGATCAGATTCATCACTAAATCAATGTCTCCGTGGACAGGCTGGTCTTCTGCCAGCTGGGGTTCAACTCGATACAGCCAATCAATCAGAGCCTGCAGGGCATCTGTGAACTGTCCAGAAAATATCAGGGCTTCCTCCAGTTTATTTTGTCTGAGGAAAAATGGGGGTTAAAAAAAAAATCAAAGTGAACAACAACACAAAGTCATCCTATTTTTCTGAATATTCAAAATTCACTTATGAAGGCTGAGCAGCACTCAAGAAAAATAAGATATTGCAACTGATCGCTGTTCCTCTGCTTCCCTTCGAAATTTTTCATTTTTTTTCATTTCATCATCCTGTTATTCGTCGATTGCCTCGAGCAGGCCCCAGTAACGTCTCTTTCATCCTAGCCCTGAGATTATATTCAAGGCTCTTTAGGAGAATGAGACCCATCATTGATACTGGTATTTGGCATATTTGGTATGCCACGGGGAGTTTGCCAGACTCTGCCCTGTGGGCAGACTACATTCGGTAGCCTGCCAGTTTGTCCAAAGTAGGAAAGAGACAATAAGATGTCGAAATTAACAACTTTTTTTTTTGCAAGTAGGGGGCTTCCGAATGGTACACATATAGTATGAGGTAACTCCTGGTGATAAATGGCCAACTAAGTTGGCAGTTCAATACCAGGGCCCATGGGGTGACCACTGGTCCTCCTGCGTCTCCAGAACTACACCTGATGGTGTCTAGGCCTGTGATGCTTGGGCTCGAATTCATGTCCTGGTGTGAGCAAAGTATGCTGGGCTAGCTAATCTCTCTGGCTCACAATTTCTTTTTTTTAATTAATTTTTAATTTTAGTCATTGTGATTTACAATTCACAATAACGTCATGACGGGGTTTCATAAATACAATAATCCATCCCCACCAGAGTGTTCACTTCCTTTTACCATTGTCTCACGGTCCCTCTCACTCTGTCCCCACCCGGCCTAAACGTTCCCCATTTCCGTCCGCCTAATCTCACTGCCACGGTTAGCTCAGATCTGCACATCCGATTCTTAGATTCTGTTGCTTTGGGCCTTTTGTTATTTCCCTACTAAGCTTCTTTACATCCCACACGTGAGAGAAGCACTCTGTATCTGTCTCGCTCCTCTGGATGACTTCACTCAGCATTATACCCTCTAGTTTCAACCACTGTTATTCAACATTCAACATTGGAAGTCCTGGCCAAGAAAGAGAAAGTAAGGCATCCAGGTTGGGAAAGAAGAGGTCAAGCTATCATTACTTGCAGATGACATGACATCATATTTAGATAATCCAAAAGATTCTACAAAAAAAAAAAAGCTCCCAGAAACAATAAACTTATACAGGAATGCAGAAAGCTACAAAATAAATACACAGAAATCTATGGCATTCCTAATGTAAACAAAAAATAGAAGAGAAGGAAACAAAATAATCCCATTCATAATTATCCTTCTAAAATTCAAGTATTTAACAAAAGAGCCGAAAGATTCGTCTAAAGAAAACTGGATTTCACTGCTAAAGCAAACAAAAGAAGATACAAGGCAATATATCCCCTGTTCATTCATTGAGAGGATTAATTCTGTCCAAATGACAGTCCTACCCAAAGCAACATACAGATTCAATGCAGTTCCTTTACAAAAATCATGACATTTTCAAAAGGCACAGACCAAGAAGCTTTTCTTTTCTCAACTTTAAATTATACTATGAAGTCACAGTAATCACAAAAAAAGAATTTCATTTTTGTTTATTAAATAGTTATTATCTGTTCTAGGAAAAGTGACCATCTCCTCTAGAGAATATCAATTCCTCAGTTTCTTAAAAAAATTAAATTAAATTAAATTAAGTTTAAATTAACAATAACTCAAAAGTTTAACTTTTGAGAAGTAGAGGGTTCTATAAATTTTAACACATGTATAGGTGCAGAACAATCCCTAAACTCTCAGAATGTCTCTCACAAAGTCTCTTTGGAGTCACAATCTAGCCCCATCTTCAAATTTGGAATTCACAATCTGCTTTTACTCCGACTGTGGATTCTCAGGAATGTCATAGAAATGAAGTTATTTACATGACACTGCATAAAACATGGCAAAATTTGGACAACTGAGAAATCAAGGAAAAAAATTTTTTTAAAAGAAACAAGATAGTGAATTTCCCTAGAACCAAAATTAATATTTGATTTCATTTTGATCCAATAAAAGCAGTTTTTAGGTCAGATTATTTGGGAAAATAAAATCACACCCCAGAAAGTGCAAATCCACAGAGACAATTTGAAAAATTTGAATGACTCTCAAAAATTATTCGGCAATATTAACTGGCTGGAGCGATAGCACAGCGGGTAGGGTGTTTGCCTTGCATGCGGCCGACCCGGGTTCAATTCCTCCCTCCCTCTCGGAGAGCCCGGCACGCTACTGAGAGCATTCCACCCGCACGGCAGAGCCTGGCAAGCTTCTCGTGGCGTTTTTGATATGCTAAAAACAGTAACAAATCTCACAATGGAGACGTTGCTGGTGCCCGCCCGAGCAAATCGATGAACAACAGGAGGGCAGTGCTACAGTGCTACAATAAAAGTAACTGACCAATGAATGAAAAAACTGGAGACATGCAGAAATTACAGAGCTTCTATTTCGAAACAATTTCAGGTAAACCTTAGGCCTTCGGGATTGTATGCAACTACAAGAAAGGGGACGAGAAAGGAGTGAAGGGCAGTTGGAACGGAACCAAGGTCAGATCCTGAGGACCTTCCGTGTGTGTCGTAACCAATAGCAAATCCCCAAAGGGTATGAATTAGGGAAACGACAGGATTCCATTTATCATTTTTTTTGATTTTTTAAAAAAAAAATTTATTAGTGAAACACCATGAGGCACAGTTGTAGACTTACAAATTTTTGTGCTTGGGTTTCAGTTTTGCAATGATCAAGTACCCATCCCTCCACCAGTGCCCATTTTCCACCACCATGGGTCCCAGTATCCCTCCCACCCTCATCCCCCCCATCCCAACCTGCCTCTGTGGCAGGGCATTCCCTTTTATCATTTGAAAATGTAATTTACAATGGGAAGAGCCCTAGTGACTTGGAAATTGGATTAAGGAGACAATAGCAGATGAGGGTGGGAGGAGGGACTCGTAGGCAGCTGTTATCATCAGATGTATGAGCTGCAGCTGTGCTGGAGAATTAAATCATTTCCGAGTGAACTGAGCAGTTAAAAATAAATAATGAACAGTAAAAGCTGCACACAAAAACTACTTAGTACTTAGTACTGGGGTATTAAGGATGAGCAGAGTTCTCGGGGGAAGTAGGGTAATGAAGTTTCCAAAAAGGGCTCTGCAGAGGGTCACTCGCCAAGATCTGAAAACCACCACACGGCCATCAAGAACACTTTACCTCTCCACAGATTTCCCGCAGATGGTGTCCCATTTATCTCGGAGCTCACTCAGCATGTCATCCAGCTTCAGGTTGTCATCGGCCAGAGTAGTTTTCTCCTTCAGAGAACGCCCTGTTCTGTTGGTGGTGTCATAGACAGAGTGCTTGGCTCCCAGTGATTTCTGAAACTCCTGTGGTTTTAATGAGAAAGCAGTGTGCATTTCTACTTGGGACCAACAAACTGGTAAGAGACCTTAACAAAGGTATTCCTAATACATTAAGTACAAACACTGGAAAACATCAACAAATAATTAAGCCACGTAGGCACTGCTATCCTTTACACAAGAACGCACAAAGAAAGGAATGAATGTCAAAACTTTCCAATGGAAGGATGTGTTTCTCTCAGAAGCCAGGTATCTTTGAGCGCCTAACTATTAGCAAGAACATAGATCGAAAGCAAGACACACCCTAAATCTCTTGTGGCTATATAAACAGCAAACTATAATAGCTATGATAAAGGGGCATTGCTGCTAAATTATTGAAAAACCAGAGTTTGGAGAAGAAAATGGGTCCAGCAGGAACACAAAGAGACTCAATAATGTATAAATCTGACAGTTTACTGTCAAGTTTATTGTCACACACTATGGATAGTCACAATAATGCTACATGAAATTTTGTCTGTGCGTGAGGATGAAGGACAAGAAAGAACCACACCTCATTTTCCACATTCGGATCTACTGCTCAGTCTCTTTGCACCACTGGGAATGCCCACACCACACCCCTACCTACCCCACCTCCCCTCTATAAAGCCTACTGAAGTTTCAAAAGAGCTCGTGATTACTTTTCAAGTATTAATGATCTAAATTGGGTCTAGGGATGTAGTTCAGTGTTACACCAATGTCTTGCATTGGGTAACCCGGGTCTGGTCCCCAGCAATGCAAAAGAAAAGAGATCAGAGAGTCAGTGCAACAGGCTGAGTACATGCTTTGCCTACAAGTGACCCCCGTTCTAGTTCCAGCCCCCCAAGAGTCCTGAACTCAATGGATATGAGCCCATGAGCTCAACGGAGTAGGACCCAAAAGCGAATCCTCCAAAGAGTGAAGCAGAATAAATGAACTTAATAACTGCTTTATTATGTTTGTAATGTCTATGCCTTTGTACATTTTATCTTGCCAGTGATTCTTTTATATTTGTGCAGGTATATGTCTAAGAGGGGTGAATTACATTTCCTCTATATAATTTAAGCCTCTAGAGAGCAGATATAGTATCTTTATCTATTATTTTGTATTTTAAAGGTACTTGGAAGTATTTAATATAAATGGAAACGACTTCTTAATATATGATCACAGGTAGAAGAGCACATGTCAACTTAATGAGCAGCTTAGCAACTCAGTAAGCATCAAGAAAATAATAGTACTATAGTTTTCTTTTGGGCCACATTTGACAGCACTGAGGCTTTACTCCTGGTTGTAGTGCTCAGCAGACCATATGTGGTACTGGGGATCAAAATAGCTGGTCATACCAAACATGATTGCCACTCAATGCCTCTCTTGCAAAACACAGGACCCAAAAGAATAGAGAAAGAACAAGGGGAAATGCCCTGCCACAGAGGCAGGGTGGGATGGGAGGACGGGGGTGGGGGGGGGGGTGGGAGGGATGCTGGGACCCGTGGTGGTGGAGGATGGGCGCTGGTGGAGGGATGGGTACTTGATCATTGTATAACTGAAACCCAAGCACAAAAGTTTTCAAGTCTATAACTGTACCTCATGGTGTTTCACTCATAAAAAAAATTTTTTAAAAATTAAAAAAGAAGACAAAAAAGCTGGTCATAGACAAGGCAAGCATCTAAATCCCAATTTAAAGAAACTTTCATTGTCAATCCTGGGAAAATGCTAGGATCACCTCAAATAGTTATATGCCATACAAATGTATTATTTTACAAAATACCCTTAATGTTCCAGTTACCTAATAAGTTTTCATTGCTTTTAAATGCTAGACTCTTCTCATTTGTGGGGCACCCTCAATGGTACTCAGAAGCTACTTCCAGTTCAATCCACTGGTGACCGTGTGTACTGGGAATTGAACATGAGTGTCCTGCATGAGTGTCCTGCTGTAGCCTATGAAACTCTCTCCAGCCCCAAAGTCAGATACTTTAAGTATCTAATATAACTAAGCTATTTATTTTGTTTGCAAGAGGAGGCAACTACACTTGGGATTTGTAAGTAATAAACACCACTACCATGCATATTTCTGATGTTTATTTCTTTAATTACTATGTTTTCAAGTGATTCTACACAAAAATCCTCATTTTTGACTTAGAGATTGACAAGTTTCTTCAATAGATAGTGTATCCCAAAAGATACATAGTTCACACCAGAAAGCCTTTTTTTACTTTGCTGATGAATAAAATACACAAGTAAGTCGTGTACAAATGAAATATTATGCTTAATTGGACACCCACCTTATGTTGAGCAAGTTGTGTCTTTATTTTGTGTGGATCATTGGCAATTTCCAGCTCAGAATCCAGAGACTTCTCTGACTCTTCAAGCCACTCCATAAGTTTACTCCATGCTTCATAGAACTGTAAAAGAAATTCATGTATTTGTTGAGAAAACATTCAGGCGTACTCAGTTATGTCTGAAATGCTGCATAATTTTAACAGAAGTTAGTATTAATGGAAATTTCAAAGCAGAACCATTAAAAATTTTCACTGCAGAAGATAAAAGGGAATTTTTCTTTGCTTTTTTAAATTTATTTTTAAAATTTCATTTTATTAAAGTACCAATTTGCAAAGTTTTTCATAGTTGAGTTTTAGACACACAATGTTCCTGTACCCGTCCCACCCCTGGTCTCTTCCCTCTACCAATGTTCCCACACCCCCTCCTCTCTCTAACAATCCCCCAAGTCCACAGCCTGCCATCTTGACAGGCACCATTGCAACTTTGGTTGTTAAAATTTGGGTATCATGGGGCTGGAGCAATAGCACAGCGGGTAGGGCGTTTGCCTTGCACGCGGCTGACCCGGGTTCTATTCCCAGCATCCCATAGGGTCCCCTGAGCACTACCAGGAGTAACACCTGAGTGCAGAGCCAGGGGTAATCCCTGTGCATCGCCGAGTTTGACCCAAAAAGCAAAAAATAAAAAAATGAGTATCATGATTTCAGTGTTGTAGATCCCACAGTTTGGATATTTAGCTCTTTCTTTCCTTAACACCACTGATGTATCTGACTATAAAATAATCCAATGCTATATGTGTATGGAATATATTTATATATATATGTATTATAAAGAGAGAGAGATTTGATTGTGGCTATAGTCCTTTTATCTATTTATCATAGAAAGCTAGGGTCATTATTTTTATATATTTATATTTTTGCTTTTTGGGTCATACCTGGCAATGCACAGGGGTTACTCCTGGCTCTGCACTCAGGAGTTACTCCTGGTGGTGCTCAGGGGACCCTATGGAATGCTGGGAATAGAACCCGGGTTGGCTGCGTGCAAGGCAAACGCCCTACCCGCTGTGCTATCTCTCCGGCCCCGGGTCATTATTTTTAGATACAAAATTGTAAAACTGGGGACCAGAGTGATAATACAATCCTGGGTAACCCTTGTATCCCTCTGAGCCCATCAGGAGTGATCCCAGAGTGCAGAGCTAGGACTAAGCCCTAGCTTACTGGCTGTGGCCCCAAAAAACAAACAAAAATCAAATAAACAAAAAGAAAGCAGTACACAATCCTCATAAAGTTGACTAAACAAAAAGGGAAGACAAAAATTGATCCGGTAAACCTGCCTACAAGGAAGGAGGAGTTGTTAGAGAATGCCGGAGAAAGAGAAAATGTTGGAGAAGAAATGAAGACTAGTCAAGAAGTCATGGGATAGCCTCAGAGAGGTGAGGAATATCACCCATTCGAACAGAAAATGCTCTTTCAGAAAAGCTGTCTCCGGGACTCAACGTCTGGCTCCAGCTCTGACAGCGGTGAAGAAAGTCTGACTAAGAAAACTAAATGAAAGGTAGCAGAATAATGAAGGCTGACATCTCATTCTGACCAGGAGAGAGGAGGCTGAAAGGACAAGGCAAAACCCAACAAACTCAATAATCGAAACACTGAGTCTCTTCTTGGGCCTTAATTATACGGCTCTATCTATGAAGTCCAGCTCTAGTCAGACTCCCAAGATGAGTCCCCAGGCATTAAACTGCTGCCAGGTGATGTCATCGCCCCAACAATTAAACCACAGCTCTCTCAGAAAAATACACACCAGGGCTTCAAGCCACGATTGTTACTCCTAATGCAGCCTCCTGTGATGAAAGTTATTCAGAAACATGCACACATGCCAAGAACAAGAACTCTCTGATTGCCAAGTTCAGAGAAGTCTTATGAAGGCTTACCTGCTTGGCCCTCTTCCTTGCTTCATCCAGAGATCTTCCTCTCTCTACCAAGCGCTGAACAACTTTCTCCCATCGACTCTGAACGCTGATCAGTAGGTTCTTAATTAGGACAACGTCTTGTTTCTGACTGAAATATTTCAAGTGAGTTCCGGTTTTGTCCAGTTCTACTATTTGCTCACGGTGTGAATTGACTTCATTGGCAAAAACCTTTCCCAAAAGAAAAGGTTCTAATTAGAATGAAATGATAAATGGATCCCCCCAAAAATGGATCCCCTGGCGCTCCAGGCTAAAACTGTTACAATGGTCAAAAGAAAGCACTAAAACACCAAACCCAGCCTCTGACAGTAAAAAAGCCCGTTACCGAAAAAGTTCTGAAATGACAAGCTCTTCATGTGAATGATGACATACCTTGTGTTCATCGATTTGAAATAAGACTGTGTCCAAGATAAGGCTTGGCCGAGAAGCTACATTAAGGGTCTGTTCAGCCTGTGTAAGCCAGTTGATAAAGTCTTGGAGAGAATTGTGGAATTCCATTGCCAAGTTGAGGGCCTCTTCCAGTTTAGTCTGCAAAGACAGATTATTTTTGTATTTGATGATATTTAAGATTTCTTAATCCCAGTTTGACCACTTTCTGGAAGATCTTCTTCTTCTTCGCTACACTTTATATATAATCCATACTCCATTAATGGTTTATAAATACAATAAGCATTTATAAAAACACTGGAAAACAACACCCCTTTGAAGTACAATTTTTTTTGTATGTAATAAACTGTGGTTTCGTTTGGGGTAGTTAAGCACAGAATACAATTCTCAAATAAATTTGAGAAAAGACACCCATAAAATTAATTTGGGGGGGGTCAAATTTATTTATGAAATATTCACTGTGCACTGACAAACTGTGCACTCTAATATTCACAGTCTCAGTTTTATAGTATTAAATCATAATATTAAGATTCCTTATTTATTCACTATTTAACAACTGACAAATATGAAAAAATTCATAAATCAATATAATTTCTAATTTCTTCGTATGAATTTTTATTAGATAAGTGCTTATTTCATATACAATCATCTCACTCTCTTTCTTCCTTACCTTTACACAATAAAGTCCTTTGATTAATAAAATGTATTTAGAGCTGCATTTCATAATCCACAATTTGAGTGGCTCATACTTTTAAAATGTACAGAGTTACACTTGATGTTATGCCTCTATCCTTGAGTTGAGACCATTAATTGTTCTCCTATGTTAACACAGCATAATTTTTTCCCAATAAATTTCCAGAGTATACAATTTGGATCATTAAAAAATTCTCTAATAAATTCTACTTCAGAGATAAAGCGAAACCCATCAAATTAAACAACACAAACATTCATTATGTCATATTCATCAAAGCACATACTTTCCTTTCATTGAGCTTGGTTTCCACAGATTCCCATTTCTCTTTCAAATTATTGATGTCTTGGTCAATATTTGTCTCTGCAGATTTGGGGCACCTTGCAAGCATCTGCTGGCCTTTCTCCATCAGATTCTTATATGTTTCTTCTTTAACGTCAAAGGCCGCACAGATTTCCTACATTGAAATATTCCTCCAAGTTATATCATTTTCAATAGTTTGATTTTTCTCTAATAGTTCAATTTTTCCAGTTTATCGATCCTGGAAGCCTCTTGCATATTCATACGATCATATTCACAACTCTAAGACTCTTGTCATCTATATCCCTACTGTGTATTTAAAAACTCAAACACAGTTACACTTATATCTTGTGTGTGTGCTGGAAGGGACTGGTCCTAGGGTCTCACACATACAAGGCAAGCACTCTACCAATGAGCACCATCCTTAATTCTCAACTTTTCAGTCTACTGAACAAAACCTAACGCCTGCAACTATGCCCTGCCCATGAAGAAATCTCAGAAATGATGCAACCATTACCAGTCCAATTTGGCCTGCCAAGGCTCATGAAATAGCATTTTGATTTCTATCAAGAAGCACTTTATTGTAGCTTTGTGACCTAAAATGAGTAATTTAACCCCCCTGACCCTCAATTTCCATCTCTGTAAAACAAGGGCTTTCTAAGACTCTCCTCAAACTACTATAAAATGACGAATACTGTACTCATTTAACTTAACTCCACACCCAGAAGACATGCAATAGATAGAAAGTTGAGACAGTTTCTAGTAAGACATCTAAATGGATAAACCTGAGTCCAGAATAATAAATCTTGGTGTTCCATGCACTCGTATGTCCATTCCTACTACAACTGCTTTTCATTTAAATCTCCCCCACGACTTATTCATCACCAGGGCTTATCTGAGTCATCAATTTCTTAGTCTGAAGCCAGCGTTACAGTCAAACAGGAACATACCATGTGGGCATTAAGCTGCTCCCTGGCTGTTTCTGGTAAGCCTCCGAGCGGTTTGGACGCCAGAAGATGACGCTCTGTGTCAGTCAGCCACTGCTGCAAATCCTCAATTTCACCATGAAACCCTTTAGCCTGGAGAGATAGAAAGTTTTATGTTCTGACCCTAGACACTGTGACTTTTGAACAGAATATGTGTTAACAGCAATAAGTGTTCTGGCCTGCTAAGCATTTCTTCCTTCCTTCCTTCCTTCCTTCCTTCCTTCCTTCCTTCCTTCCTTCCTTCCTTATTATTTTTTGCTTTTTGGGTCACACCGGGGGTGCACAGGGTTTAGGCCTGGCTCATGCACTGAGGAATTATTCCTGGTGGTGCTCGGGGGACCATATAGGATGCCGGGAATCGATCCCAGGTCAGCTTCATGCAAGGCAAACACCACCCCCCCCCCCCCCAGCTGTGATATCACTCCAGCCCCTGCTAAGCATCTTTTTTTAAAAATTTTTATTAGTGAAACACCATGAGGTACAGTTGTAGACTTACAAATTCCTGTGCCTGGGTTTCAGTTATACAATGATCGAGTACCCATCTGTCCACCAGTGCCCATTCTCCACCACCAATGATCCCAGTAGCCCTCCCACCCCCCATTCCCTGCTAAAAATCTCTATGTCCTCTTAAGAAAGGTCCCACGCCAAAGGATTGGCCTTTTCTATCTCCATCAGTAGTGTGCTGGGGGATAAGACTATTATACTAAGAATTAGAGAGCTCTTTTCTCTTCATCTCTGTCTGTTCTTTAGCACACATGTTATTTTTCTTCTTAGCACTGCACCATAGCACTGTCCTCCCATTGTTCATTGATTTGCATGAGAGGGCACCAGTAACGTCTCCATTGTGAGACTTGTTACTGTTTTTGGCATATCGAATATGTCATAGGTAGCTTGCCAGGTTTTGCCGTATGGGCAGAATACTCTTGATAGCTTGCTGGGCTCTCCGAGAGGGGTGGAGAAATCGAACCCAGGTCGGCCACATGCAAGGCAAATACCCTACCCTGCTATGCTATCGCTCTGGCCCAATTAAGGGTATCTTTTTTTCTTCTTTAGGAAAAAAAAATTAAAACATGGCTCTGTAAACCAATGAGACAATTCCATGCTATTTGATCTTAAAGACAGTTTTAGATTTTTTTGTTTTTTTCACCTGGCGCAAGGCACCGTCCAGCTGCTGCTTCCTCTGTTCTGTTTTCTCCAAAACATTTTGCCAGCGTTGATTTAAGATCTCCAGCTTGTTCTGCAGGTTGCTTGCTTCTTCTCCTGCACTTGATTCAATTAGATCATTTCCTGCTTTATTAACAGCTTCCACTGTGGACTGATGGGCTAATACATCATTTTGGAGAACCTGAAAATATTATGATAATATTATGTTAGGTTGTTTGAAATGTGTTCATAGTACTTTGAATTGACTCTTTCATTTCTTGGCTATGAACACTTTTGCACCCAGACCATAATATGAAATTTTTACAGTAAGAGTTTTAAAAAGACGGTTTTCTTTTCCTTAAACATTGAAGCTTTCCTAGTTATCTCTATAATCCAGCAATGTTTCTTTAAACAATTATATAAGAATATTTTGCCTGTTCTCCCATTAGATAAACTTTGCAACTGATGATATTAAATGTCTACAATTAAAAGATTTAAAATATTCCATTTGATTAAAGTTAATTTTAACTGAATTCAATTTCCATGTCTTAAAATTTTTTAAAGATATTTTGTACATATATACATTCATTTTCAAATAAGACATTTCTAAGATATATGGTCCCATATTTTATAAAGAGCACTCCAGAAGGACAAAAATTCCCTCAGATGGTTTTCATTGTATTCCAGGGATACTCAAAATCAGCATAGAATATTTAGTTATTCTTTGATTAGAAATTACATACAGGGCATGTATACTAAGATATCTGTTATGAACAGAAGGCATTCCGTTCTGTGTTAACAAAAGTTATACCATTTTGTAAACTTCTTTTGTTTTGTGTGTGATACAGTTAGCTAATAAGCCAGGCTGACACATCTCCTTATCAATGTGGGTCAGATACTTCCAGCCTTGAACTTGGACTGGCCAATTCAACTGGCAACACTCCAAATTGACTGGTCAATTTCTTCTTCTTCTGATAGCGCCTGTCAGATTTGGAAAGAACCTTTGGATCTTCTCCCTGTCTTCAACATGCTTGGGACCTGGCGTGAACATCTGGATCTCCATCTTGGCCCCAACGTTCCTGAGACTGGGATGAACTCTGCCTGACTTGTCTCCAACCTGTCTGAGGGACGCCACTGCTCTTGACCCGTCCCTCTGCCAACCTGATGTCAGGTTCACTGGACAATCCCAAGATGAGACTGTGGAGTTCACTGGTGGCCTAAGACATGTCACTTTAAGAGTGCCTGAGGTGGATATACAAGACACTAGTAGAACTGAACAAGAAAAAAACCTCCAACCCCATCAAAAAATGTGGAGAAAAAATAAACAGATGTTTCCTCAAAAAAGAAATACAAATGGCCAAAAGGCACACAAAAAAATGCTCCACATCACCAGGCATCAGGGAGACGCAAATCAAAAAAACAATGAGATATCATCTCACACCACAGAGACTGGCACACATTTAAATGCCCTGCCACAGAGGAAGGGCAGGGTGGGGGGATGGGGGTGGGAGGGATACTGGGACCTGTGATGGTGGAAAATGAAACATGAAAGCTTGTAACTTTCTCACAGTGATTCAATAAATTTTTTTTTAAAAGAATGTCTGAGTTGTGGTTTCAGTCAGCTAGAGGTGATGATACGATTGGAATATGAATGTTTTTAGCTGGATGTGCTTATTTATATATATGATTTTAGTGATTATATTGATTGTGTACATTGTTATTCAATAAATTGTGTTTAAGCATATCTGATTCCACTCGCCTTTATCATGCTCATAACAATGTTCCAATAAATAGCACTTTCCTTTAATATCATAGAAATATAACAGACAAGTAATAGTCAGATACACTAATCCAGGGAAAAAGTACTTGTGCAGAAAGCACCTGCTAGGCTAAGAAAATGAATGTCTAAAGCTGACAAGAATTATTCTTCAGAGGACAGAGTGAGCATAGTGGGTAGGGCTTGCCTTACATGCAACTAACATGGGTTTGATTCCTGGCAGCCCAGATGGTCTCCCAAGCCTGCAGGACTAACTCCTGAGCGCAGAGCCAGGAGTAAGCCCTGAGCACCGCGGCCTGTGGTCCCAAAACAACAACGACAAACGACACCTTTAAAGAACAAATATAGCTTTGTAATAGTTTCCTTTTAAGAATGCATGTTTTCCCAAAACAGAACAGAAGCGCATCCTCTAAAGAAGAGTGCTAATACTTTCTGATGATCACTGGCTTAGCAATAGGAAAGAAAAGGAACACAGTTCTTCTACTGAGACATTCTACATCTGGAACGAAACTTAGACCCAGGGGATTTTCAGCAAAGATCACTGGACATTTGTGGTCACTTTCTCTGACCGGATTCCTTCCTATGTTAAGGCATCTGGTGAGGGAGTGTTTGTCAAATCCACTGACACAACCAGCCGAATACGAAAGCCGTCTTGATAAAAGGGGGCAGATGTTAACAAGAGAAGCCTTCTTCACCAAGAGAGTTACAAGTTCTTGCGGTCAAAGTGTAAAATATAATTCTATAGAATTCATTCTTCTCAACGGCCCGGGTCCTGCTATATAAGGCAAAGTTCTTGGGGTCAGAAAAACAGGAGCAAGATGGAAAGATTCCCTCATTTCTTTTAATAACTGTGCTGGCAAGTTCTGAGTCCTTTAACTTTTGACCTTTGAGAAATGGAAGGAGAAATGACAAGGAGCCTCCAACTGCTTTGAGACCGATGAAAAGAAATAACTGGATTAAAATAAAAAAGAAAGAAAGAAAGAACTGGTTTCCTACTCACTCCTCACCCAAAAAAGAGCATCGGTGAGCTGCTTCTTCCTACAAAAACTGTCTTCTACAGATTTCTTATTACTGACATGAGATACTTAGAGGGAAACCAGTAAATTTATAAAAATGTAAATCCATGAACAAACACCAAGAACAAATATTTTGTTTTTATGCAAAGCAAAAACATATATATGATACAAAGACCTGATTGCTTAATTATCTAATTGCTTAATTAGATACAAAAAAAAAACAAACACTGTCCTCCCATTGTTCATCGATTTGCTCGAGTGGGCCCAGTAACGTCTCCATTATGAGACTTCTTGTTACTGTGTTTGGCATATTGAATACATCACAAGTAGCTTGCCAGGCTTTGCTGTGCCAGTGAGATACTCTCAGGCTCTCTCATAGGGGCGGAGGAATCGAACCTGGCTCGGCTGGGCTGGCTGCACACAAGGCAAATGCCTTACTGCTGTGCTATCACTCCAGCACAGTCATTCCAACTCTTAACTAGATAGAGTTGGAAAATGACTACACATAGAGACAGTGTCAAGCAAAAGAGAAAGAAAAAAATTTTACTTCAGGCAACAATTACTGTGAAGAAAAGTGTAAAAAGGAGACCTAGAGCAGAAATAGTGGAAAATTATATAGAATGATCTTAAGGTACTAAAACCCTATTCTTTGTTTTAAAATGCTACCAAATATGTAAAATAATCAACGTTTCTATTTAGTAATCATGGGAAAACTACTGAAAGTAAAAATTTAGGACCCAATAGTAAATAAAATAGCACTATTGAATGTGAATCTAAAACTCTAATAAAGCCTGAGGTTCCCAAACTTATCTGTCCTACTGTCCCCTTAAAAAGAAATTCTCAGTTATCCCCCCAAAAATATATCTTCTTCAAGCAAGCAAAAACAAAGCCCTTCTAATTCCTACTATCACTCCCCCTAGAATTTTTGTGTCCCCCACCAACAGACAGAGGGGTCAGATATTGACCAATTTGGGAAACAATGGGATAAACATTACTGAATATAGCCTTGCTTAATTTGGGGGTGGGGTAGTGGCGTCGACACCCAGCAGTGCTCAAGGATCAATCCTAGCGGTGCTTGAGGACCAAGTGCAGTGCCAGAGATGGAACTAGGATCAGCCAAACGCAAGATAAGCATGATACCTGCTATCCGCTATCTCCAGACCCAAAGATAGAGAACTTTATATTAAAAACTCATAACTAAGTACAAAGATGACAATAATATAAACTCTTCCCCGGTACCTCTTTAGGCAACATTTTTCTATTTATAAAGTTTAGCTCAAGTAAGGTATACTTATATATATTCTTTTGAGCATAATAAATATCTAATGACTTAGTAAGGACTGAGATACTCAAAAAAAATTCAGTGAAAAGAAACACAGATGGGGCTGGACAGACAGAGAGTTCAGTGTTATGCTTTGCATGTGGTTGGCCCCACTCTGATTCCACACACCACCTATGGTCCCCCAAGTACTGCCAGGAGTGATACCTGAACACAGAGACAAGAGTAAGCATCACTGGGTGTGCCCCCCAAAACAGAGAGAGAGAGAGAAGAGAGAGAGAGAGAGAGAGAGAGAGAGAGAGAGAGAGAGAGAGGGACCATCCTCCACATAATAGAATGGAATATACATACAGAGACAGGGTGGACATGTCAAATTATCAGCCAGAGATATGGATGAATTGAGGAAAAACAAGCACACACACAACCTATAGTGGAATGTTTTCAGTCTTGGAGGCTACCTTGACATTAAAGAAAATAAGAACAAGTTTATTGCCTTAACATTACCTAATACCGTGTAAGTTTAAGTTGTATAGCATTATATTTAGATACTAAATAGAATCCATTATGATGCTGGTGAAGGCATGAAGAAAAGGGATCCTTTGTTTGACCTTGGTGGAAATATAAACTGGCCGCAGCTGTTCTTCAGAACGGCATGGAAATTATTGTAAAAAACTAAGAGTGAAAATTTCATATGATCAAGCTATTTCCATTCGAGCATTTATTCGTGGAATAAAAAAGCAGTCATTTGAAGAGACATACATGCAGACCCTCTGTTCACTGCACCACTTTTTTCTATACCAAGATTTGAAATACCCACCAATGAATCAATGGATAAAGGAAACTGGAGCACAAAGACGTGGGATCCTACTTATATATAAAAAACAAAGACGAGATCCCAACAGTATGTTCGTCCTATGGCATTAATTATCAGGGATTTAAACCTTCAAGTGTATTTCATGCAGTCACAATAAAATTGAGCCCAAACAGTCTCATCTCTGCTAGGCGCTTTTTTTTTTTTAACGAAAACAGTGTTAAGCACATATTTTCAGTATAATCTTTTAGGAAGAATGTTTTCAGCAGTTTAACCTTTAGCCGTAAATGTCAAACCGAGCTTGTGCTAAAATTGCAGATGCAAAAATTGCACGGAAGAAGGTAAAATATGATGGTGGCAGAGAGGCACAGAAAAGAAACATGCAAGGCAGAAAGCGACCTACGTGATGCTTGGCAAGTTCAATCTCGATGGCCTTGGGGTCTCCTCCCACGGGTTTCTGTTCATTTAGCAAGCCCTCGGTGTGGGTCAGCCATGCAAGGAGCTCGTCCAAGGCATGCTGGAACTGACCCAGTGCCAACAGAGCACCTTCTAGCTTGTGCTGCAAGGAAAATGGAACAGAGGAAACATTAGGAACTTCATATCATTCACAGCACATATTTATAAAAAAAAACAAGAGTAAAACATAGATGGATTCATGTTGCTTAACTCAGTAAAACTATCCAAAATCAAATTGCCATCTATTTCCACATTAACTTTCTTTCTTTCTTTTTCTATTTTTTCATTAAACTGGCTCATAATATTTTATAGAATTTAAGTGGAACCAGCACTGTCCTCCCATTGCTCATCGATTTGCTCGAACGTGCACCAATAACGTCTTCATTGTGAGACCTTATTGTTACTGCTTTTGGGATATTGAATATGCCATGGGGACCTTGCTAGGCTCTGCCATGCGGGTGAGATATTCTCTGTAGCTTGCCGGGCTCTCCGAGAGGGGCGGAGGAATCGAACCCTGGTCGGCCGTGTGCAAGGCAAACGCCCTACCCACTGTGCTATCGCTCCAGTCCAGGATTCAAGTATACAGAATTATATTTTGATTTTTGTTTGCTTTGTTTTGGGGTCACACCCGGTGAAGCTCAAGGGCTATTCCTGGCTCTGCACCCAGGAATTACTCCTGATGGTGCTCAGGGGACCATATGTGATGCCAGGGATTGAATCCAGGTTGGCCGCATGCAAGGCCAATGCCCTACTTGCCGTGCTATCGCTCTGGCCCCCAGAATTGCATTTGGACATCAACATAGGCTATATTCTGATCCCACCAAATGTTTAGTATCTTTCTACAATTTTTTTCACATTTTACGCTTGAAATTTTTTTGTGGTTAAAATTTGGGACATAAGAAAAAAGTTCTGGTGAAATCAAAGAACATAGGTGTTTAAATGACATAATTTTATTTTTTAATAATTATTTTGCATTACTGTGACTCTGAAATTTCTTAGTAAAGGTTTCATCATTTACCTGTCTGTTGATAATCCTCTCATCCAGACTGTCCCATATCAATTTCAATTCCATTAATGGGTCCTGAACGGTGTGTTTGTCACTCTCTTCTGTTACTTTCTTCAGTAAAAGTTCTGCTTGATGATTCAATCTTTCCATTTCTATCTGTTGTTGATAAGCTTCTGACTTAAATTGCTTTGTAACAAAAAAAGATACAAAAATGACATAAATATGCAATGTATATATAAGATACACAAATGTACTGATTTTTAAATCAGCAAATTATTAAACCAAAAATCCTATGAGTGAGGTGTTGATTCTAACTCTTAATTCACATTTTTTAAAATTGGTGGAAATTGTGGGAAAGAACAAAATCTAACATTGGGTTTATCAGGGAAGACTTAGATACTAAAAAAAAAAAAGGCAGCAAAGAAAATCCTTTTTATCTATTCAGTATTTCTGATGACAAGATGTTTCTACTTATAATTTTGATATTTTATTTTTATCTCTATGATAAAAATTAAACTTTACACTAATCTTACTCCAATATCCACATATACTCAATAAATGAATACTAAAATTGTAGAAAAAAAGCCCCTATACACATTAACACAGATGAAACCCAGAGAACATATCTGATTTTTTTTCCTACTCAAAAACATATACACATCTTATAGCCACTAAACATTTTGTTTTCTGTATGTTCTATGCAATGTTCATTAATATTTAGTTATTACTATGCCTCACCATTGTTCTCCCAGAATAATTCTCATTATTCTCTCCCTTGGTGCTTACTGACACTGACATACATTTATTACTCTTGGGTTTTCAAAACAACATAGGTTAGTAAATACTATCTCGTAATCAAAAAGTGTTCTTTCATAAACTTTATCTGTAATAGCAAATAATTTGGTAAGAATGAAAAAGCCGTTCCTTAATTTTTCAAACGTGAAAATAAGTTAAAAACAAGCTAGAAAGAATAGTTGCTTGTTTTTCAAATTATCTACCACAAATTTACAAAGAAAATAATTTTGCCCCTCATTTAAGGATGAAGAAGTGAGGCAAATAAGATAACTCTCTGGAGGTCGTTTATTTTACTAGTAAGTAAATAACCTGGGATGTAATGTCTGACCACCTGATTTTGGAGTAATGCCAAATGAAAACCAGCAAGGGTATTTTAAATTTTCAAAAATAAAGTCTTCTCAATTCTGGTATATCTACATAAAGGATACCAGGTGGTTAGTACATTGACCAAACTAATGTGGTTAGTACGTTAAGTTAAGAAGTGCAACACAGTGATACGAATAGTAAAATTATTCCTCCTTTACACATACTAAAGTATGTGAAAGTGCTTTAGTCATTTTCACAGCTGGAGAACAAGGATCGGAAAAGATTATTACAAAGGAGAGCACCAACATTTTAAAACAGACATCTTGGGTAACACTATTATATTATATGTGATTGCTTCTTTAGCTTTATTGAATCACACTGAATGCAATGAAGAAAATAAAAATGCTCATATATATATATATATACGCATATATATATAAATAATACAACTGAACAACAGTTATGAAATTCTTCCTGTGCTCTGTGTGTGCATAACGCTCAAACACACTCCACACCTCCACCCTGCTCCTAAGATAAGGAATATCTATATCCAGAAGATTAGAAGTCAGATGTCGAGAGTGGCTGCCTCTGGGTCTATAATATGTTGAGCAACTTATCAATTTGGAGGCTGCAGAGATAACTCAAAAAGAGTTGGGAGCCGGATCTATCACGGTGAGGAGCTGTGGTAAATCCTGTATACTGCATGGCTCCCTGAGCAACTCTGCATGTACACCTGGGGGTCCCCTCCCCAGTGAAGCACACTCACTGGCAATAGCCTCTGACACTCTGAGCACTGCTGCGAAGCCCCCCCCCACCCCAAAGAATCATTTTGCTTATTTCTATTTTGGAGATTTTATATAATGGATAGGTATTAACTTAATAATAAAAAAAAAACTATGAGTATTTTATCCAATGTATTCAGGAGGCACTTAACCACTGCTTCATTAAAGCGTTTCATGGCCAAAATGTAATGCTTCAATTATGTAAAAGTTAAACGAATTTGGTGTATAGACTCAAATGAGTCAAGATTTTTTCACATGTCAAGTCTCCAGGCATGAACGCTCACCCATACCTTTAGCTCTTCAATCTGTTGCTTGACAGTCTCAAGATCAGTTCCAATTGGAGACATTGAAGCTAATTTGCCACCTGCAATATCTACCCAATCGAATATGGCCTGGAAAACACAGCAGTCCATGTGTTATTATAATAGAACATTTAAGATGATCACATATCAAGTTTTATAAGAAAGAACAATCATATATCCACAAATATATTAAGGATTCAGACTCTTTTACAAGAAATTAAGATGATTTGCCAAAATAAAAATAGCACTGCACTAAAAGTAATTGTTCCAAACACTATATATATATTGATATATATATATCGATATATATATTGATATATATATCGATATATATATATCGATATATATATTGATATATATATCGATATATATTGATATATATATCGATATATATATATATATCTCCAATTGTGCACCCAGTTTTGCAAAGAAAAGTCTTCCTTGAATAGAATTCAAAAATGTTAAAAAAAATTTTTTTTAAATCCCATTTGCAAAAAGGTTTTACAAATTCAGTAGCAAATTCAGGAAATAAAATTTTCTATGCTTTCTCATGTCTGTCTACTTATTCATATTTACTGAATAAATATATTAAAAGATTCAAATCCATCTATTTATCCAAATAAGCAGTAAGTTTATTGTCTAATACCTTAGCAAACATCTTTGGCTCAACAAAATCCTTAATTACATATTTCTGAGATCATCATTAAAATCCTAACTTAAAATGGTTAGTTTTACTAGTGGAGGGATGGGTACTCGATCATTGTATAACTGAAACCCAAGCACAAAAATTTGTAAGTCTACAACTGTACCTCATGGTGTTTCACTAATAAAATTTAAAAAAAATGAAATAAAAAAATGATTACCATTAAGACCATTATTCTACTGGAATAGACTCCAGACTCCCCTAGTTATCTATTCTTTCTAAGTGAAAAAACAAAAACACCCTAAGCACATTTTATTCTTATTTTGCCGTTACAAATTTTCCAGATCACAAAGTAGATTAAACAAAAAATACCTTGGAAAATATCTGTTATCTAACATTGTATCATTAAAAAATTCCAAGAACATAGAAAATAAAATTTGCTTTATATCAAACCTTTACGACTACGGAGCCTTGGACATCTAGTCAGAGCCTGTACCAGCAGTGTAATAACCCTTTCAGTTTCGCAGATAAGATGCCACATCCCATGGTCACGGATCTCTGATGGACCTTGTTTTTGTGGCAGTGCAAATCAAATGTCAACCCTCTGGCCTACCGTTAATGAGAACTGAGGTCCAATGGCTCTATGTGGTGGCAGTATCACAGAAGAGGGTCATAGCCAAATGATTGTTCAAAGGCACATGAAAATAATCACTGGCTTTACAGACATGATTGGCTGGTGGGCACTGATCCCTAACTAATAAATTGCCACCTTGGTTAAAAAAACAACAACGGACCAGAAGGGAGCATATGTCACCTGTAGTGACATCTACAAATACACTATTTGTATATAGGTGACAAATATTCCTGTAGTGACATATATAAATATATGACATCATATATTTCCAACATTCCAAACAATTGAACTGCATAAGCAGGATTTATGATATTTATTTTTACAAATATAGAAACGGAGAGTTAGGATAAAAAAAAAGATGAGATGCTCTCATCTGAGCTTTAGAATATTCACTTGGTGTTATGGAAATTCTTAGGAAGGCTTTTTCCATAGGGTAGGATGAATGAAAAATTAAACTCTTGCCAGCCTGTCAGGAAATGGAATAAAGAGAAGGTAAGAAGAAAAATATTCCTGTGTTGGTCTCAATCAGCAAGGGTATTTGTAGTTAAAAAAAAGTTCAAAAAATTGGCTAATTAAAATAAATGAATGGGAACATTTAAAGTTGTGGAAATGACTATTATAAGGAATTATATAATGGAAAAGAATAAAACACCTTTAACACTAACAATTATGACTTAATAGAAATCTATTTCAGTTCAAGGCAGTACTGGCCTCAAATCAAATTACTGTACTTCTGACTTTAGTTAAACTCAGTGATATTTTTAGATAGTGTTTACTCCTTTCATCTTATTCCACTCAACTTCAGAACAGAACTCAGATTCAGCTCCATTTTACTGTCTGTTGTTGAGTCACTTTTGAAAAATACCGTGTGGGAACATTTACTCTCGCTTAAAAAAAAATAAAATCATTTCTTTCCAAAGTCAAGTTCACTGACTGTATATATGGCCATGTGTTTTGGAGGTCTATATAAATCCACACACATCTCAAGCGTCAGAAATTTCTTTTGAAAGGCCAAATATGGATTGAGGCAACTGCAGGAATAGATTTGCCAGCATACAAACTTGCAGCGCTGGGGTAGCGCCAATGTGTAAATTGGTAGACATCAATTAACACGACTCTTCTTACCAGCCAAGACCTTCAGACACTCTGTAATTCCCTCACCTGCAATCCATCCTGGTACTGAACCGCTGCCTGCATAGCATCCTCGAGTTTGTCAACCCGGTCTTTCCAAGCTTTATTTAGAGAGTCCCAAGCGGAATTTAACTGGAATATAAACAGAGAGCTCTTTCAGTGTTACATGTTAAGTCCTCGACACTTGTGCCAATAGGCACTAGTTAACAAAATCTTTTTAAAAGATTTCTGTCAGGGGGCCAGCGTAATAGTACATGGGGCAGGATTCTTGTCTTGCACATGGTCAACCCGGATTTGATCCCAGGCATCCCAAATAGTCCCCCAATCCCCGCCAGGAGTGGTCCTGAGCGCAGGGCCAGAAGTAAGCCCTGAGTGGCCCCCCTCCAAAAAAACAAAACAACCAGACAAAACGATTTCTGACAAAAGAGTAGAAATTGCATTGGGTAGGGCATTTGCCTTGCACACGGCCAACCTAGGTTCGATTCCCAGCATCCCATATGGTCCTCTGAGCACCGCCAGGAGTAATTCCTGAGTGCATGAGCCAGGACTAAACCCTGTGCACCGCCGGGTGTGATCCAAAAAGCAAAAAAAAAAAAAAAAAAAAAAAAAAAAGAGTAGAAATTGTCTTGATGCACCTCATCTATACTTTTCTTGACAATGGGCTTATCAGGTTCCCCACAGGCAGAGATGAGTTCAGAACCCAGGTTAACAACTATGTCCAGCTCTTCTTGTAATCCTTCTATTTCTTCTCTGATGGCCTAGAATAAGAAATGGCAGTGTTAGAGTTTTTTTTTAATTTCATGTTGAATTTGAAAAGATGAAAATAAAAACGTTTACAGTAGATATTGCTAGGAAGTGGGATAATGGTCTTTCACTTTCTTCTGTCTGTGTCTACAATAAACTTTTTCAATAAGAACAAAGGAGAAACATTCAAAATCAGTATCTTGTGAGTAACAAACGCATATCAGACATCCATAAGAAAGGCAACAGTACAGGAAGGATCCCATATAACAAACATATAAAAAAAGGAATTTTTAATATCAGCAATATTGAAAAGTATAGAGACATTTCAGTGGTATGTGCCCAAGGGCGGTAGGAAGGTAAAGCAAGGAAATAAAGAGGCAAAGATTCACCCAATGCCTCTTTTGCAAACCACAACACCCAAAAGGAGAGAGAGAACAAAAGGGAATGCCCTGCCACAGAGGCAGGGTGGGTTGGGGGGGATGGGGGGTGGGAGGGATACTGGGACCCGTGGTGGTGGGAAATGGGCACTGGTGGAGGGAGGGGCACTTGATCATTGTATAACTGAAACCCAAGCACAAAAATTTGTGAGTCTACAACTGTACCTCATGGTGATTCACTAATAAAAATTTAAAAAATAAATAAATTTAAAAAAGAGGCAAAGATTCAGAGGCGAGAAAAACCTTTGCACAGAAGTTGAGCAGGGGAAGGGCAACCGCTTCTAATTACTAGAAGGAGCTTGGTAAAGAAACAGGAGGAAAATTCGGCTTTGGAAACAAAGACGGACTAGATTCACCCTTGGAAAGCTTGCAGGTGGCACTGAAGCCCCTTGAAGGGTGTTAAGTAGTGACACGACTGTCAGCAATGTTTGGGGTCTGGTAGGTGAGGACACCCTACTCTGTAGCCAGACACACTACTTTGTGTTACTTCAGAGACATGGAATTAATACAGAGCAGAATCTTTTAGAATTGATACCATCTATGTGAAATCTGTGGGCGCAGTCTCTCTCTTGTTATATTATTTTTCATCCTGATTTTGGACACAAATATGAATCTTTAGAGAGTAATCATGGACCCTTACCAAAGAAATCTTGCTTTCATTATATAACAAGTTTTGGGTATTTTTTTTTCACCTGAAAATGAAATCGACTGCTCACCTCTGCTGCTTCTTGCTGCTGTTTCACTACTGAGGGATCAATTCCAGGATCCTCCAGGTCACGGATGAAATCTTGAGTATCTTTAGTGGTAACAACTAGTGACATGTGATCGCACCAGAACTTCTCTGCCAATTCCATTACATCCAGTAGTTTGGCTTCCCGTTCTTCCACCAATGTATGTATGTTCTCCCAGATGAAAACCATTTGGTCAAGCTTATCTTGAACAGCTATGGCACAAAGAATTACCAAAAATGCAACACATTAGCCCCATTTAGGCAGTAAAGCAGAATATTTTAGTGCCCACAAAAAAACAGGGCTTCTACTTACTAAGTTATCTAAAACTGGACCAAACGTTTGGTTGACTCTAGTCTAATAGTTATCACTGGACCCAGTGACCTTTGCCCAGACAAAAGCAAGATCTGAGGGTGTCCTACTTCCTCCTGAATCAAGGCTTTTCCTGATAAAAGTGGAGGCTCAGAGACAGAGAGCTCAGAGCGGAGCCAAGTTCACCAAGTTTCAAGTTTACCAAGCCTAGTCTTAATTCCAGAGAAAGTGACACGATCATTGAAATACAATTCAATCTTGATCATTGAATACATTGAATTGTATTTCAATGAAGTTCAATGATTGTATTTCACGATCATTGAAATACAATCTTCATGTTCTCCAAATCAAGAACAAAGATACATATTTCTTTCCAGGAATATAACAGGATAGGCTTATTTCCAGATTCTTTCTCATGGATTTTAATTTTTTCATTTTCATTTTTTTTTTGCTTTTTGGGTCACACCCAGTGATGCACAGGGGTTACTCCTGGCTCATGCACTCAGAAATTACTCCTGGCAATGCTCTGGGGACCCTATGGATGCTGGGAATCGAACCCAGGTCGGCCACGTGCAAGGCAAACAAACACCCTACCCGCTGTGCTATCGCTCCAGCCCCTAGATTTTATATTTTTTTTAAATGAGAAGAGTTCAACGGTTCTCATCTACTGAAACATTACCTTTGGCAGATATGTCTTTATCAGTTCCCCCAGATCGAGCAATCATTTCCTCTCCCCGCTGTCTGAGAGTTTCGTACAGTGGCTGAAGCTTCTCCATGTCTACAGACACATTCTTATTCTCACTGATTTGCTCCTTAATCTTCTCCACCTCTGCAGAGATCGAGGGGGGCTGCCTCAAGCGTTCCACAACGCGCTCCAGGCTCTCAAGGATCTGGTCTATTTTGTCATGGAACTGAGGGTAAAACAAGAGGATTATTTACGGGAGGAAAAACAATCTGATATACTGGGATCCGTGGTGGTGGGAAATGGGCACTGGTGGAGGGATGGGTCCTTGATCATTGTATAATTGAAACCCAAGCACAAAATGTGTAAGTCTGCAACTGTACCTCATGGTGCCTCACTAATATAAATTAAAAAAAAAATCCGATATACCATACACAAATTTTAAGTAAAAAAATAAAAGCCCATAGATTTAATTCCACAAGAACTACATTTTAGTTCCTTTGTCAATAGAACCATCCAAAAGGTTAAATCCAATGGTACGTAAAGGAATTCATACTGTGTATATTTATTTGAAAAAAGAGCACATGCTTATATACAACTAGGTTAGCTGTAGCATATTTTTTTCATCTCACTCGTTAATGATAATTAAAATTAATTTTAAAAATTAAAAAAGGTAAGCCAACTGTTCGTTCTCAAAACACACTGTTGTACTCAATTTTATTAATTTGGTGTTCTAAGAAGTGACGAAGTTCCTTTGTGAGAAATGCTTGAAAAATTAAAAGAAAACGCCTGTAAATGTTGTAATGGAAGTTTATATTTAATTCATGGTCAGACATATGATCAAGTTCATGAAAGAGTTTAGAAGCTTTATTTGCAAAGTTAATTCATAGAGAATGAAGTAAAATTATAAAAGTGTGTCAACTGATACTTATAGAATGTTAAAGATTCACAATTGTGAACATTAAGAAAAAAATCATCACTTGGGACCAGAAAATGAAACATTCTAATGCCAGGGTATCTAATGATAAAAATCAACCATTTAAAAAACAAAACTATTTTCAAACTTAAAAACAGAAAATCTGTAGGTAATTTCAAAGTCAATTACTTGGGGGAAAAAAAGGTATCGCAAAAAAGAAAAAAAAGTCCATTCTAACTATATATTTGTCTCCTTTATGTGACCTATTAGTCCTTCTTCTTACTGCATGGCTGAGAGTACTATATTAATAATGATGATGTTTGCTATTTTTCTCTCGCCATGGCAAATATTGCATTCTCCCTTAATGAGAACTAATTTAAATATTAGGACACTGAAGGCAAGGGTATATTTCTAAGTGACTGAAAGCTCTGTCAGTGTAAGTAGGAGCACACAGAAAAACTAAGAACTGGACAGGAGTATTGACTACCTCTAGAGACAAAGGTATCAATATTACAAATAATTTCAGTTGAGATTTTATCAGGCGATCAAGGAAAACATCTTTTCGTGCCGAGCTGCTTGGAAGAGCTCAATCATGCTTCCGTGGTGAGTGGTTACCTGAGTCGACTGAGAGATGGCTTCATCCAGAGCCACTGCCCGCCTTTTGACGTCTTCTTTAATTTGACTGTAAAGGGTGTCGGCTGCCACATACTTCTCTTGGATGGAAAAGCCTTCGCCTGGGCTTAATTCCAGTAACTGAGGCCCAGTTTTGTTCATCTTATCTATATGAGGTTTGTGTTCGGCTATCAACTCTCGCAGTTGCTATAACAAATCAAACAACTTCTTAGTAACGGAGGGTTACACCTCTGCATTACAGCTGTCTGCATCCCCAGTGCATCCAGCTGGCATGAAACTCCCAACAAATACCCTCCCCGTCTTAAGGCACTTGACACGTGATAGCTCTGCCCACCAGAGATGCCACTGGCACAAAGATTAAATGACAGTGTGGCCATGTCAACGTTTCTATAAAGGTACCTACAAGGCCGGGAGGTTGAACGAAATCATGAATTGCCATTGCTTATAATTTCACAACAAGAGCATCACATTTTGACAAGAGCATTAGCCGAGACTCTTATTACGCAAAAAGTATTAACTGTCACTGTCACTGTCCTCCTGTTGTTCATCAATTTGCTCGAGCGGGCCCAGTAACGTCTCCATTGTGACACCTGTTACTGGATTTGGCATATCAAATACGACACGGGGAGCATGCCAGGCTTTGCCATGCGGGCTAGATACTCTCGGTAGCTTGCAGGGCTCTCCGAGAGAGGCAGAGGAATCGAACCTGGGTCGGCTGGGTCGGCCGTGTGCAAGGCAAACGCCCTACCTGCTGTGTTATCTCTCCAACCCCTATTTGTGTTTATTTTTAATGTTAAATTCAGGGAGTACAACCAAATATAGTTATGTACTAAAAACCACTTGAAAGTTAAATTTAAAGAAAAACATGACATGTGAATATTTTCATATTATCACTGAATTAAGAACTAAAATGATATGCCTATATAACAGATAGATGAGTGGATACGGAGTCCAAGCAGAACCACATTTCTTTTTGGGAGACAAATAAACTGGACTATCTCATTCATGCCTGGGACTGGAGGCCCCCATTGCCCGGAAGAAGATGCACATTTGCCTAAATATTTCTTTAGGTGGTCTCCCATTTGCAGTAAGGAATTGGTACCAGATGACCGATTTAAGGAATTGTTCTTGGCCCCCACTGGTAAGTGAGTTTCCAAACTGTTGCTATCAATCCCTCTCAAAAAATATCTTTGAGAGAAAATTGTATTTGGGAAAGACTGTCTAATAAAAAATTTACCATTCATCAAGAATAATCACCAAAACAGCCACATATCTCAATTTTTACTGAAGGTGCCCACTTAATCACTATTATTAGTAAACTATGCTGAAAATAACTGAGGCCATGGTTACACAGAATCAGTCACAATTTCCAGTGTAAAGCAAGTAGAATGCTTGCCTTTTACACGGTTGACCCAGTTCAATCCCCAGCACCCGGTATGGTTATCGAAATCCACCGGGGATGATCCCTGAGCACAGAGCCAGGAGTAAGCCCTGAGGATAGCCAGATTTGGCCCCAAAAAACAAACAAAAAAGAATCCCCCCAACCCCCCAAAAATTAATTTCTAACATATCAAACTATTTTTAAAGTTTGGGGAAACTTCAAAAATAGTACTTCTTATATTCAAAAGAAACACAAACTTTTACAAATACAAGTCAGCGGTTTAATCCAACATGATACACATAGGAAAATCATGGAGGCAATCCATCTCATTGACAGTTCTAGTTCAGAGTTTTGTTTCAAATAATCAACTCATATCTGCATGCTGCTTTGCAGAATTGAGGTGCTCATGACAGTATCTTCTAATACACAAGGTCAGTGTAAAGTGAAATGTTAAGTCAGTCTGGTTTCCATATTCTAGAGGGCCCGTTTGCTAAGCCAGCTGACTCAATAGATTCAAACTGAGGGGCTATAGGGAGATAGTTCAAAGGGCTGAAGCATCTGCCTGGCATGTGGAGGCCTTCCATTCTTGGCACCACATGGCCCCTGAGCAGTGCTGGAGTCTCCTTGGTGACACCAGGACCGCTACATCTGAATAGCATCACTGAGCACAAATTCATCTGGCCTGCACAGCTGGGTGGAGCATTACAAGGAGTGGCTCCAAGGCCCCGTGACACTTCTTGGGATACATCTCCCAAATCAAGTTAAATACACTAAATGAAATATCTCTGCCAAGATTGCTTCTGTTCCCTAGAGTCTACAGAGATGTCATATGCGTGGCACTGTGATCTTTGCTCTGGATCTTTGCTCCGAAGTAATGAAATAACCCTGTGATAAACTCTCCCAGAGCAGACGAGAAGCCTCCAAAATGCCTACTTGGGAGTCAAGAGATTGTACAGTGGTGAGGCACAGGTCTTGCATGCACCTGACCCCGGCTCGATTCCCCGCACCACACGGCCCCTCCCAAAGGACTGCAGGCTGCAGCTCCGTAGAACCCTAACACTACAAGGTGTGATCCTGAAAACCACCTGCACCAATGGAGTGGCAGCTGGCTGAGAATCACTGATGGAGTCACTGGATCTTGAGCACCACGTGGGAGATTCTTCTCTACTGGCAAGCTACCGAGAGTATCTCGCCCGCACGGCAAAGCCTGGCAAGCTACCCGTGACGTATTCGATATGCCAAACACAGTAACAACAAGTCTGATGATGGAGATGGTACTGCACCCGCTTGAGCAAATCAATGAACAACGGAAGGACCGTGACCGTGACCGTGACCCATGTGGGTATGCACATACATCAGGAAAAAGGCCTGAAAGGAAACACCTTGCCTTTTATGTTACAGAACTCTTCTGGGCAACAGACCTTAATAAAAATCTAGTTATGCTAGAGATAGTATGGTATCAAGGCATCTATTTGGTTAGAATGACCTTCTGAAAGGCTGAAAATATTGTTATCAATTTAGCTAGAAAAATTGAATAATTTGGCTGCAAAGTTTTGTATGCATTTATGCATTTTGAGGGGCAGAAGATTAAACAACAACCACCACAAAAAAAATCAATGGAACTTTGAAGTTTTGGGTTTAATAATGATCTTTGTCAGCCATACTATTTGATTTTATATTAAAGAAGCAGCAATTTAATCAATTCAGATAAAGGGAATTTCTGACATTATTTTACATTAAGTGTCGATCAGTAGTTAGGTGTCAGAATTTCTGTGACAAAACTGCATACTAACATTGAATTCAATTCTCAAGTCTTTCCTTGGTTGTATGATTTACAGAAAACTCTCAAAATTTCCATGTTTCACTAAATGTTCTCTAAAACTCTCTTGTAAACAAATGCTTCTATTAAAAGTAAACAAACAAGATTAATAAGTATGTTACTACTGCAAACAATGATGTAATATATCCCTAATTAAACCTTTCTCTTCTCTCTTCAGTTTCCCGCCCCCATCTGTCTCTCTTTCTCTCTCTCTCTCTCTCTGTTTCTCTCTCTCTCTCTCTCTCTCTCTCTCTCTCTCTCTCTCTCTCTCTCTCACACACACACACACACACACACTGAAACGCCTCAGAGTACATCATGTACTGATCTGGAAGTGCAATTAAGTTCACAAGTCTATAAATAGTAAGTCCTTTTATTTTTTTCTGATAGTTTTGCCTTTCTCACTCAAGTCTTTGCAAAATTTTAATTTTGGGGGTTTAAGTTAACATTTAGGTGACTGAGAACATGAATACTTGTTTCATGATGCTATTTTATATTTGCTTGAAAGATGATACCCGGATTCGATTCCTCCGCCCCTTTCAGAGAGCCCGGCAAGCTAATGAGAGTATCTCGCCCGCACGGTAAAGCCTGGCAAGCCATGACGCATCTATTTGATATGTCAAACACACTAACAAGTCTCACAATTTGTTGTGAGACATTACTGGTGCCCGCTTGAGCAAATCGATGAACAACGGGAGGACCGTGCTACAGTACAGTGCTATATTTGTATGGATGAATAAACTCTCTAGTTAACTCATGTACAACTCACAGGAGCCAAGAACCTCAAACAAGTTCATGCATACAAGGAGAAAACAATAAAAAAACAATTGTCTTTGGGCCAGAGAAAGTACAAGGTGTAAGTTGCATGCCTTGCATGTAATAGACCTGGGTTTAGTTCCCAGAACTCCATATGGCCCCCCAAGGCCCGCCAGGGGTGATCCCTGAGTGGAGAGCCAGGAGTAAGCCCCGAGCACAGCTGGGTGTGGCCCCAAAACACTGTCACTGTCACTGTCCTCCCACTGTTCATCAATTTGCTCGAGTGGGCCCAGTAACATTGTGAGACTTGTTGTTACTGTGTTTGGCATATCAAATACATCATGGGTAGCTTGCCACGCTTTGCTGTGCGGGCGAGATACTCTTGGTAGCTTGCTGGGTTCTCCGAGAGGGGCAGAGGAATCGAACTCTGGTCGGCCATATTAGCCGCTTGCAAGGCTAATATATATATATATATATATATATATATATGTATATATGTATATATGTATATATATGTATATATGTATATATATATTGCTTCTATCTATCTATCTATTGATTTATCTATCGATTTGAGGCTCTTCGTGTTCCTAGAATGAACAGACGCCATTGGGCTACACTAGCACACGGCAGAGACCAATGGAGACGTTACTGGCGCCCGCCCAAGCAAACGGACAATTAATGGGAAGTCAAGTGATGAAGTAATCTATCTATCTGCCTATCTATCTATCATCTATGCTAGATAGCTCTAACCATTACATAAAACATAAGACCTAGTCAAGGAAAAAAAGCTGAAAGCAAATTTTTAAAATGAAAATTTTGTTCCTGGTCCCAAATGGTTTGATATTACATACTAACTAGTTTACGAAAGTTGCAATGTAAGGGTAAGGTCCTCCCGTTGTTCATCGATTTTCTCGAGCGGGTCCAGTAACATCTCCATTGGAGACTTTGTTGTTACTGTGTTTGGCATATCGAATACGTCACGGGGAGCTTGCCAGGCTTTGCCATGCAGGTGAGACATTCTCGGTAGCTTGCTGGGCTCTCCGAGAGGGGTCTAGGAATCGAACTCGGATTGGCCATGTTGGCCTCGTGCAAGGCAGACACCCTACCCACTGTGCTATCTCTCCAGCCCCATATACTATGTTCTCTGCCCACAAGTCATATTCCCACAATGCTGGTTAACAGGTAAGCAGACCAGAGTAAAATTATGACTGCAAAGACCCAATCACCAAAGGTGCTGTATAGACACTATACAGACTTAGGATCCTTTTTGTTTTCAGTGAGAACACCTCAGTCTCCTTTACACACTGTGCTTACCCGATGCTCTTCCTGCTGTTGTCTCAGAGTTTCATATTCAAGAGCTGGAGCAGGAAGTCGCGAGATGATTTCTTGTGTTTCTGTCAGCCACGGCCAAAGTTCTTCGTAGGTTTCCCAGAACTGGTTCACCAGGGACTGTGCCCGTTCAAGCTGTAGATATCTTTCTGAGTTTATCTGGCAGATGGCATCATAATTCTTCAACACCTTGTCCAGTTTTTTCTGGAAATTAAGATAATGACATATGTTTAACCTTACATCCGCATGGACAAGGCAACAAGTAGCACGGCTACTCTGGATTGCTTCCTCTAGCATCAGATACCTGCTGATGAGAAGCAGTAACATCAAAATACACCCCCAAAAGAATTCAAATTTTAACTATTTCTATGTATAAAAGTTTATATTGAAGAAAGGCCCTACTGAGAGGAATTGCGTATGTGAGGATTTCCTCCCCTTTTAAAACAGATTATATTCTACTGCAGGTTAAATATTCTTTACACAATAAAATGATTAAAACTATCAAAACATCTTAGTGGAAAAATCTCATATAATAATTAGAGATCTGGCTTATAAGCTATATGTTCATACAATATCATTTTTATGCACTCATCAAATAATGTGGGAGTTAATGACAGACAAGATCTCAAAAATTATATTAGGTGACAAAATCTAATAATAGCTGGGTCATAGTTTTTTATAAGACACAGACGCTCACCCCTCCATGACACTGAAGCTTAAGGCATTTCAAAGATGAAATACCACTGACCGAGCAAGTGGAAGCAAAGATAAACAAATGGGACTACATTAAGCCAATGCCTCTTTTGCAAACCACAATACCTGAAAGGAGAGAGAGAACAAAAGGGAATGCCCTGCCATAGAGGCAGGGTGGGATGGGGGGATAGGGGATGGGAGGGATACTGGGACCCGTGGTGGTGGAAAATGGGCACTGGTGGAGGGATGGGTACTTGATCATTGTATAATTGAAATCCAAGCACAAAAATTTGTAAGTCTACAACTATACCTCATGGTGTTTCACTAATAAAAAAAATAAAATAAAATAATGCCAAAAAAAAAAAAAAGAAATGGTGACCAAGATACAGAGACAACACACAAAATGGAAAAAATTATTTACCCATCAGATAAGGGGTTAATATCGAAGATGTGTAAGTCACTGGTAGAACTTTAGAAGAAAGAAATTCAACACCATCAAAATATGGGAATAAGAAATGAATAGAAACTTCCTCATAATAAAAATACAAATGACCAAAAGGTAAATGAAACAATGCGTCTATATTGCCAATCATCAGGGAGATGCAAATCAAAACAACAGTGAGATATCACCTTACACCACAGAGACTGGCACAAAAGAGTAAGAACAACCAATGCTGGCGTGAATGCAGGAAGAAAGGGACTCTCATTCACTGTTGGTGGGAATGCCAAAAGGTTCAGCCTTTCTAGAAAACAATATGAGAATTCCTAAAAAAAAACCCTAGAAATTGAGCTTCCATAGGACCCAACAATACCACTTCTGGGATTATTCCCCAGGGTGCAAAAAAAAAAAAAAACACACACACACACATAGCAGAAATGACATCTGTACTTGTACTTACATGTTCATTGCAGCACTGTTCACAATAGCCAGAACTGGAAACAACCCAAGTGCCCAAGAACAGACAACTGGTTCCATCTATACAATGGAATACTATACAGCTGTCAGAAAAACTGGTCATGAAATTTGCTTATAAATGGATGGACACGGAGAGTATCACGCTGAGTGAAGTAAGTCAGAAGGGACAGGCATAGAAGGACTGCACTCATTTGTGGGAGATGAAAACACAGGTGGAGTAGGAGACTAACAAGGACAGTAGAAACAAGGGCCAGGAGAACTGGTCCACTGTTGGAAGCCTGCCTCAAGAGCTGGGGGAGAGGGCAGTAGGGACAGAGATAAAGAAGGGACCATTGGGACAATGGTGGTTGGAAGGGGTTGCTCTGGATGGGAGATGTGTGCTGAAAGTAAAGGACCAAACCTGATGGCCTCTCAGTATCTGCGCTGCAAACCATAATGCCCAGTAGGGGCAAGGAGGAAGAGAGGGAAAGGGAAAGGGAGAAGGAGAAGGAGAGGGAGGAAGAGGGGGGGGGGGTAAGGTGACACTTCCTGTCACTGGGGGGAGACAGGAAGGATACAGGGGATATTGGAAGTGGGGAAGTGTACTCTCATGGAGGGATGGGTGCTGGAACATTGTATGTCTGAAACCCAATCATGAAAGCTTTGTAACTGCATCTCAAGGTGATTCAATATTTTTTTTTAAAAAAAGAAACACAGACTTTCTACATATAATGAGCAAAAATTTCTACATATAATGACAGGTTAGAAAACTTGTCTCACATGAACTTAGCAACGTTTACTTTCTTGGAAAAAGTTAGGACTTTTTGGTATAGTTCAGACTGCAGGAGGAATGTTCAGCCAGCAAAATTAACTACACATATTTAGAATCAAAGTAGAACACGAAGCCACGCACTGACTTTATGAGTGTCGTAATAAATGAGAGCTCAGCCAATATAGTCCCTCTGTGCCTCCCAGAATACTTGGAGGCCACAAGTTAAAAGACACAAACAAACAATCCCATAAATGGGGGGCGGGGGGCATTGACTGAGACTAAGTAGCCAACTGATGGGACAGTTTAAGACCACAGACAAGAAACAAGGTCAGAAGCAGAGAGAGGTGGGAAAAAGGTTGAGAAACATTGTTTTTAAATAATAGCATAAATTCGTGTCACAACGTGTTTGTAGATGATAAAACATAGTAGTAATCCAAGTCCCCAAATGGCAGAAATTATTTTATAATCATTGTGCTTTTATAATCATTTGTATTTAAAAATGTATTTTTGTAATTTTGTACATTTATAATAATTATTTTTATAATTTTGTACATTTATAATAATTACTTTATAATCATTATATTTTTCATGTAAGAATCTTTGCAAAGATAATAAAGGGATATTAAATTATAGATAAGGGGTGGGGGGTGGGGTTTTATTGGGGTTCTTCATGGTAAAAAATAAGTATTGTAAAGGGAAATGTGTTTGATATTTGCATGACTGAGACATAAACCTGAAAGCTTTGTAACCTTTCCCACAGTGATTCAATAAATAAATAGAAAAAAAATTAAATAAATAAAAAATAAAAAATAAAAAAATAAAAATAATAAATTATAGATAAGTAACATTGGAAAATATAAATAAAAGATAAATAATATATATTCAGTATCAATATATAGCATATATTTTTTGGCCTTTGGTGACCTTAAATGCAGCACAAAACTTTAAAATGTGATATTAGGCAATGATACATACATATATCTTTATATATCATTTTAATTTTTTAATTTAAAATTTTTAAAATTTATTTTGGCAATTTATATGTCTTAATGTAAACTGACTAAACATTTTTGCTTTTGGCTGGTTTTCCATCAACTTACAGTATCATTAAAACCTCACAAACAGGGAGCTGGAGCGATAGCACAGCTGGTAGGGTGTCTGCCTTGCACACGGCCGACCCGGATTCGATTCCCAGCATCCCATAGGGTCCCCTGAGCACTGCCAGGAGTAACTCCTGAGTGCAAAATCAGGAGTATCCCCGTGTATCGCCAGGTGTGACCCAAAAAGCAAAAAAACCAAAAAAAACCCCTCACAAACAGGATACTATCTTAATTATTCAGCTCCTTTTTTCCTCAACACAGCTTAATATAAGTTTCACAGAATGAATTTTGGCATTAGAGAGAATTCTATTTCGGTTTTGGTTGCAGCTCTAGAGACTCAATGTCCTAAAAGCATATAAGTAAGGCTTGACATATCTATTAACATTTTATACGGATAATCATGGCAATAACAGTGTACCATTCATGGAATGCTTACAAATGTGACAGTTATTCAAGGACTAAAACCTTGATAGCTTTTTAAGATTTCTTAATTGAGTCACCGTGAGATACTTAATAGCTTGTACATCTATTAAAGAAGCCTGTTCTTGGGCCAAAGAGATAGCTCAGTGGACTGGAGCACAGGATTGCATCCTGGACATCACTTATGGTCACTGGAGCTGCACCACGAGTGACTCATAAACACCAAGTCGGGAGCAGTCTCTGAACACTTCGAGGTGCTAGGTAGCACTGTAGCACTGTCCTCCCATTGCTCATTGATTTGCTCGAACGGGCACCAGTAACGTCTCACAACAAATTGTGAGACCTGTTGTTACTGTTTTTGGCATATTGAATATGTCACGGGTAGCATGCCAGGCTTTGCCGTGTGGGCGAGATACTCTCGGTGTGGTCCCAAAACAAAACAAAAAATACTTGTCCTTGGAGCAATTCCCTTAAGGAATGTTCCCTTCACTTTTTTTTTCTGCACGTTTAAAAAATGCCTTATAAAATTAAAAAATTTAGTTGTGGCTAACTGGGGGCATTGGTGGTAGGAAATGTCCACTGGTGGAGGGATGGGTGTTGGAACATCGTATGACTGAAACTCAATCATGAACAACTTTTTTTTAACTGAATCTCACAGTGATTCTGTTAAAAAAAAATTTTTTTTAAATTTAATTGTTTGAAAGGCAGCTGTGGATAAAGGAAAAGTGGAAAGTTATTACAGTTCACGCAGATGCCTCAAATTTCACTACCAGTCACAGAGACAAGGTGACATACCTTCACTGGTTTCTTTTCCTCTTCACTGTATGTGGTCATGATTTTATGTCCGGATTTAACAAGTTCATCGATAATATCTTTGTGTCTCAAAATCTCCATGGTGAAAGTCTGTGATTTACCAAAAAAAAAAAAAAAAGATTAAAAAAGGAGAGTATGTGTAATTCAAATGATAGCAAGAAAGCCAAGTAGTTAAAAAAAAATACCAAGTTACACTGGCAGAGTCTTAAAAAAGTAAATCATACAAGCAAATCTTCTAGACTTAGGACACTCTAGCAAGTATTTAGATGCAAAGGAAAATATATTTCTTCACCTTCTGGACCTGAAGCTGTGCAGAGGTCTGGTCTTGCTCAAGCCTGATGTCACCAAGAGACATCAATTTCTTTTCTGTTTCAGTAATCCAGGATAACTCAGCATCAGCTGCTTGGTCAAACTAAACAAAAGATAAATAATTAGGTCAGCAAGTTCCTGTTACTGGTGCCAGAAAAATACCTATCTACATTTCTTTGAAATATCCTCATTACCCAACTGGAAAAATCTGAGCTTATCTCTTTAAGGCATCCTGAAAGTTTATCATAATGACTGAAGTTGTAAAAAAGGAGAGCTTTCCGCAGCATAATAAAACACATGCTCTCAAAACACAGTGACTTCCTAATGGCACATTAATCATTCTATGACATCTAACACTGTTGTCTTCTTTTCTGATAACTCTAAGAAACTGTCCATAGAAGTTAATACTCAAATTAAAACGTTAAAAATCTCAGCAGCTGCAGATCAGTCTTTCAGTTATTTCACTCACGACCCTAGCCTATAGCCTAGCCTATAGGACAGGCGGACAGTATTCTGCTATTAAAGTATGACTCCTAACTAAAAAAAAGGAATATTTTATTTATCAGTTATCTGCCGTATTATAATAAGTACAAAATATTTCTCTCTGTATACAGAGTATACAACCCAAATAACCTGAGCATAATATTTAACATCTTTAAAAATTACAATTAAAAAACATGCTTAATGCTGAAAGTAGACTATAGATCAAACATGATTGCCACTCAATGTGTCTTTTGCAAACCACAACACCCAAAAGGAGAGAGAGAGAGAACAAAAGGGAATGCCCTGCCACAGAGGCAAGGTGGGATGGGGGGGGGATGGGGGGTGGGAGGGATACTGGAGCCTGTGGTGGTGGAGAATGGGAACTGGTGGAGGGATGGGTACTTGATCGTTGTATGACTGAAACTTAAGCACAAAAATGTGTAAGTCTACAACTGCACCTCATGGTGTCTCACTATAAAAATTAAAAAAAAAAAAGAAAAAGAAAAATGGATGAAGGTGATCAAAAAATAAAAACTTTCAGTTTCTAAAAAAAACATGCTTAAGAGTTTTAAAATTGAATAGTCATTCATAAACATGGTAAAAGTCCATAAAGGAAAGGAACATATATAAAGAAAATAAAAAAATCAGAGTTAATACCATTGTTAATTTAGAAACTGGTATTTGTAGAAGTTGGGAAAGACTTACAAAGGTCTGAAGTAAAAATACTGGAAAAATGGTTTTATTACCAATTATTATGCATTCTCCATTATTATGAAGATTTCTTACATCACATTCTTTGAAGTAAAATTCTAAAATAAAATCACTGTATTCTTATATACCTGGATACTTGCATTTAGGCTGTGGATTTTTTTTTTGTGATTTTATAAACAACCCTGTGATAACTATCCTGGCATAAAAATCTCTATTGATATTTCTAATACTTCCTTAGGAAGATTCCTAGACGTTGATAACCAAGTCAAAAAGCACAAACATTTTCCAAGTATCTTGCATCACAGAAGGTAACTGTAGAAGTGATCATAAAGGAATAGAGAGATCAAGTGTCACCACACGTACTAATGACAGATGTGACCAACAATGGCCTCAGTTAGAAGATTTACTGGGTCCGGGCAATTGTGAGTGTTTAAGCCCAGTCCTGATGACATGATTCACTGAGAGTACAAAACTCAGAAAAACAGCCCAAGCCTTTCTACCTGAGTGCGAAGAGTGCAAAATATCTAACACATGTTTTTCAGTCATGAAAAACAAAAAGCAACACGAAACACATACTGTTTGTGTTCCGGCTATTTTTAGTATTTACATGACAGTTCTAATAAAGAAAATCAGGCTGTTACTGCGTGTATTGATTTAATACTACTTCTGCCTTCACTAAAAGGGGAGATGGAGAGAGAGAGAGAGAGAGAGAGAGAGAGAGAGAGAGAGAGAGAGAGAGAGAGAGAGAGAGAGAAAGTCAAATAAAGCAGCCTGATGGAACCATGGAAATCGCCAAATGGGAGACAGAAACTCAAACAGTCCTTCTTTACCTAAGGCAAATATTTGTGCTGCTGAAAGAAAACAAGATTTTAAGCGAAAATTTTCCTTTTGTCTCTTCTTTGGAGATTTTTTTAAAAAGTAAACACATATTTATTCATTAGCAAAAATGGAATAGCCGCGGAGTCTACAAAAAAGCAATTTACAGTAAAGCAGGGAATTTCAGGCTGATGATTCATTCAAACAACTAGTTAGTGTGCATTTCTAGTGGAATGTAAAAAACTGTATTTTCCTCCTGAACAACATGGAGCACAGGATTTCTTTATTGTTTATACACATAGCAAACGTTACCTTCACATAAACTAAGATCATCTTTATGTCTCACAAATGCTTTCTGAGAAACACTTTACTTTTGATTTAAATGCTTTTATTTTAATTAATTTTGTTTTTTTATCCACACCCAGCGATGCTCAGGGGTTACTCCTGAGTCAGCACACAGAAATTACTCCTGGCAGGATTTGGGGGACCGTATGAATGCCAGGGACCCAACCCGGGTCAGCCGTGTGCAAGGCAAGTACCCTACTGCAGCCCCAGCTTTCTACGAAATACTGTCATGTCTTTCTTTGGCGAAATCTAACCATCGTCCTTAGCTTATATAACTAATTAATTCCCATTTTAGCTGAATCAACGCTTGAGAACTTTCCTATAATTTAGTGAACTACTTTTCATTGGCTATTTCTAAATATTCCCGAGCGACACACTCAAAATCATTGACTGAAGTGCCTAAAATACAGTATCTCCTTTAGCCTTTAGCCTTTAGCCTTTATCTCCTTTAACATCTACATCAGTAAACAATCAACCGAGACTCATTTTTTAAAAAATTAAGGTAGAATGAAGTTAACTTTGCAGAGCTTCTTATTCAGTTAGTAAATGCCAAAGCTGAGAGTCAAACATTGGTCTGACGCAGAGTCTGCACTCTCGGTTGGCCTGTTACACATCATTTGTGCTTGCAGGCATGTGGGCTTCCTGAAGGCAAAACATCCCTCTGATTTCAACGCAAACGGCTCCCACGTCAGAACAGGCAACGGGCAGTGGATCTTAACGTACTCTTTAAACGTTCTCTGGTGTCTGACACGTTGCTTTCGCACTTTTGGGGAAAGTTTCTCGAGTGGAAGTCGAAGTTAAGGACAGCGCGATAAAGTGAACCTTAACCTCAAGGACATCCTTTCTACTCCCTTTCCCTGGCCGCGGATCTTATCAATTTCTTTTGACTGGCGTTTCCTTCCATTTTTCGCAGGCACTATTCATAACCTAGCCCCTATGCTCCCACTCCCACACCACCCTGACCGGTCTAAACAAATCTCCCTTCCTCTGGGGAGGTTTCCTCCTAGTTTTTTAAAGTACATAAACAGGTGTAGGCTGATTCAGAATGATCCGCTGGCTTGTTTATTTTAATTGCCCCCAAGTCACCTCTGCGTGGTTTGATGGTGTTATTGGAGCCAGCACAGATATGCTTAGAAATTAGAAATGCTGTCGCGTATTTGGGATTCGCAGTCCCAGTGAGGTACAAATCATTTTCAAGCTTCTAACAATATACATTTTCTGTCCCTCTCGGAGAGCCTGGCAAGCCTGGCAAGCTACCGAGAGTATCCCGGCCGCACAGCAGAGCCTGGTAAGCTCCCACTGGCATATTCGATATGCCAAAAACAGTAACAATGATGGGTCTCATTCCCCTGACCCTGAAAGAGCCTCCAATATGGCACTGTTGGGAAGGACGAGTAAGGAGAGGCTGCTGAAATCTCAGGGCTGGGACGAATGGAGACGTTACGGGCGCCCGCTCCAGCAAATCGATGAACACCAGGATGACAGTGATATCGTGATACTAACAGCGGTACATTTAACCTTCAAAAAAGGCAAAGAATGATGACCTGCTACTAAGCTTAAAGGAGCACAGTGGTCTGAACTCAGGCTAAAGGTCTGTGCTTTGTAAGCAAAAAGTACCTTCCCCTATTTCCATGTTGCTCATTTGGTTCAATTTACAAACAGACAAAGAAACGTTACAAAGATATCTTACTGTGTGAGGTTCAATATGCAAACCCACATACAGTTTCTAGCCATATAGTGCACGCATTGTGAGAGAGGCAGCTGTGGTGGGCGTGTGTGTTTAAATAAAGCACACCATCATTATTTACTGAAACTGCCTTGTTCTATTCACATATTTCCTAAAAGTAATGAATGGCTTTAATTCTTTTTAAAAAGAATATCCTCTTCAAAATAACGCTTGCAAATCTGTAGAATTATATTCGGAGGCTTGTTACTGGTAGCACAGTGAATACAGGACTCACTCATTCACCCATAATTGAGCCTGTTCAATTATTTTCCAAATCAAAATAAACATCATTTACATTTACACTGGGCCCTGGGCCCTCTGATTTCAAGATTCAAAGGCACATCTTCTTGAACCTGTTATTATGATACAAGATCAAAATGAAAAATCTGAATCATGAATAATTAAAAAAAACTTCTCATTCTTTCCCATGTATTTTCTGGACACATTTAATTTGGTATTTGGAGAGCAAACATTCCACTTCTACATTCTCTAATAGTGATCTGAAATGACTGTCCACAAATACTCATGAATTTGTTCAATTCCCCAAAAGGCAAGTTATCATAAAAGTTAGGTCTGTAAAAAATTAACTTTAATGCCAGACCAAAAAAAAAAAAGACATAAATTAAGAGAGTTTACTTGAATCAGTTTAATGTAGTTAGGTTATTCTGAGACAAATTTCATCTATTAAAAAAAATTTCCAAAGCAAAAGAGTTTATTTGAATCATGTTAATATAGTTAGGTTATTCTGAGACAAATTTCATTTATTAAGACAAAAAATTCAGATTCAAGACTCACACCTCCACCTTTGTCACCTCCGAGTGTGGCTGCACTGGGGAAGATTTAGAAAGGGGTGATAGTAAACTATGTCACTAATGACATGTCTAAAAAGATGAAGAGTGGCCAAACCATGGCCATACATCAGGTGAAAAAGAGAGAATAATCGATGATTTGTTTATATGTCATGAAACAGGGAGCTAACATCTAGGTCAAAAGTTTGGTATTTTGGTTCTCTCTGTCGGTTGGTTTGGGGCCACACTCATTGAAGCTCGTGGTTTCCTCGTGGCTCCATGCAGGGCTGGGAGAGCCACATGGGCTGCCAGGGATGGGACCTCGGTCAGCTGTGTGCAGGGCAAATTCCTCAGTCGTACTCTCTCCCAGCCAGTTCTGGTCCCTCCTCTTGCATCCTTCTTCTGTTTCACTGATCTATTTCCACTGGGTAGACAGCCAACAAATCTTTGACACTTAAACTGTTTTCTAGTCCCAGTCTCAAACGCCTATAAATGGGTTAGCTCTAAAACAATTTTAGTGATGGGTCAGCTCCTTTATAAACTTGAGCGTTTTGAATTGATAAAATACCCTTTGGAGAGTTAAACAGAAACTCTGTCAAACAAGAAAGGCAAGCTACTCTATTCTGATACTTGTTTAGGAAAAATAAGATTTCACGATCCTTTCGGCTTGCATTTTCATGTCTCATAGCCATCATCGTTGGAAACATTCTTATCACATACATTTTGCCGTAACAATGGCAACTTTCCTCAGATTACTAAAGGGAGTTAGAAACAAAATGGATTAGCCTTTAAGATTTTTTTCTTCTGATGTTATTTATCAGGTGACTCCGGGGTGAGACACAATAAGATGTGGGTTAAATTCTGTTTGAAACTCTGTCTGAGGTTATAGAAAATTCACCTTACTATTCACTGCATGGGCTGGAGCTATAGCAAAGTGGTAGGGAGGTTGCCTTGCACGCAGCCAGCCTGGCAGACCCAGGTTCGATTCCTCCGCCCCTCTGGGAGAGCTTGGCAAGCTACCGAGAGTATCTCGCCCGCACGGCAAAGCCTGGCAAGCTACCCGCGACGAATTCAATATGACAAACACAGTAACAACAAGTCTCAAAAATGGAGACGTTACTGGGCCTACTCGAGCAAATCAATGAACAATGGGAGGATGGTGATGATTCACTGCATATGAATAGCTCAAAGCTCTAAATTGCCATTAGACAGATGTATTTCAAGAGAATAAACATATAAACACAGAAAATCATATGTAAAAATATCTAACAATCAGAAGATATTAATGGCACTATATGTTCATTAGGTGTTTCTGTATTCTTTCAGAAAACATGAAATTATAAAAAATAAATATTTTTATTTTTTCTGGAGGGTATATAATTTAGGTTCTAGAAGATTCATACTGAACTATTTACTTATTTTAAAAAAACTAAACACATTTGGCATACGCTTATAAAACCTTGACTAGAACTGGCTACAATTAATGAATGACTAGGGCATTTATCAGAGCTTACCAAGCACTGTAAGCATAACTTGTCACTTTACCCTTAACTGTCTCATTTTACCAAACTAACTAACCATAGTCAACTTCTTAAGAAACTCTTACTCACAAGAGTCAACAATACTTCCCTTGTTTTTCAGAAAAGCCCTAGTGCCAATCCTGAAATGTTCAAATAAATCTTGGTGGAAAACATCACATCGGTATTTTCAAATAGTTGAATAAACTTCACAAATAAATGCACTCATTTTCCTATAATAATGAGGCATACAAATTCCTCCAAACTTTGAAAACAGAGTCATGCAAATACATTCCTCAGGCATGAATGCCGCCCTCACAAAACTTTTCTGGGAAGGTCTCTTGCTAACATTGTATTTTCAGCAGGTTTTGTGATTCTAAGGCATAGAACTAAAGTGAGAAGTACAGAGAGCTTAAGGAAAAAAAATATATGTACATGTACATATGTGTGTGTGTATATATATATATGTTATACTTTTACAGTGTCCTTAGAAAATAAATAGTGAATGCTCCCACAAAATCTCCTAGATTTGTATTTTTTACTTTGGCTGATGTTTCAGGCATAGATATGAAGAGTCTTGGTAAAATGAATTGGGAGGAAAACACTGTCTAGGACCGAAGCAGCCCAAAAAACCATGAAGGCCTTTGAGACACAGACCCCATCTGAGGAGACTAGAAAACCTTTAATAAGATGCAGAACTTCAGGTCCAACCTTGGCTGGGTTGTCTGGGAGGAGAGACCCCCAGCTGGAGCAAAGGCCAGGCTAAGAGTATCAAAGAATCATCGACAGCTCCAAATTTCCCCCTGTGGCATCCACCCCAGCAACAGACTGGAGATGGAGGGCATTTGGGAAAGCATATACATCCACAAGGCCGAGGGGAAAGTGCACATTTCCCCATTCCAGGGAAGAGTCTTTCATGAGATGTGTCCTTCCTTCCTTCCTTCCTTCCTTCCTTCCTTCCTTCCTTCCTTCCTTCCTTCCTAATTTTTATTAGTGAGACACCATGAAGTACAGTTGTAGACTTACAAATTTTTTGTGCTTGGGTTTCAATTATACAATGATCAAACACCCATCCCTCCACCAGTGCCCATTTCCCACCACCACGGGTCCCAGTATCCCTCCCACCCCCCATCTCCCCCATCCCACCCTGCCTCTGTGGGATTCCCTTTTGTTCTCTCTCTCCTGTTGGGTGTTGTGGTTTGCAAAAGAGGCAATGGGTGACAATCATGTTCGGTCTATAGTCTACTTTCAGCATGCTTCTCCCATCCTGGGAGGATCTTCCCAACACCCTTTATTTGGTGCTCCCTTCTCTATCTGAGCTGCCTTTTCCCTTGGCATGTGTGGCTGGCCTCCAAGCCATGGAGTAAAATTCCTGGTACTAATCTCGGCCATTCTTGGGTGTTAGTTTCCTATTTTGTTACTTTATGTTCTCCAGATGAATGCAATCTTTCTATGTCTATCCCTTTCTTTCTGAGTCATTTCGCTTAACATGATACTTTCTTGATGGCATGCATTCTGCTTCCTGCAAATTCGCTCCAGAATCAACATGCGATGTGCATTTCTCTTGAACATGAAACTCTTTCTTTCTTCATGTTGCTCTGAGTCAATTTCTTTGAATAGAACTTATTTCAAATCACTATTTCGTCTCCTCCTAAAATTCTTTAACATGAGAGAAGGCAATGGTGCTGGGAAACCTGGCAGAATGTGGCACTGATTTCCCTTGTCCCGAAAAAAGCAATTCCTCACTCCAGCCTGTGTCCTTGGCTTCCCCAGAGCCAGGTGGCCAAGACCAGTTCCTGCACTGTGCAGACCCAGGAACTTCAGACACAGCTTGACAGCGGCCTCCTGGGGTGGGTGGGACGCTAACCTCCAGATTGCATGGGTGCTTGTAGCTAACTTGGCCAGTCTTGACCCACCCCAACTCACCTTCAGCACAACTGGCAACGTAGCCAGGAGTCAAGAGACCTGCTACAATATTCACAGGCAGTCTGAGGAACCCTCTTATTTTGGTGGGAATCAAATAACAATATTCAAATGATACTAGTTACAGCTTAGTCACACGGCTCCTGAAACTATTTAATGTACACGGGGGCCGGAGTCATAGTAACAGCAGCAAGGGCACATGCCTTGCACACGGCAGACCCAGGTTCAATCCCTGGCACCCCAGATGGTCCCCCAAGCCTGCCAGGAGTGATTCCTGAGTGCAGAGTCAGGAGTAACCCCTGAGTTATCACCGTGTAGCCCCCAAACAAACAAACAATAAACAACAAAGTACACTTTGAGATCACACCATCACAGGAAGTCTGCCCTAAGAGTCTAATGATGCAATCACGTAAATACCCAGAGATTTCAATAAAAGTTTATCAGAACATGCATGATGAACGATTACAAGATCCCAACTGCTGCTCAGAGCTGTCTGCATGAGCAGTGCATAGAGGCTGTCTATAAAATTCTTTGGAACTATAAACTGTATGAGTCATAGAGAGGTCAGGCACAATCATGGTCCCCCTGGAGTCATCTTCGACAAACACTCTCCCTTCCCCACACAACTGCTTCCTTGTTCACTCCGAAAGAACAGACCCACCCTTGGCCACAGTTGCCTGGAAGGGAACAGTTCACACTGACAGGATAACTCTGGTGTTTGCTGACAGAGATGAGATATAACTGCCCCTCAGGCAACAACACTTAACGCCTCAACAGGCATCTACGTGGGCCACAAAGCATTTTTGCCAGAAAGGCAGGACTGATCTCAAAACCGTGGCTGACCTGGCGTGGCTCAGTCTTGGACACAAAGGGGCAGATGGCTGTCAACAATGCACCAATGCGCCTTGCCCTGCATCCTGATGCTGGAGCGACTGGGTCGCATTCTTTTCCTATCCTGGCAGAACAAACGCATGGAAACGCTGCTCCCAGAAACCTTTGGTCAGGTAAGGCCTGGAAACAACTGGAGAGAATGTATCGCCCAGACAACAAACCACGGGCCCCTACCTGCTGCGACCTCAGAAGGGCAGCATCGATCTCCTCCACCTTTTGAGCGATGGTGTCGCTGACTAAGCGGTAGCGCTCGTTGTCCTCGGCCACCATTTTTTCAAGACCTTCCCGGGCCCTCCACGGTACCAGTTCCAGTAAAGCACTGCTCACTTCATTGAGGGAGTCCACTATAGCTTTGCTGTTCTGAGCTTCCTTTTTCAACTCCTGAAAACAGAATTAAGAAAACGTACCAACCTCTTGGCAACGCTGAAGAGCGTGAAGAGGCTTTTTAGCTATCCTTGGGGTGGGGGGTACGGGGGTGCTAAAGTCTTTGCAGGCAAATGATGGGATACAGTGACACCCACCCCCCACCCCAATGCCCAGATCTAGTGAACGTTCATAAACCTTCGTTGATGCAAGCTACTGTAGAAAGTGTCTACTGAGGTGTTCAGAGAACAATTCTTTTGTCAGTGTGCTAAGATTTTTTATTTGCTGAATGTACATGTTTATTTGTTGGGAGACGTTTCTGGTGCTCGCTCGAGAAAATCGATAAACAACGGGAGGATAGTGCTACAGTGCTACATGTTTAAAATTTGGGAAACTCGGGGCGGGCTGGAGAGATAGCACAGCGGGTAGGGTGTTTGCCTTGCACGCGGCCGACCTGGGTTCGATTCCCAGCATCCCATATGGGCCCCCGAGCACCGCCAGGAGTAACTCCTGAGTGCAGAGCCAGGAGTAACCCTTGTGCATCGCCAGGTGTGACCCAAAAAGCAAAACAAAAAAAAAATTGGGAAACAAAACCAAGCAAGTTAATGCAAAGTGATCTTTACTATTCCGTAACCCGGAAGTGATCGGGTACTAGAAAAGTCAAATTAAAGAGAAAAGCCCAAGTCAGAATAATGCATAATATGACCCTCAAAATGAGGACATACTGGCTTTCAATCATTCTAGCTTCAACACCCAGGCTCAGGGAGCTTGAGCCTCATGTATACTCCTATGTTTAAGGATAATAAAAAACAGAGCCTGAGATCTGAAAAAAAAAAAATTAACTTACACAATGATCAGCAAGGCTGAGTATGATTTCTGTACTGTAATCCTAAAAGCTACTTCTTGCTATGTATCCCTCTTATAAAATGGCTATTCTAAGCAAAGAACAATAACCATTTCCCTTGCTTTGTTTTTCTCCCATCATTCTAGCTCTTGTGTAACAGGCTGCCCCAAACAGCAGACCCTGGAAGCGCATTATAATACCGTGTTTTCATCTTGGAGCTCCTAAATGTTTAAACAGTTGATCTGCTGCCAATTTCCGCTGGGTTCCCACCCACCCCGGCCTCCTTTAGCGTACACTAGTGATGATACGAAACAAATCAAGCTTCGTTTCAGTGTGAATATGACTCCCGGAAAGATGACACAGTGACCCAGAATGGATAAATCTGAGCGTACTTTTTGCCGGGCTTGTGCTTGGCTAGCGGCTTCTCCCTTCAGAACCTGGGTTTCATAGGAAAGCAATTCCACCTCCACTTTGTCTAGCCAGGTGCAGAGCTCCTCGTGCGTGGAGTGTAGCCGTCTCGACAGCTGCAGGGCCTGGTCCAGGATCTTGGCGACGTCCGCACTCAATTTTGTAATGTCTTTGTACCTTGCTTTAATGGCTTCCAATTTATCTTGAATTATTAAGACTTCATCACCTAAAATTTCAAAGGCAAGTTATATCTCACAAAAGAAAAACAAGGGGGGGGGGAGAAATGGGTTCTTTGCATATTATTGTTTGCTGATGAGATTTTCTGGAAGGGGGACAAAAGGAGGAGACTTTTCTTGAAAGGATTTTTTTTTGAATTTTTATTAGTGAAACACCCTGAGGTACAGTTGTAGACTTACAAATTTTGGTGCTTGGGTTTCAGTTATACAATGATCGAACACCCATCCCTCCACCAGTGCCCATTCTCCACCACCACTGATCCCAGTATCCCTCCCACCCCCCATCCCCCCATCCCACCCTCCCTCTGTGGCAGGTCATCTTGAAAGAATCTTGAGTCAAGAAAAAGAGGCCCTTGCTCAGAAAGAGAAGGGAACACGAAATAAAGGGTGTTGGGAGGATCCGCCCAAGATGGGAGAGCATGCTGAGGGTAGACTATCGACCAAACATGATTGCCACTCAATGCCTCTTTTGCAGACCACAGCACTCAAGAGGAGAGAGAGGGAAATGCCCTGCCACAGAGGCAGGGTGGGATGGGGGCTGGGGGGAGGGAAGGGATACTGGGATCTGTGGTGGTGGGAAATGGGCACCGGTGGAGGGATGGGTGTTTGATCATTGTACAATTGAAACCCAAGCACAAAAATGTGTAAGTCTACAACTGTACCTCATGATGTCTCACTATTAAAACAAAACAAACAAAAAAAAAAAGAGGCCCTTTCTGGGACGTAATCTCTTCCAGGACTTCTGACATGCAAACAGTAGAACCGGAAAGGGTCACAGTGACCTCAAAAGGTCACAGTGACCTCAGTTACATAGGAAGCAGTCTTTCCCTTTTGTATCTATTTATGTGGTATTTTCTGTTTTAGGGCTAATATACTGGCTTTGTGGACTATTAACTTTTCCAGGGTACTGGCTTTCTGTGTCCCTGTTTACCAAGTAGAAGTACAGAACCTTGTTCATAAGGCTGTGACCAAAACCCAGTTTTTATTGATAAAGTATTAAGGACAGTACCTGGCATATGGATATGCATATCATACAAATGTTGTTAATTAAAAAAAAAACCTACAGAATTTTAAATATAATCTCATTGAAAACTCATGTGGTTTATGAAAAATACATTTATCGGACTTTCCTACCAGATTCTCACTTGCCTCTACCTTTTTTTTAGAGACACAGAGAAACGGAATCCTGGATTTTAGATTCCCAGTTCTAATTTCAGATACTATATTGAATTACTTCAACTCATAATGAATGGTACTTGCTCCCACTACACACATGCCTGTGCGAAAGAGAGAGAGAGATGGAGAGAGAGAGAGAGAGAGAGAGACAGAGAGACAGAGACAGAGAGAGAGAGACAGAGAGAGAGAGAGAACTGGATATAGGTATAGTAAAACTTTCTCAAGACCAAAGGAATTACAAAAGCAAGTAATTGGCTTGTTTTCTTAGTAAGCATGAAGAAATAAAACCTGGGATCCGTCACAGTAAGTATCACTGAATGCAATTTGTTTTAAAACTAAATTAATGCAAAAAAACCTAAATAAGTGCACACACAAACACAAATGCTAACACACACGCACACACACACACGCACACACACACACCCCAGTGGGAAAAGAATCTAGTTCCATTAGATTCTCTGATCTTCTAGCTCCCAGGGACGCTGTGCTTTAGGTTATGAGTAATCCACACTAGTTCTCTTAAGATCTAAGTGAGATCATGAGAAAAAGTTGGGACCACATTCCACCGACTGCCCTCCCGACACCCCCCTGCAACCCAGCTCCACACCGCTCTTTCAATCATCCCCCAGTCAAGTCGGAGAGTGCCCTCAACATGGAAAAAGAATTTTGCTTCTCCCCCACGGCTAAAATATTTTGAAAGCAATATAAAATGCAGATTGCATGATCACGTGATCTGAAAGGTATCTCACCTGTCGTTTGTTTAAGTAGTTCCAAGCCATTTAGTAACGCCTGATCTACACTTTGTTTTCTGAGTACGATGTCCTCTTGCAGAACCTAAAAGGCAGGTGCCATTTTTCACGTGGTGGCAGTGGGGAATTAAATAAACATTAGAGTTAGTTAATATTCCAAAAATCATTACGGTTCATAAAGATACTCATGTGCTGACTTGGAGGCCAGCCACACATGCTAGGGGAAAAGGGAGCTCAGATAGAGAAGGGAGCACCAGATAAAGGGTGTTGGGAGGATCCTCCCAGGATGGGAGATGCATGCTGAAAGTAGACTCTAGACCAAACATGATTGCCACTCAATGCCTCTTTTGCAAACCACAGCACCCAAAAGGAGAGAGAGAACAGAGGGGAATGCCCTGCCACAGAGGCGGGGTGGGATGGAGGCGTTGGGGGGTGGGAGGGATACTGGGACCCGTGGTGGTGGAAAATGGGCACTGGTGGAGGGATGGGTGTTTGATCATTGTACAATTGAAACCCAAGCACAAAAATTTGTAAATCTACCACTGTACCCCATGGTGTTTCACTATCAAAAATTAAAAAAAATGTAAATGATGGAGAATGGGCACTGGTGGAGGGATGGGTACTGGATCATTGTATAACAGAAACCCAAGCACAAAACTTTGTAAATGTACAACTGTACCTCATGGTGTTTCACTAATAAAAATTTAAAAAAAAAAGAAATTTACTCCAGTAGTCAAGTAACCTATACCACCAACTTTTGGAATAACGATAATGAAAGGAAAAAGGAAAAGCAAACTTGAATAAAAATGTTATCACCTTCAAAAAAAAAAGATACTCATGTGCAAACATCTTTCAGTGTCCTATAATTACCCTCCTCTTTTCAGCACTATAGGCTTTGCCCATGTTTATCCACCATGATTGACAGCACTCTTCCGTTCAAAAAAGGATTTAGGGCACAAATGAACATGGGCTGTACGGAGACAGTGGTTAATGCTGGGTCTCGGTAAAGACAATACAACTTAAAGGTGGGAAGGGAAAACAAAATCCAACTAATGGGATAAATTCCATCTCCTCTTAAAAATGACTTCCTTAAAGGTAATCTGAAGACCCAGGCAATCCTTTCTGGGTACGACAATCCATCTACAGCACAGTGAACACAAAATAGAAAATAGAAAATAAGAGAGACACGAAATAGAAAACAATAGAAACGGAAATGAAATGAAATAAAATAAATCAAAATACCCGAAGTTCAGACTGTTGCTTCCAGAGGCCCTCATTGCTGTAATCCTGGACCGAGAGCTTGCTTAGTTTGTCATGCACTTCATTCAGCCAATTCATCAGTTCAACTTCATCTTCCCCAAAAATCTTAGCATTACATAAGGCCTGCTGGAGGAGCTCGGACCTGCTGTGACTTCTCTCTTGAATCTCAAGGTACCACACTTGAGAGGAGTCTAATTTATTCTGTACCATATCTTTATCCTCCCTGGAGCTTAAAACCTTTAAGGACTGGCCAATGCTAATAGCCTGGTGTAAAAGTTTATTGTGATTGATGATGTCATCTTCTAAGGCCTAAACAGAGTTTGAACAGAGAGAAACAAACAAACAAACAAACAAAAAGAATGGAGAAAAAAAAAATGAAAACATCAACAGAACGAAATGAGGGCTTTTGAAATGGATTCAACTGGCAGTTATACACAAAACAACAATGGTATACGATTCAAACACATGTCATACAACCACAAAGTAAATGAAAAATTGGATCTTAATAACGTGTGATTACTAGCTTACTTTGTGCTGTGCAATTTGTTCCTCAAGTTTAGATGCCTGGGTCCCGATGGGCTCGGAGTTCGCCAGCCTCTTCTCGATGGTCGTGAGCCAGTCGTTCAGTGGTTCTAAGGTTTCATGAAACTGCTGTGCTACCACACAGATACCTTCCAATTGACGATTCCTATAAGAGAGCCAAAATAAAGGTCACTTAGGGATAAGGAATGTATGAAATAGTCAACAAAAGTCTTTACCCATGCATCTGCATCCTATCTGAAGCTCTTTTATATTTAAAAGCTCAAAGGTTAAGATGAAAATATTTAACCTTTCACGCACATGTTAAAAATAGTTGTTAAGGACATTGGTAAGAATATGGAGAAAAAGAAACTCTGGCATACTATTGGTGAGAATATAAATTGGTGATGGTCCCATAGAAAATGTTATGGGAATTCGTTTTATTTTATTTTTATTTTTAATGGCTTATACATTTTATTTCTTTAAAAGTCGCAGCATCCATTTTCTTCTTTTTAATTTTAATTTTTATTGAATCACAGTTACAAAGCTTTTATGTTTGAGTTTCAGTCATACAATAACCGAACACCCATCCCTCCACCAGTGCACGTTTTCCACCCAAAAAAAAAATAGTTGTTAAGGGGCTGGAGCAATAGCACAGGTGGTAGGGCGTTTGCCTTGCAAGCGGCCGACCCGGGTTTGATTCCCAGCATCCCATATGGACCCCTGAGCACCGCCAGGGGTGATTCCTGAGTGCAGAGCCAGGAGTAACCCCTGTGCATTGCTGGGTGTGACCCAAAAAGCAAAAAAAAAAAATTAATTAAAATAAAAAATTTAAAAAAGAATAAAAATAGTTGTTAAAATTATAGCTCAACAACAGACTAACCTTAAGCGCCTATATCTTATGCGTCCTTTTGTTTGTCTTTGGGTCACACTTAGTGGTGCTCAGGGCTTACTCTTGGTTCTGTGCTCAGGGATTATTCCTGGCAGGGCTCGGGGGATCATATTGAGTGCCTGGGATCACACCTGTGCTGGCTGCAGACAAAGTTAGAGCCCTACCCACTGTATTATTGCTCTGGGCACCAACTTTTAGTTCCTGGGGAGCATTTTTGTCTAGGGTCCTAGGAAATAATGAACTAATCCTACTGCAGAATTCAGGATTAGGCAAATTCTTCTTCTTGCCATTCCAGCTCCAAAGAAGACAGGAATTTCTCGAACACAGTCACTCTGTTCGGGGGTTTATTTATTTTCAACTCAACTAGTGTATGCGGCTACACTTCACCGTAGCTCCCTCTCAACACCAGTCAACGTGGTGCCCATGCAGATAATGAAAAATGTGAAGTGCAAAAGCCCAGGGAAGGGGTGTAAGCATGGAGAGATGAAATAAAACAGTGGTGGGGGGGGAGGGGACTAAAGAAATCGTTCCTCTATTTATTATACACCAAACAGGAATCTGGGCTCACTGACAAAATTTGTGCCTTTCCTATCAAAATACCCTCTAGGTAGGAAAAAAAAAAAGAAAAAGAAAAGAAAAACCTTAAAGAGCTCTTTGAAGCCATGCTCCAGGCTACCTGGCCTTCATGAATATTCCAGCACCTTCTTGCAGTTAACTGCTGCTCCTCTTTTTAAACACAATTTATCTATGACTTCCCTGCCTCCAGACCAGGTTCTTCTTATTACATAATATCCCATAGCAGCCTATTGATTTGTTCTGACAGATCATACTGATTATTGCTTTTCAATGGCTATAAAATCCTACTAGATATAAAACCCTGGAGGAGGGCCGAGGTGATGTGTCCAGCTAACTCCCCTAAAACCAAAACCCACCTTCATGCCTGATGCATGGCAAAGAGATAATCACTGTGATACAAACAAACAAACACTGTCCTCCCGTTGTTCTTCGATTTGCTCAAGTGGGCCCAGTAACGTCTCCATTTTTGAGACTTGTTGTTACTGTGTTTGGCATATCGAATACATCATGGGTGGCTTGCCAGGCTCTGCCGTGTGGGCGAGATACTCTCCATAGCTTGCCAGGCTCTCCGAGAGGGACGGAGGAATCGAACCCGGCTCAGCCGGGCTGGCTGCGCGCAAGGCAAACGCCCTATGGCTGCGCTATCGCTCCAGCCCAGAGAAATAAAATCTATACTGGACGAAAATGCTCTTCTTTAAAAAACAAAGGGATTGGGATAAATCCAGTAATTGTAAGAATTGCCACCAGAGGAAGGGAGAGAGGGACCCCTGCCCTTGCTTCCTATGTTCACAGACATGATCAACGTAGGAAAATGACGGTCTGGAAAAAGGTATTACCAAAATTTTTTCAAAAACAAGAGTCAGTATGAAAGCCACTGTTCCTCTTTTTTAAACACCGGCAGCATTGAAATTACCGTGTTTCGGCTTTGCTCAGCAGAGCGTCCCATCTGCTATCCAACAGATCCAGCTGTTTCAAGATCTTCACTTTATCGGCAGGTTCTGCGGTTGCTGCAATTTTTTCTCCTTCTCTTTTGATTACTTCCACAGTCGATTTGCGGTCATCCAGCAGTCTTTGGAGAAGCTTGGGACAAAACATCAAACACGCGTAGAGATAAAAAGCCAGCCAAGAAAGAATTGTATCAACATAAAGGGAAATGTATTCTAAGTTTTTTTGATAAGCGTCAGATATAATTTGTACGGATGCACACCGAATACCCAAGAAGTAGGATTTTTTCATCTGTTTTTGATGATTCATTGTTTCTGGTAGTAGATAATATTAATGTTTATAAGGCCATAAACATGTCATTATTAATTTTTAATGTAAAATAATAAAAGAGTGCTATCTATGAAAATTTCTGAATAATGGGGAAAGTACAAAATTCATTATATTAATGAAATGAAAATGCCCTAAATACTCAACTACTCTCTATCCCACTGATACAAATTATATCATAAATCATTTAATGTTTTCAAACCCATTTCCCACATTAAGTGATCTATTACAGACAATGAAGAGGAGACTTAGCCAAGTTGGTTCACAAATTTGTGAGATTAACACTTGACAAGGCAAGACTAAATCCTCAAATTCTTCATAAAGATGGAAACCTCAAAAAGGACCCTTACATATCATTTCCAAAAGGAAATGACAGTAGAACAAATCTGAACTCTTTCAAGTTATCTAAGTGAGAAGAATATTTTAGGATTTAGCGGCAGAAATAAAATTTAATTTCAAGTACATGTTTCAAGACGACTGGAATGGAATGCTTGACAAAGGGAGCCAGCACTCATGATTACCTTGTTTTAATCTAATCAAAACAAATACTTTAAGAGCAAGTGTTATGCCCTGGCACTGCACGACCAGCAATGAGAAAGGCACAGGTGCATAAAATACTATAAATATTTCATCTCTCCCTTAATACGATTCTTACTGGGAGAAAGCAAAGAATGAAAGATTGCTGGCAGAGGCAGCAAGCTCCGAGAGTGTTCTCTGACTTTCGTTTTGACATCTAGACCACCAGAGCAAGAGGCGAGGTGGAAAAAGTCTAGAAAGAATAAACTCCTGTCACGGGTTAGAATCATGAGACAAAACACGGCAGGTGGTTTCGGCAGGAAAGAGAGCACATGAAGTCAATCACTTTCATTAAACTTCAACAGCAAAGTCTCTGGCAATGAAGATAACAAAATCAATAGGCTTTGTTGACTAAGCATATATAGTTCATTAGCTCTAGAAGAATAATGAAAGATTAAGTTGGAAACGGCAGCAGCTAAATTATTCAAATATCACACACATTGTAGGTTTCCAGCTGTGTTTGTTCAGTTCTCACCTCTAACCTAATTCTACTGTGCCTGTTTCCCAATATGCTGAAGCCTTCCAAAAGTACTTAGAGAGGGTCAGAAAATAGGACAGTGGATATGGCCCTACAAACAGCCGTCCCGGGATCAATCCCCAGCACCACATAGAGTCCTCAGAGCACCTGGAGCATGATCCTGGAGCACAGAGCCAGGAGTAAGCGCTGAGCACTGGTGAAGGTGCGTCCAAAGCAAACAAAAGAGGAATTTTTAGAGTGAATTCAACGGAGCCTCTTAATTTTCTCCCTCCTTTTGAAAATTTCACATGAGAAACTTGCCCACGTACTGTGTCCTAGGTCCCTCCCCATAGGTTAATTCAAGTCTGGATTGAAAAATAAATATGAGGGGCTGGAGTGATAGTACAGAGGGTAGGGCATTTGCTTTGCACGCGGCCAAACCGGGTTCGACTCCCAGCTTCTCATATAATCCCCCAAGCACTGCCAGGAGTAATTCCTGAGTGCTGAGCCAGGAGTAACCCCTGTGCATCGCCGGATGTGACCCAAAAAGCAAATCAATCAATCAATAAATAAATATACTGTAATACTGTAATACTGTCCTCCCATTATTCATCGATTTGCTCGAGCGGGCCCAGTAACGTCTCCGTTGGAGACTTTGTTGTTACTGTGTTTGGCATATCGAATACATGCTCGAGCGAGCCCAGTAACGTCTCCATTGGAGACTTTGTTGTTACTGTGTCTGGCATATCGAATACTCTCGGTAGCTTGCCGGGCTCTCCGAGAGGGGCGGAGGAATCGAACTCGGGTTGGCCATGTTGGCCGCTTATAAGACGAACGCCCTACCCGCTGTGCTATCGCTCCAGCCCATCGAATACATAAATAAATGAAAAAGAAAAATGAATATATCACCAGTTGTTCTGTAGCTGAATCTCTAAACTCTACCATCAGTGAGAACACAGAAACTCTCACATGGTCCCAAGGATTTATTAACTCTCTAGTGAGTATGTCTTTCCAACTCCGTCATGCATTCGTGATGTTGGAGAGAGAACAGCACTCTCTCAGCATATATGAATCAAATATTTGCCTCTTCAACAGACACTGGATCATAGAAATTGCCTGCATTTATTCTATGAAACAAAAGCAGTTTTTTTGGGTCATTTTGCTTTGTTTTTTGTTCCACACCTAGCAGTGCTCAGTTAGGGGTCATTATCAGCTCAGTGTTTGGGGGGAGATCATGACGGTACACCGGGACCATCTGGTATCAGGAGAGAACCCGGGATTCTGACACAAGCTCCAGCCCTTCGGGCTACTCCCCCAGCCTTAACAAAAACAATTTCAAGTGGATCTACCTAATGTATTTCTGTCCAGGGTTCTCTTTTGGTAATGAGATTTTTCCTGGTTTACACTATGTAGCACAGCACCATTCCGATGGTCATTTCCTGTTCCCTATCCTAGTTCTGTCACTTCCTAATTCTTTCTTTCTTTCTTTCTTTCTTTCTTTCTTTCTTTCTTTCTTTCTTTCTTTCTTTCTTTCTTTCTTTCTTTGTCCCACCTCGCGATGCTCAGGGGTTCCTCCTGGCTCTGCAATCAGGAATTACTCCTGGCATTGCTCAGGGAACTACATGAGATGCTGGGAATCAAACTCGGGTCGGTCGCGTGCAAGGCAAACGCCCTCCCACGTACTGTGCTATCGCTCCAGCCCTGACTTCCTAATTCTTATCTCCCATCCCTGCATTATTATGACCTGCTAACTTAACACGATTTACTTTTTATATATCTTGTTCCCTATTCCTTTCTCCCAGTTCCTCCCTTCCTACTAGACCTTTCTTGAACTACGTGAGGAATCGTTATCTTTTTTCATGCAGTGACGTGTCTCCGGCACCTGGAACAATGCCTGACCCATGACAGATGCTTAGCAAATATTTGTTGAATTGCTAGTAAGATGTCTATCACCTCCGTAAATAGTTAACTGGAATATCGAATAACACAAATAGAGTCACACAGTAAATTTTATTTCCGTTCATAAATAAATGGTCTGGGGGCCACACCCAGTGGTGCTCAGGGGCCAGATGAGTTGCCAGAGATGAAATCCAATAAACTGCATGCAAAGCAAGCCCCTTACCGACTCTTCTCTCTCTCTCTGGCTACTAAGATTCAACACGGGATACGATACGAAAGCTTGGCCAACTCACCTTCTGTTCTTGTATTTGGGCCTTCACCACTTTGAACTCTGCCGACGGGGGCTTCTGATTGGCCACAAGCTCCTCAGTGTCCACCATCCAGCTGAGCAGGGACTCCAGGGCATCCTGGAACCGCCCACAGTGCAGCAGGGCCTCCTGCAGCTGGGCTGCTCGCTGAGCCACCTGCAATGGGCCAATTGTTCAACTCATTTACTTGTTTCAGAAAAGGATGAAGTTTGCCCACCCGTCACCCCTTTTCCAGCTTAGCTTCCAATCTGTTCACTCATTTTCCTTTCCTTTTCACTTAAAATACATCCTGCATATTTAAAAAGTGAAGTAAAGTAAAGGCCCTCCCGTTGATCATCGATTTGCTCGAGCGGGCCCAGTAACGTCTCCATTGGAGACTTTGTTGTTACTGTGTCTGGCATATCGAATACTCTCAGTAGCTTGCCGGGCTCTCCGAGAGGGGCGGAGGAATCGAACTCGGGTTGGCCAGGTTGGCTGCGTGCAAGGCAGACGCCCTACCCGCTGTGCTATCGCTCCAGCCCTAATATTTAAAAGGGTAAAAACAGCAGTAGAAAGAGGTCAACCTCTAGCGAGTGAGCAAAATATGATACGGTTATTGGCCTACAGTTATCATTCTCAACAGTAAAATACTGTCACTGTCACTGTCCTCCCGTTGTTCATCGATTTGCTCGAGTGGGCCCAGTAACGTCTCCATTGTGAGACCTGTTACTGTGTTTGGCATACTGAATACGTCACGGGTAGCTTGCCAGGCTTTGCCGTGAACAGTAAAATATGAGAGGTAAAATTTTAGAGATTTAAAAGTACCAGTATATTTATTATTAGCAATAAAACTGACTCACACATCTGAAGGTTACTGAAACAATGCGGAAGTCATTTTTAGGGATACTCAAATTTGGGAAATTGATTTTTAATTTCCTACCAATGAGTATCAGAGATACTGATTTTAAGAATGACATTGAGGTATACAATTAAATTCTGTCACCACCAAGTGTTAGGGGCACTATTTTTTTCTTGATAAACCAAGGCTTCTGTTTTCTAATAAATGGAGTTTCTGTTCCTTACAAGGAGATATCCTTTTGTCCTGCTTATAGATGATTTCCTTTTAGACAGAAAAAGTACTCAGCAAGACATTTTAAACACTACATAATAGATTTACACTGACACTGCATTCCAACTGTGTTTGAGAAACAACACTCCAATATAAATCAGACTTTAAAGAATGGCAAATGTAGTTTTGAGACCGGGCTACTCCTCAGAATTTCAAAGTAGGGAAGACACATGAACGATAACGCCAGTTAAATACGGTCATCCCATAATCATTTTGGATTATCAGTCTCATGTGAAGAGTTCTCACTGTGAGTCAGCATCAACCTCTTAAAATAGCAGAGGTATTATTTACCAGAGTTCATCCTCATGGGCAGTTAGTAAAGAGCTGACCTACATCTTATCAGTGAAATAATATTTGGAGCCAATTATCTATAGAGAGGGAGGCAAGTGCTTAATTCAAGCTAATAGAAAGCTGCAAGTTGTTGATAGCTGAGAATTGGAAGGTTTCACATAAAACATGAGGTTTCTGAGTTCTTTTTTTTTTCTTTATGGGTCACACCCGGCAATGCTCTGGCTCTGAACTCAGGAATTATGCCAGGAGGTGCTCAGGGGACCATATGGGATGCTGGGAATTGAACCCGGGTTGGCCGCCTACAAGGCAAACGCCCTGCCCACTGTGCTATCACTCCAGCCCTGGTTTCTGAGTTCTTTGGAAAGTAAGTAGACTATTGAGGAACAATGAACCCAGAGCTGCTGAAGTCCAAAGGTTGCTATTCCTTAAAGGAGTCCTGTGAGCTCTTTTGGCAAAGGACTTGGCTCATGGGTCACACTCATCTCACCTGCTCTTCTGTGTGGATACTGAGTCAAGATAATAGCAAAGAGGGGCCCTCATCCGCTCAGCTTCCTACTCTTGTTTCTTTCCTGGGTGCTCCCTACCTAGCTCCTATGGGCATCTGGGTTTGGGACATTCTCTTCACAGAACAACTAAACTAAATTTTAAAAAGTCAACACAGGAGCTGGAGCAATAGCACAGCAGGTAGGGCGTTTGCCTTGCACGCAGCCGACCCGGGTTCAATTCCCAGCATCCCATATGGTCCCCTGAGCACTGCCAGGGGTAATTCCTGAGCGCAGAGCCGGGAGTAATCCCTGTGCATTGCTGGGTGTGACCCCCCGCCAAAAAAAGTCAACACATCTTTCACCATAAGTAGCATTAATGGTCAGAATACAGCAATCCCTTGATCACTTGATATCCTGTTACTCATCGATTTGCTTGGGCGGGAACCAGTAATGTCTCCATTTGTCCCTGTCGAGTGCTAGTGTAGCCCAATGGCATCTGCTTACTCCAGGAACATGAGGAGAATATAGCAATAAATAACCGAAGTATCAAAGAAGGGGATAGAGATGTTACCTTCTTATTAAGAGTCTTCCACCTTGCATTGACATCATCCAGGTCATGTTCCAAAGTCTGGGTGCTGGCACCCTTCGCAGCACTCTGAATAAGGCCTTGACCCAACCAGTTCACATCTTGCTGTTTAACCTGCAAAGGTTCGATCTCTTCTTTTTGGAATACCTGCAGTGGAATGGTTAGATGAGTTATAAATGACCCAACTACATAAAAAAAAAAGGTGATCATCTACCAGGCATCAATTGTTAAAGGCAAAGACAACTGTTGCTTCTATTCTGTGAAAAAAACAGTAAGAAAGCAAACTAAACACAGATCCATCCTGTTATTAAAACCACTCACAAGCATTAAAGAAGGGTGTGCTAAACTCACTGAATCAGATCACCTCTAAGAGACGACAGTGTAGATTTCCTCTCTCTCTCTTGCTTCATTTCCACAGCAGAAAATTTCTCTTGTCATTCCAGTTTAACTCTAGCAAACCAATGTATAAAAAATGCCAAGAAGCAAACTGATACTATGAGCCCAATATGCATCCTCCTTGGCAATGAGCTTTACAGGAGCATTTAGGGGTGGCTGCTGTTAGGGAGCAACTAAAGCCTGAGACTCAACTTGGAAACAGAAATCACCCCGAGAAGATAAGTCAGGCAAGAGGCCAATATAAGGCTAGTCAGAGGGACTAAGTACAGGGATGGGACAGAAAAGAGACAGATACCGGCAGATGCTACTGTAATGTGGAGCCCTATATGGTGATTCCCTCAATGCCTACCCAAGTATCTGTGGTTAGTGCATAGATCTGATCCTGTACACACCGCCAGCCCAGCAAGTACTCTCTGTTAGATACTACCTCTCTGGCTGCACTGCCAGGAGTCCCCAGCACTGTCTTCCAACTTTCCATCTCATCCAAGATACTATCCTCAGTTGCCTTAATGAGCAATAGATCCTCCACTGTGCTGGGTTAAGTTGATGCTTGTGTGTACCACTGGTGGCTCACACTTGAATGTCGCTTAATGAACTAAAATTGCAGTGCTGGTGTCAATGTGGTGAAGAGTTCTACGAAGGGAAGATGGATGACACTGGGTGCTATGATGGAAATGTTATATTCCTGAAATTCTACTACGAAAAACTGTAAATTACAGAGTCTTAATTAAAAAAAATTTTTTTAAAGTTATACAAAAGCAGAAAATTATTTTCCTTAGAGCTGTTTTTTTTCCCTCAGAACTACCACAGTACCTTCCAGGTACTATGTGCCTAATAATTATTTGCCAAATGGATATCAATAAGGAAAAATTCTACTTCCATCTTGAGGTCAGTGACATCAAGTCATCAGGAGGGAGTATTAGGCTACAACAACTCTTTCACAGACAATGTAAATATTTTTATAAGATCTTGAAGAATGTCACAAGAAAAATCAACAGAAGAAGGAAAGATTTAGGTCAGCTTATAATGGTAAGAGAAGATTTGGGGGGCATAAAAGTGGAGTCACTATATAAATGTATCATTAGTCCAGTGAATGGGCAAGTGAGAATACATGAAAACAGGATCAAGGTAAATTTCACAAGAGCACTTAGAATTATAGGCACCGTATGGAAAATAATTTTGAAAGTGGAGGCTGCAACAGGCCAACTCTCCAGACTGTGACCCGGGGCCATACATCCAGAATGCTTCTATTATTGTATGAATAAAGACAGAATGCAACAGCAAACAAGAGAGAGACTATTTCCTCCACAGTTTCCTCTTAGTCAAAAGTCCAAAACTACTTCATATAGGCAATTTCCACCCTAATATTTCTGAACAGTTATAAATAGCAAGACCAACTGCACATATCAAAGAAATTATAAATCTCAAATCACGAGAAGAAAGCAACAAGTTGGGTTAGCTTTATAAAGTCATTCATTTACCTGCAAACTTAACACAAAGTTGCGGGAAGGTGGTGAGATTATTTCGCTTTTTGTCAATATCATTTTCTCAGTCACTACTTCTAAGAATAAGGGAAGGATTTTTGTTTGTTTTTACTGCTCTCAAAAAAATGGGGTGGGGCAGAAAAACTAGTACATTCTCAATTCAAGGAATTTGTCTGGGTGTCGGGGTCCAAGGAAAAGTTTAATTCTCCCTTTCAGTTTTCAGGATTCCAAGACCCCAAAACAACAAATATCATAAACTAGCCTTCTAATGTCCCAGAGTTTGAAAGAAATTAATCTTAGAACAGTATATCAGAGTCTGTGGTAATTTTCTACATAGCTACAAAAATACACTAATAATTTTGAAAGGTAACTACAAACAATCTATATAAACTCTTGGGTGTTCATTTTTTAAAAATAATCACTGTGTCACTATATCACTGTCATCCCATTGTTCATCCATTTACTCGAGAGGGCACCAGTAACGTCTCCATCCATCCCAGCCTTATGAGATTTTAGCAGCCTCTCCTTCCTCGTCTTTCCCAACTATTTAATCCATGGAAGAAGAGAGAACTCTGCTAAGCACTTGAATTCGCAGGACATGTAAGACCTTCTCAAGGAAACAATATTGCTAACTTGAACTCACTTCAATAGACTGAGAAGAGAAACTTTTCTGGTATGCCCCAAATTCCTTATCTTTCAGTGATAAAAAGCATACCTATAAAGAGAGTTCCCCATCCTTGCGCCCAAATTCATAAGCATACAGGCAAAAAAAAAGAATAGTTTACAATGAAGTAAAAAAGAAAACAAAAATTCTCCCAGTAAGGCAAAGCTCACCAGGAGAGTTTAGTTAAAGTACCAAAATAGCTGAACTTCAATCTGAGCGGGAAGCAAAAAATTACAGGCTTGCCAAACAAGCTCTGCTTATTATAAGGCTGAACCCTTTCCTTCCTTACCTCATTCACCACTTGCAAAAGTTAAGAGCTACGAGGACTCCAAAACACAGCTAGAATAACTTCGCTCCTTCCACACGCAGAGCGACTGAGAAAAGTTTCAGTACAATTAAAAAGTCCTTCATTTTCGGTCGAGCGCTTCAGAGACCACAACATAACGCTGTTTGTAACCTTCATGACTAAGCCTGTTCAAGCCTAATAAACTCAATATAACTGCCCTTAAAAGGCAGTGTCTTAAACCACAATTGGTGTAAAAGCCTAATGTTGACATCAATTCACAGTGGAGGCATTATAAATGAAAGGGGACAGCCACCATCTGCACAATCAATAGCAGGGTTTTCAACAGCTGGGAGCAATTATTTGTCTCCAAAACGGACCTAAATTAATTTGCTACAAGGATCAACTTATCAATAGCTGGCATCTTGCAGGCAACTGGCATCTTGGGGGAACAGCGCCCAAAATAAAGGACTGGTTTGGACCATGATTAGAAACGTCAGTGACCACTTTCCAACATAAACCACAAACTTCCAGCAGTGAGTTTCACATCGACATGAATTACCTGGGCAGAGGGAAAGCCGTTACAGACGGGGTCCAAGGTCCCTGGGTGGGCCCTGGCTTTTCTGGGAGCTCCTTTCTTTCTTTCCGGAATGAATTTCGGGGAGCACTTCACGTGGATCACTTCCACCGTGTGAGCTGGAAAAGGAACCTCCCCTTCCTGTTTCGGTGCTACGCTGGGTTCTTCCAGATCATACTGGGTCCACAGCGTGGCATTTCCTACCACCCCTCTGTCACACTCTGCGTCATCCCCCCGAAGACCTGTCGGGGTGGCAGCTAGATCCTCAGAAGAGTCCTCAAGAAACTCCCTGCCTTGCGCTGGGATTTGGAATTCACCAGGTCCATACACTTCCTCTTCCGCTGGGTTGGACAGACACTTGTTTTCCCCACCTCTTGGCACAATTAAAGGGTGACACTGAACAGTGCTCTCTTTCAAATCATTCTGCAGGCAGCAATTTTCCCCACGAATTTCCCTTTGGGCATTTCCAGGTTTCATTTCCTCTAGTGGTGAAACATCAGGTAAAATCATTTTGCAGTTCTCATCAGCCCTTCTACACGAAAGCAGTGGAATTTTCTGTTCACTGACAGAATTAGCAGGAAATAACGCCCTGCCTTGCTCTGCTGAATAAATATCCTCGGCAGAAGACAGGCTTCGGATTCGGGAGGGTTCTCCACTCCCGACGCCCTGTTTCTCTTCCCTCTCGACCGGAGGGCTACATAAACCAGAGTCATCCTCCTCGGACGTGAGAGAGTTAGTGCCCCATCTGCACTTGCGTGTCTTGGGAACAACATCTGAAATATCAGTAGGTTCCACAAAAGAGCTTTCGCTTTTGTTTGCATAATCCATAAAATTGGCCGGGACGAACATTCGCCAGGACCGTCTATGCTCTTTCTTCTCGGCGTGGGATTTGGCCTTGGGCAATCCCGTGGTGCGGATGATATCGCTATTCAGTTTGAGCGCATCGAAGATCATCTTTTCATCTAGCTTGTTGGCGTCCCGACCCCTCAGCTCAAACACACTGGAAGAAGCCAGGGCACCGTTGGAGCACAAAGAACTCACATCCAGTGTTCTGTGACTATAGGGCAAAGTTCGGTCTGCAAAATGCCGGGAAGACAAGCTGCCTTTCGAACCTGAGTCTATTTGTTCGTTGAGTCGCACAGTGTCATAGATCGATCGCTGTGGGACATAACAGTCCTCAATATTCAGGTCCTCCTCTTCTTCCCCCTTCCCTACACACGGGGGATTCTGACGTAAACAGTCTGGTCTGCTGAGTGGCTTCCCCATTTTGCAGAGTTAAGACAAGAACGGCAGCTCTTGACACAGAAAACAGGAAGTGAGATAAAGCATCTTTCTGAAAGGTGTGTTTCTGGACAGTACTATAAAGTGCCTTCGACATAAAGACGCACGTTCAAAGACTAGGCATGGCCATATATGAGGTGTTTAAGGTCACAGGCAGTGCATTCAGCCTACATGCAACGATCCCTTTTCCTGGCTGCTTCAGAACGATTTGAAAATAAAGTGCACCAAGAACAGAAAACAAAAAATTTCCTTCCTTCTTCCTCCATAACCCCTCCTCCCCCTTAAAGTTCCCTTTCACACAATTCCAAAACACAGAAAACACCACACGCACACACACACAAACACACACACACACACACACACACACACACACACACACACACTCTTAACAGTGGCTCAAACACTCAGAACATTCCACGGTCGGTCTATTTCCCTTTTTAGTCTAATGTTGCATTTGAGATT